GCGGAGTGTGCTCGAAAAGGAGTGGAATTAACAGCCGGTATATTTCTCACAAGCTGAACAGCTTACGCTTGCGTAGACACGGGCTGCTGGGTCACCAGCCTGGTGGCCGTGGGAGAAACAGGCTGGTAAGAGGGCGTCGGCCACAATGGCTCTTAATCAATCGGCCGCAACTGAAAACAGGAAATACCAAACCTCGGGCGGGCCAGGTAATAGAAGGCGGGAATGCTTATGTTTGAGGTTAGTCAAGATTGATGTTGGTGAAAGGAAGACGGCGGCGCGTCAAGGTCCGAGGTGTTGGGAGTGGGGACTCTCGGACGCCCCGGAAACCGGGAGAGAATTGGGCCGAGGCAAGCCGGGCCTCCCCCGAGACGTTGGACATCGTCGCCAATTATGAAGGGACGAGAAATCATCAACTTGAAGAAGTGAAGACGTTTTGCTTTGCCAGTTCAATATTGGTCAAGCACTATTGTGCATTTGAATCTTCATCTGCATTTGATCACTATCAAAGGAAAAGTGCACATCAATTTCTCATTGCTAGATACATTTGGGGCTTCATTATTTTTTGGCATCTCTGTATTTCATCTGCTTTAATTACTGACAGGACCATCCATGGTTTCGTACTCGTTGTCATTATCGTCAAATTCCCTTCTCGATCAAGCGCCTTTTTCATGTCATACTCAAAATACAAATACCGCCCAAGCCAAAATCTAAATGTTGTCCCGTAGCTCTTTTCCTCCCAAGCCCCAGAGTCTCAAAAGAGTTGTCCGAGAGCAGCCAAGAGTTTCTCACTCTCGTCTCCCAACTCGGCCTCCAGCCAAGCGACGGCTTTCTCTTCCATCATCTCCCAACTGTCGCGCTCGTCTACTAACCTCTTCCTCAAGAATGCGACAACGGCAGCGGTTGATGATGCAATCGGACCCTGGCTGCCTTGGACGGTCTGCTCCACCGTGCTCTTGACATCTTGAGGAGAGACGCCGAGAACGGCGAACAGCTTGTCCGACCACACCCAATATCCACTGAATTCCTGCATCGAGACAAGGGCGTAGAACTGGTCCGCGGGAGTCTGTGAGTGGTAGACGGGTTTGGTCCAAACGTCCCCCACCGCAACAGACATTGGGGAGACATTCTGACTCATCTGCTGGACAGCAGGTGCGACATCATCATCATCATCCGGGTCGTCAAGAGGCATGCATGCAACATCGTCTACCTCCTTCCGATACTGTACCAGGAGGGCTTCGTCGACTTGCGCAGCAGGCGGGGCGAGTGCCGGCGCGGCGAGCGGGGGTGGAGGGGGTGCAGAAGGAGCGCCGGTGCCAAACAAGCCTCCCCCGAATCCGGAGCTTTGCCCGCCGAAGAGGCCTCCTGCGAAAGAACCCCCAGAACGCCTTCCAAACGCGGCCGCTGTAGATGAAGTGCTTGTAGGCCCGCCGAAAAAGTCTCTGCCGACTGGAGGCTGAGAGGACGTACTCGGAGGCCCAAATGGGTTCGATGAGGCACTCCCACTCGCAGGCCTGCCAAAGGCTTCACTGATTGGACGATGATGAGAAGATTGTGTTTTCGGAGGCTCCCGACCGAACAAGCGGTTGACGGAGGGAAACATCGATCCGGCCCGAGAAGGCGGCTTCATGGAGAGATTGCCACTTTCATACAATAACGGCTCTGATCCACATAGAACCACGGATTGATCAAAGCTTGTGGCAGGACCCATTCCCACCTTCTTCATCTTTTTCTTAGCCACACCATTGTCTGGCGGCATCTCGGCAGCAACGCACAGCTCATCCTCGGTGGACCTGGCGCGGGGCGGATCGCTGTCAACGGCAACGAAAGAGCACCACTTGCCACCGACCTGGAACTGGATACCGAGACGGACAGCCTCTCGTTCCACCATGGTGGGGAATCGACCTGGATGCTTATCCTTGAGAGACTGGCCATCCTTGGCATTTGCATGGAAGATCCAGCCGCGACCCTCCTCCAGCTCCTTGACGGCCTTCCGAGCGGCGAGCTGATGGATGGTCTCAGCCTTGTCTTGAAGGATTGTGATGGGGATCTGGAGCTCCAGGGGTCCTTGGGGTGACGTTCCACGAAGAATGAGGGACTCTGGCGTCTTGTCTTTCAGCTCTCTGTCGGGAGAGAGGATGAGATAGGTGGTCGTGCGGCTGAAGGGATACAGGGGCGGGATCTGGAAGGGTGCCCGGAGCACCTTTGGCGGCTTGACAGCAGGGACGTGAGAGTACCGCTCCGCACCGGCTCCATCGACATGTGGCTGCTCGGCTTCTGTGTCGACGTCGTCATCTGCGCTACTATCAAATAGCGAGATGGGCTTTTGGGGGAAATCGGGTGCATCCTGGCCGAGGGGCTTGGGCGAAGCTGCGGTGGCTGGTTCGATGATGTCAAAGTCATCTTCGGGCTCTGTTTCCGACTCGGCATCGGCGTACTTGAGCTCCAGGGTGTAGTCGTTCACGTGGGGTGTGAGTGCGCCCTTGAGCATCCGGACAACCTTGCCAGACATCTTCTCATTCTCGGAGACGGCCTGGGAGAAGCCGTTGCCAGCTCGTGCAAGGCCCTCGATGAGGGAGTGGCTGACATCGCGGCCGACACCCAGGGTAAACAGGCGAATGGCACCCTGGGACTTTTGGACGCGGTCGTCGACCATGGTGAAGAGGCGCTCCTCGTTCCAGACTTCGCCGTCCGTGAGTACAAAGACCTCGAGGTCGAGATCGGGGTGGCGCAGCTCAAAGGTCTTCTGGATGGGGCCATGGATTCGGGTGCCTCCATAGTTGGCATCGAACGTGTCGACGTGTTTCATGGCGGTTTCCAAGGTGTTTTTGTCGTAGGTCACGGACTTGTCGAACAAGAAGGAATAGCTAGAGCCGAAGCTGCAGATATTGAACATGGCGCCGACGGGAAGCGACTTGAGGAAAACCTTGAGGGCATTCTTGAGGTCGTCAATCTTGCTGCCTTGCATGGAGCCGGAACGGTCACAGATGAAGACGATCTCGGGCTTGGTCGGGGCTAGCTTGAACTTGGGAACGAAGGTGGCCATCAGGGCTTGCTGGTGGGGGATGGTGGGATGCGTCTCGAGGACGGCGACGGGGTTGGATGTGTTTGTAGCGATGACCTGGATGATGAAGTCATCATCCAGCTGTGCGGTGCCCAAGGAGAGAGTGGCGGAGGCGAACTGGAGGGAAGGGGCGGCGTCAGCACTCATGGTGGAGGTGGAGCCAACAGAAACAGCGATGGGGTGCGAGGGCGACTGGATGGACTTGATGACGCTTCCAGCCGGCACCTCGGCGTCAACAACGATGCTGATGCCGCCCTGTGTCGACACGTTGGTGGGTTTATCGAGCAGCGTGCCGGGGTAGGAGCCAAAGCGGGGAGCAATGGAGGTAGGTATGGTGAACCTGATACCGTCGACTTCAGCATCGTGCTTCAGCTCGCCCAGATACTCGATCTCGACAGAGATGTGGGCACCAGCGGGAACGTTGCCGACGGTGGTGGTGAAGACATCGCTTGCGTCAGGAAGTTGCTCGAATAGAGCGGCCGTCTGGCCATTGGCGACGGCGTCATCGTACGTCTTGCGAGCCGTGTTCTTCTCCTGCACAAGACCGCGAATGACACGATCCTTGTTGATGGTGCAAGTGAAGGCGACAACGGACACGCCGTCGTACAGGGGAAAGTTGTAGCGAAGCTCTGGGATGGATGCGGTGGAAGACGGGTTGGCGAAGGACTGGGTCAGGGTCGTCCGCGAAGTGGAAGCAATGATGCGGGCATGAAGGGACTGAGACAGCGGAGGGAGATATCTGCGTTGGGGCTTTTGGAACGGGCTGACAATTGACGAGTCGAGGTAGTAGAAGCCGCAGACGTGCTGGTGATGGCGGGTGCCGAACAAGGACATGATGGACAATGAGTACGGGGCTCACAAGGTCCAGGAGGTCGTCGAGATGACAAGATGTCGAGTGGTTGTTGTTGTTGTGGTGGTGGTGTGACGACGTGGTGTGGTGAAGTCGTTTGATGGGTTTCCTGCGTGGAATGAATGGTTGTTGAAATGTGGTTCGGGAACCAATGTGGATGAATGTGTAGACTACTCTCTGAGAGCAAGAGAGAGAGTGATAGAGAGAGAAGGAGGAAAAGAACAGAGGCAATGGCAAAGAAGACTTACTTATATGCCTCATCGTGGGATTTTCTGTAGATGTCGGGAGATGGTGTGGTGAATCCGTGTCTCTCTCCCGGCTCTTGCCTGTTTGTCATCCTGCGCAGTGTAAGTCTCCAAGGCGGAATACGGAGCAGGTACGAACGGGTCGCTGGGGGAAGGTGCCCCGCCAAAGAGTAAAAGCAAGAGCAGGCGCACCCAGGCAGCAGCTTCCTTGTCCGGGGAACCAATCAGCGACAGATTGCCGAAGGATGGTGATTTCTGATTGGCTATGCTTAATTTCGAATATGGCCCGTGCATGGCTGCCTCTGCGCTAAAGGGGGATATCAGTGGGTCTTCATGGGGGATGATGGGATCCACAAGTCCCACTCTTTTTTCGTTCGTTGTCAGTTTTACGCCGCTGCGTATTCCTGCATTCTCAATCCATCTTTCTCGTCTTCAACAGCCGACCAATCAGCCAGCAAGGAGTCAATCTTCTTCTTGGTTTGTAATACAAACCATCCTTTATATCATCTCTTCACTTGGTTTTTTCTCCTGTCGCCTGCTTCTTTTCCTAATACTGATGACGAATCAATCTGACCTCTCAACCCCAGGCACCAAGACTCAGTCTGATCTCTAATGGATGGATGGATGGATGCCTAGTCGTTTGCTGAATGGGAACGCCTTGGGGTGACTCAGATGTGGCATGTCCTCCCCTAATTTCATTGTTATCTATGCAAAATGAACAAAGCCGAACTGACTCTCTCCGGCGCAAGACTCGCCTGCTTGTTAATATCAATATCTTAAGAGACGCAGGCCCGGAACACACCCAATATGTCGGCTCCTACACCATGAATCCCTTCTGCACCATTCAACCGCTGAACCCCAGTATGTGTCTTTCCAACTCGCCGAAATCGCCCAAGTCTTGCCCCGTCAGGCTCAGGTCTTGGTCACGGTAGATGGAGTTCCAGTCAAACACGTCCTCTGGCAGCAGCTCTGCCATTCCCTCTGTCTGCCTAAACGACTGCCCTTCGTCGTTTGGTCCCGCCGCCGCTGCTGGCTGCATCCACAAATACGAAATGTCGTTCCACAGACTCGAATCCAGCAGGCTTCTCGACCCCAGCTGGCTAGCCCGTCCAGACGACGTCAGAACCCCCCTGTCAACAGACCTGCTCGTCGTCGCAGCGGCCTGGGTGTCGTCGCCATCGTCGCCCGTCGCCGAGAAGACTGTTGTCGCTAACGACTGTTCACCGCCCTCCGCAGCCATACTCGCCATCCCCGGCCGATTCGTGCCGAACTCGCTGGGACTGTTCTTGGGTATGTCCAAGAAGGTCGACAGGTGATCCCGCATCCGCCGCACCTCCCGCGCCCTTTGCAGCGCAAAGTTGTTACCCCGCCCGACGAGGTAGTCGAGAATATCCAACGCCTCCGAGAGGCCCGGTCTAGGCGCCAGCTTCCCGCCCTCCTCGCACGTCGAGTCGATGATGAGCGTCAGGATCATGATGAAGGCAGCCGAGAAGATGGCGTCCAAGTCGAAGAAACCAAACGTTGCTGCGACGGTCCCGAGTCAGTCTACAACGTCTCGTGTGTACAACATCCTTTAGGAGTTTCCCCTCGACTCACTCAAGATGTTCTTCTTTCGTAACGACATCAAGACCTCCAGCAGCCGACGTGCCGCTTCCGAGCACGTCCGGCTGAGCCGTCCCAGCGGCGAGGCTCCCAGCTGGAAGTCTCCGCCGCCGTTTTCCTGGTCGAATATGAGTTTTGACACGTGGAGCATGACGGGCCGAATGGTCAGAAGAATCGCCTGGCAGCGTTGTTAGCTGTCTTCGTAATCCTAGTTGATTGTAGTCGACCCACTTGGTAAAGCATCATATGGAGATACGCCGACGTTCTCAGCGAAACGTCCCCTTCGGTGATCGCCAAATCGGACGTGTTGGTCGACAATTCACTCGGAATCTCCTTCGCGATCCAGTAAAGCGACTGCACAATGCCTTGCACGTTCGGGACGAAGGTTTCTTCGGGATGTGTGCCTGGTTCATAGATGGCTGGAGAATGCGAGTGTCAGCAAGCTCAACACCCAAGACTGAGTCGGGTTCAGCATACTCGGCAAGATCCTCCCCGTGACCCTTGCAATCTTGATGTTGGTTCGCAGAGGGAGAGCCGGCGGAAAGCCCGGTGAGTCTTTGGGCATGTCGACCTCGATGGCCTCGTCCAGGATACTCGAGGGGTTGCCGGTAGCGGCAGCGAGGCGTCTTGGCATGACAAGGTCAGCAAACGTGACTGCTGGCGCGAGGGGAGGGGGAACCGCGGTTCACCGAAGCCGCGACCCACCTCTCTTGCATGTACACCGTCCACCACAACCGGTTCAGGTGCACCTTTTCTGACTGCAACAAGTGACCTGTCCCCGATTTGCGGTGATAGCCATGCGTTGTCGCCAACCGGAGCGCGGAACTGATCTGCCAAGATGAGAACATTGACAGCCCCGGGGTGATGTGTAGCCGACTCACATAAAGGTACGCCTCCTCTTTGCGGTTCGCATTCTGCAAATACACCGCCGCCAGGGCATGTATCTCGATCCCCAGCTTCCCCAGGACGTACAGCTCGCCCAGGCTCGGGAGTTTGGACTGGACATACGCGAAGATGGTCGACCCGGGCAACCCGCTCCTCTCGTCGTCGTCGAAGCTCCCCGAGAAGAGTTTGCCGATGGCGAACACGAGCAGCATCTCCAGGTACCACGGCGTCTGCGTCTGCGACGCGTCGCTCAGGTTCGAGTAGAAGAAGGCGAGGCGGTCCGAGAACTCGCGCGTGTCGACGTGGTGCTGGGTGTGCCCGATGAAGAAGGTCATGCTGTCGAAGAGCCTGCGGGCCTCCTCCTCCGAGGGGAGCGGGAGCGCGCCATCCCGGGGCTTTAGGGCTGTGCCGAATCCCGGGTCGGTTAGGTGGCTGACGCGGTCTCGGCGCCCTAGCCGTGGATGCTCCAGGACGGTTTGGAGCCGCGATCCAAAGGTGTGGATGGAGCTCAGTGAAGAGTCGGCCAGTATACCTGGCGATATTCGTCAGGACGGACAGCCCGTCAAACGGTCAAAGAAAAGCCACCAAGGGGACTTACCGGACCTCGGTGAAGATTCGACGACGACGTTACTAGCGTTGCCTCCAGATGGGTTGTTCCTCTGTGTGGGGGATATGGATTGGTCAAGCGCCAGCCCGAGCAGGGTGGAAGCAGCGTTCACCTGAGTTGCGTTATCCTGAGGTGTCGGCGCTGTAGCCCTGGTTGGCGGACGGTTGGGTGACTCCGTCTGACTTGCTGATGTCTTGATAGCATCATTCTCCCGCACTTTAACCGTGTCAGCGGCATGTTAGGGGCCAAGTGGGAAACCAACCATGAATGACCGACCATTGGCGGTTGTGAGGCCGCCACCGCCGCCGCTGCCACCTTGGCTCTCATACCGAGCCAGCCTTTCTTGGAGGTCTTGAATCCGACTGAAATGAGGGGAGGCATCACATCAGAAACAGCGCTCGATAGTAGATTATGGGGAAGGGGGAACCGACGTGACAGAGTACACCCGCTTCTTGGCCGGCTCGGGGAACTTGCACTCGAGGTCGCGCCGGCTGCAGTACGTGCACGGCGCATCGCCCGAGCACTTGACCTTTTTCCGCCGGCATGTGAGACATCTGTGTGTGTCCGCCCACCTGGGGGTTAGCATTCGAGAAACTCACACTACACGGTCATGTGTGTGTGTAAGAGAGAGAGAGAGAGAGAGAGAGAGAGAGAGAGAGATAACAGGAGCATATGCCTAAGAGCGAAGGGCGAGGGGCGAAGAGAGGAGGGGTGCCGGACACTCACGCCGAAATGGTCTTTGCTGCGTCGCGGCTCACGCCGTGTCTGCTGCTGAGCGACGAACGTCTCGGTGAGGCGTTTCCTTCCGAACCCATCACCTTCTTGTTCATTTATTCGCTTGATATTTTTTTCTCCCTAATTGTGTGCCGCTCTCTCTATGCGGACGAAGAGCTTTTCCCCGGTTGCTGTGATTCCGCCGTGTGCATCTTGAGTCTCGGGGGAGGAACTGAGGACCTCCGAGGAAGTGGAGGGGGAGGGGGTGAGGACGCCGAACCTCGGAGCGGGGGTTGGCCGGCACTAGCCCTATCTTTGCTCATCGACCCAATCTCACCATGTTCCGCCATGTAAAAGTTGCGATGCGGTTTATGGGCATCAACAAAAATAACCGTCGTGTATTCTTTTTTTTTTCGTAACGTGGATACAAAGTTTGGGGGGGGCAGGGGGGGGGAAAGAATATAATCCTCCTCCATCCCTTAACTACAAGTTGGCTAGGCACTGTAGCTATACAAAGAGGAGGAGCAGGAGGAGGTTACTTGTATGACACTGGATACTTGCGTCTGTCTCCCAACGGGCTATGAAGCGCGCTGGCCGAGACAAACATTCCCCTCGGCAGCCTGCCCGTTCGGGTAATCAGCCGATCCTGGCTTCATCTTCATGCCCCCGCAGCATCGACAGACTCGAAGGTTGTGAGGGGGCAAGAGAGTCTACTAGTAGTAGTTCCCTCTAGATCTTGGCTTATATCATAGATAGGAGTTTATAGTAACAGAGAACAGATAGACTACCAATAATACTGCTGTTAAGTGGCTGATAAGAGTCTTTCTCCCTTAGACAGCATCTAGACTTCTTATCCTGGATGGCTATAAGAGTGTAGTAATGCTATATAAATGTTTATCTGTTATTCTTGCCGCTACATACCTCCCACGTCCTATAGCCTCTTGACCAGGCTGTCTTTAGTCCTTTAAAAGCAGCCTATTGGAAGGAGCTTGGATACCTTAGGCAGTAAACAATTTAATTATTATTAGCAAGAGGGGCTTTATATCATGTTATCAGTCGGCCTGCTAGGCTAGGCTAACTGCAAGCAATATCAAAAGCGCTAGGTTACGGCCTGTTACCATTGCGAAGCCTCTAATGAGCTCCTATCTATTGCCAGATACATTCGCACTATTACCAGCCGTCAATAAGAGGGTAAAGAGGGCCTATAATGCCCAGGATATAGAGGAATGGGTATCTGCCGTATCTGCTGTTAAGTGCTCTACGCCAAGGTGAGAGACCTTGGATATCAGCTGCATCTATTTAACTAACTAGAGCAAAACATCGCCACACAACGCTGGCTCTTTAGGAATGTCAAAAAAGGCTTCTAACAGCAGTCATTTGAGCTGGCTACTGTTAAGCATCAAATACAGCTCCCACAGGCCAAAGTCAACAACAGTACTACTAGGAAGAGGGAGACTGTTCATGTGGACCCTAACACGAAGTTCGCAACAATCAAAGAGGTGCGGCAACGAGTGGGTTGCTCGGCTGTCTCTCCCTTGTGTAGCCTCAAATCCCTGTACGAACATATTCCTCGGCCCTTTGTATTTACTAAATATTGCACTACAAGCTTATATTATGTGTGCACGACTCGCATGTTGAACATGAAGGCAAAGCCAGAGTCAATAGATGCTGCAACACACCCAAGTATGCTCTCTCAACAGGCTGTCACGACAAATGAAACTAATGCAGTGCGTCCTCTCAATTTTCAGGCTATCTGAAGTATAAATAAGCAGGCTCACATCCGTGATTCTAGGAGAAGATGGGGAGCCAAATGATACGGCATTTAGTGACGCAGTTGGGGACGCGGGAGGAGGGTGTTATTGGGGTAGGGAAAACGGCCTGAGTATCTGCGTCTCGAATGCTCTGGGCCGGCCCGGGTGAACGGAATGATAGTTCCTACGGCCCCGAATCTCTACGCCTGAGAGTATCGCGACAGCTTCATACTGTAGCAGGGGGGGGGCGAAGGGGTTTGGATTTGAGCATGTTAGGCCTCGTGGACGACCGGCAAGCTCAAGAGACTATGTTTGTTCACTTCTACTAGCTATCTATCCAGCATTCAGTGTCTCCTTTGAAAGCATATTTCTTTCTACCTTATCCAAAAGTTGGCAGTTTCATGACTTTATTGCGTCACCTAAATGTTGTGGACTATATAGAGAACCTAGACATCTTTCCTCAGGTCATTTACTGGAAAAGGACATCCACTAATGCTCTCTGCAGAGAAATCCTTCGCGGTAAATCTAATATCCACTACCTTCGACTCAGCTGGCAAGCAGAATGCGACGTCGGCATTGAAAACTCCCTTGTCATGCATCAGATCGAGAGTCTCCATATTGAAGCTCCAAAGCTCTTCTCCCGAAGGCTCAATGATGAAGCGCGGGTTCATGAAGCACCTGATCTTCTTTCCAAACTTCTTGGCAATTTCGGAAGTGTTCTTGTAACGGCATTGTATGACACCTGTTGTCTGTTAGTCGACCATCTGTTGTTCGGAGGGTGCTCTCATCGTTCAAGGTCTCACACAGCAGGGCTGTTGTGAGATCCCTTTCCCGAGATACACACCTGAAATGATGATCCCATCCTTGACCTGTTGCACGGCCTTCGTCCGCTCAAAATAGAAGGTCGTCGATATCAGCCGACGAACTATGAGATCTACTTTACTCTCGCTGCTGCCATCCGCCATCTTTTGACCTCGATCCTCTCTAAGAAACTTGGCAGTAACCGAGTTCATGGGCATATTTGCACTTGTTAACGAGTCTACTTGATCAAATCCCGGAAGGCCATTTTTGAATTGTGGACAAAGTCGTATGTAGCGATCGGGGTTCGCTTTTGATCGGTCTCCGAAACGCTCATCCCATCTCGCTTGGGCGATTTCACTGATGTACTCGCGTCGTGACCTAAATGGATCAAAAGACTCAGAACACCCGGAGCCGATGGAAACCAGAACATCGGGAGGTAAGTTTGATGCGTCAGGCCATATCTTCTGGGCCTCTGACAACGTTTCTTCGGAGGGGTTGGGGTATTTACTGCCGCCGCCGGAGTATACTTTGCCATCTGCGCTTTGGACTGGATCAAAGAACCTTGGGAAAGAAAATGTTGCATTGGCTGCTGCTGCAACGGTCAAAGTACAGGAATGGGCATAAGCCGCCGGTTCAGAGTGATTCTCCTTTGTGACTTTGAGGAGTAAATTGTCAATGTCACCATATTGACTATATGGGATAGTAAATACCTACCAGTATCCTGCCGTCGTCTGTTGTATTAGTTGGCAACCAATTCGCCGCCTTGGACAGCCACCCAGGTTGTCACAAATAATCGAGCTGAGTTTTTTCCAGAGAACTTTTGTATGGACCACAAGTTGTCAATGATCAATAAAATTGTGCATGATATGATTGAAGGACTGGTGCTATACTCACGATCGATGCCAGCTGCAAATTTCCAATAGATCCAAAGGCTGTCCGGATATTTTTTGCCAGACTCTCAGACCGGCATGTCGGCTGGTTTTTCAAGCTAAAAAAGCTCGGATCATTCTTTTCAGAAAAGGTGTTGGCCATCAGTTCTCGAATCTTCTCCTCGGCCTCGGAGACGCACCAGTTGGCCGACACCAGCCCCAAGGCGACAATACCACCAGAGCCGGTACCTCCGACCAGGTCAAAGCAGTGCTGTAGGGGGAGTTCCCGGCCAAGTTCCTGTTGAATCTCGTTGAGGATAGCGAGTTGAACAATGCTCCTGACACCGCCCTCATCTAGGGATAAGAGTCTTCGCCCAAGGGTCGATGGTAAACGGAGGTACTCGAGTGCTGGGTCAAGCTCCCGGATGCGCGAGTGCCGGTGGCAATGTCGAACAATGTATAGTCGGTTGTCGCAAGAATCTCGCTCAGATATCTCAAGTAGGCAGGGTTCGCAGATCCAATGGCCACACGATAGTCGCTCGGTTGGCACATGTTTCAAGCACCAGAAACATCCTAGTAGGTCAGGATAGTTCATGTCATTGACCGTCTCGTGCATGCGCAGAATGGAGTTGTTATGTATTTCCCGCAGCATGGGGAGCACCATGTCTGCCTTTCCCTCCGACAAGAGAGTTTTTCTTTTTTCGTCATGGTCGTCTATACCCTCAAGAAACCCACGATACCACGAAGAACTGAACTGGAGGTGGAAGTCGTTTGCGTCATAGATCCCACATCCTATGACGTTGCCCTTGGTATCCTGATGGAGACCGTTTTGTCCATGGGCAGCAGCTTTGGTAACACAGCTTTTCCCGTCTTTGCTGTAATACTTACAGTCACATACCCTATCAAGGAACTTGTTAACTGCATCCACAATTTGTCTCTCGTAGGAAACTTCCCGAGCTTCCATGTCTGTTTCGGCAGGGTTGGACGTTTCTCCTTGTACAACTTTGGAGAATGTGACTGGGACGTTTTTGTAAGTTCGATGTATATCTATGGCGATGGCTGCACAGATGACAGGTGTGACAAGTTCAAGTAGGATCTTAGCTAAAGCTTCGGAGTTCAATGGTCGTTCTTCGGCCTTTAGTGAGTTGGTGGCAGCAAAGAGCATGCTGGACAAGCTCTCCGCCAGAATGGTAGGCAATGGGTTAAGAGAGAAAACGGTCTCGATGTAATCGAAAGGCCTGTCTCGATGTTGCGAAAAATGTTCGAAAGCCATGCGACAGAAATCACTCTGATGCTCCGCCTCGAGCAAAGTGTTTGAGGCCTGTTTAGCTTCACGAGCTGTGGCAGCTGCGTCCTTGATCATCTCACTGAGCAGTTCGGTCTGAGAGGCTAACCGTGCTAGGCCCCTCCGATGAGGGATGCGAATGAATTTGACTGAGGAAAAGGAATGCCCAACGACCGAGTCTATCGTTTCTCGATGTTCATCGAACAGTTGATTTGTCGTCTTATCGGGAGTCCAATCAGGTGTAGTCAAATCGGACCGGTTCAAGACCACAATGAGTGATGGTAATGACGTTCTGTTGATAGCTGCTGTTGCGGACTTTTGTGACCAGTCGGCGAGTCTCTGAAGGACGCCTCCAAGTTGCCTCTTCTCTGTTTCAGAAATGACGTAAACTAGGACATCTGAAACATTGCACAGAAGCCGGGGGAATAAATGCTCAAGAGCAGTATCTCGGCGGCCTTTGACATCGACGGACCACTTGAGATTGCGACGGATGCTATTCCATGTATCCCGCATGAAAGGTGAAGTCCAACTTGCTGTAGAGGCCCCCGGCTGATGGTTAGCTTCCATGTCCCGTGCGAACACATTGGCTGCAGCGGATCGGTTCGCGCCACCGAAACCTTCGCAATCCGCAAAAAAGATTGGGTTCTGAGGCGCGTCCCTGCTGCCGATTGGATCGCCATAAAGCCGAACATCGGAAGACGTCGGGATTGCGCTGTCGTCGCCGATGACTGGAGCAGGCACTTGATCGCTGGTATCATTGTTGCCTTCGGCAGTGGAAACCCAAAGTTGCCTAACAATCGCTTGAATCAACGTGCTCTTCCCAACTCCACTGTTACCCACGAAGGATACCAGACTAGGATAGACATCTTTCACTGCTGGATGGCTTTGACGATGTTTAGATATGAGATTTTGGAATCGCGGATATGATTCGAAGCTTAGCGGCTCCTGGCCAGCTTTGATGATTGCGAACCAGACTGTGTCGTAGTTGGCGCGGTGCTGTTGATCGCGATATTCTTCTGACTGATTAGACTCAAAAGCTTGTTCCAGATGCCGACTTCGCCAACGGGCAACAATGGTCAGCATATGTAACCTAGCAACGGAACACGGGATCCTACAATGTTCTAGGGGGACCCTCCACAGGGAACCCGTTCAGATGAAGTTGTATGTGACCCTTGTCTGGTTCATTGTGTGATCTCTTTCTTGGCCAGCAATCTTGGCAAAGCGGGTAGGGACATCGCGAGCATCTGAAAGCCACAGGGCTTTCCTCACAGTCCCGACATTTTTCATCTGCTTCGGTAGTCTGGGGAAAGACGGGTGGGACGTGCCTCTCTGGAGATGGCTCTGTTGACCATGCTTCCTGAGAATCCATGGAAAGCGGCTGTGTGATTTCAATCGATACGAGGGAACTGTCCTCATGAAGTATGTCCGTCCGTTACACCAGTTCCGGGGGTTGTGCCTCAAATATAGGCAATTTAACAAAGGCAAGTTCAAGGCCAATGAAAGCTGTTTGACATCCACCTGGCCAGTCAAGTTCCAAGTTCTCAACTAGACGTATTGTTTGCGACTGATTGGCCGCCCTACATTCGTGTTTGGACCTCATTACTTTGGTGAAATGCTTTTGCTGCTATGCATCGTCCTTGGTGTGGTATCACTGCATGGGTGCCCAATGCTCCGGCAGAATCATTCAAGCAACAATGTAGCCTCTTTAACATTGGTGTAATGGTGTCCTAGAATCCATTGGCCATACGAGGGCATTCGAAGTAGGCTTAAGGTGCTAATCCTGTTGCCATCAGGCTTCGCTTGCAGTTGATGTAACCACCCAACACGTCAGCCACGAAAAGGCATGGCTGGGTAACCCCGCATGGAGCCTTCACCGATTCGGTGGCCCTACTGAGAAGAGAATCAGGCAGCTACTTCGCCGTGTAAGATCGGCCTTGTGTGAAACATAATCACACTTGCCATCAAGACCCTAGGCAAGACCCAAGTGATAAGTATGATGCTCAATACTCACAGGTACAGTAACCCTAATGTGACGACCCAACCAATTGGGTGCTAGCAGGCGTAACTATCCTATCGAGTGCCACTGGACCCCAGCACTAGGTGTTGATGCCGTCAGTCAATTCATATACAACTGATATTTCCTCCGCGTTTGCAGACATTGTCACATCACAGGAGATGAGGCGTGCGTGGCACTCGTGGAAGACGGTAGTCAACGCAGAGTCAAGAGGCGATGTCAAGCCACATGATTCCAGCCTATAGTCGCCCAGCCTTTACGAGATGCAAGGGAATGTATTGTATGATGGTAGATAATACGCAACTTCAAAGACAAAACATAGTGCCCATCCTGCGCGCGTCCGACGTGACTTATGTCTATAGTTGAACAAACTCCATGCTTAGTGCCAAGTGCTGATCCCCCTTTATCCACCGTCCCTTCGCCTGTCGGCGTCTCCCGGGACCCGCTCTTCCCCGGTACCTCAACACGCGTCCCTTGACCCCCGAGGCTAGTATAAATGCACCAAGGCCCGTTGCCTTGCAGACCACTTGTCAGATCATTCAGGGACCGCCGTCGACGGGCGACGACGGGATGGGCTGGAGGCGGGCGTTGTTCCGGCTGTCGAACAGCCTGGACACGCGGTTGTCCTGCAGCTTGTGCTCCGTCTCGTGCACCCTGTTCAGGTCGTAGTGGCGGATCAGGAAGCTGCCGAAGAAGGCCAGCACGGCGAGCGAGACGTAGACGCCGTGCACGCCCTTGAAGCCGAACGCGTACGCGGCCAGCACCGCGTCCTTGAAGGTGCCGTCGGGCAGCGTCTTGAGCACGACGAGGTACTCCTCGGCCCGCTGTGCAATGTCCTCCGCGATGCCCTGGCGCTTGAGCTTCAGTGCCATGACGTTCTGGAACGTCGTCGACCCGACGTTGACGCCGATGGCGCAGCCGAGCATGCGTAGGAACAGGTACATGGACGCCGCGTGGCCAGAGTTCTGCGGCTCGACGATGGCGCCCGTCACAAAGGTCTGCGCGTTGAGCACGAACCCGTGCCCGATGCCCCCAATGGCGAGCGTCACAATGTGGACGGCGAGCGGGGTGTTGACGTCCCAGGAGATGAGAAGGCCGGAAGCGATTGACATGAGGGCCCAGCCGATCCAGATGGACCAGCGGTATGCGTTGAATCGGGAGACGAGAATACCCGAAATAATGGACCCTGGGAGGAGGAGGAGGGTGACGGGAAGCATGGCTACACCGGCCATGGTAGGACTGTACTGCGTCACGGAGAGGAAGTAGAAGGGGATGTAGTAGAGTTGGCCGTAGAGCTGAGCACGCTGTCAGAAAACATGCTTTCAAGCGAACCATGGCCGAGTTTGGGTCGACTTACGATGAAACCCTGCAGAAGGCCGAGAACGTAGACCGTGATGGCGCTAGCGTCCGTGAAGAGGACCTTCTTCAGGAACGGGAAGGCCGCGTAATAGCCCTCGTACATCAGCGTGGCGGCCAGACCGGCGGCGCCAATGAAGACGGGCACCAGCGTCTGCGCGCTGCGCCAGGGGAAGTCGTTGCCGCCCCACGAGATGCCGACGAGGAACGTCACCATGGAGCTGGTGAACAGGAAGCCGCCGATCCAGTCGACGCGTCTAAGCTTCTCGGCGAAAGTCGCCGTGGGGGGCTTGAGGGTCAACAACACGGGGATGGAGATGAGCGAGTAGCCGCAGATGGGGAAGTTGATGTAAAAAATCCATCTCCACGTCGTGTGCTGGGCGATGACACCGCCGATGATGGGGCCGATGAGCGAGCCGATGGCCCACGCCATTTGGCTTGGTCATGGGTCAGTTGACTGTTCAGCTTCCAAAGGGCAGAACGATTACTCACATGATTCCGTAGAGCTTGGGGCGGTGGCGGAGGGGCACGATGTCGGTAAAGACCACCAGGCTGAGCACATACATGCCGCCAGCGCCAATGCCCTGGATGACGCGACCGACAAGAAGAAGAGCGATGCCGTCCGCAACGCAGCACAAGATGGTTCCGACGGTGAAGAAAGCCAAACTGCCGACCAAGATGATGGGGCGCCCAAAGATGTCGCTAAGGGATGCCAGGAAAGGCATTGCAACCGCGCATGAGATCAAGTACGCAGTGCCGACCCAGAAGGCTTGTGTCGAGGTTCCACCGATATCTTGAATGATCGCCTGTCAAGACACGCCAGTCAGCCTCTTTTCTCCTCAACGATTCCTCCCAAGCGGCCCAAACACTCACCGGCAGAGACGTGACGATGACGTTGGCGTCCAGTGCAATGACAAAGGACATGATGGACAGCGTCGCGATGATGGCCATTTGATGCCTCGATGCCTTCCATTCAGGGATGCTGTCGGACTCATCCACCAGCATGGGGTCCGAAGCCCTCCGTTGGTCTATCTCCTTCGGATCCTTGATGGCGGTATACGACGCCGGGTCGTACGCCGTCGACGAGTACGACGGCGTTGAGACGACTCTCTCATGCTGTTCGCGGTAAGCCATCTTGATCGCTTGCTGCTTTCAAGAAAATTGCTGTACTTGCAATGGTATTGGAAGAACCGGCAAGATGAAGGGGAAAGGGAAAAGAAGGGGAATGGCCCGGTTACAGGTGCTTGTCCTTCTTTAGTATCTTCATCGCAGCACATGCCTCTTTATCAGAGCTTCTTCTCCTCTCACCTACATGTGGCAAACTCACGTTCAAGGCCCGGTTCGCCGTGCGCTGGCCTATGTAAAGAGAACTCTAACATTTTCAAGTTACATGACGGCTTACACGCACTCACCGCAGACTGCAGCGATCCCAAGCCTCGCTGGGTGCCACAAGTTCAGACCAAACAGAAAGAAAGAAAGAAAAGGGCAGTCGGGTACTCGGGGAACGAGCCGCTGCCCACTGTTTCTCGGCTGTCAGCCTGATTGCGGTGCGGCTCGGGGGTGTGTCTGATTGTACTCGCCGCTGGTTTCTCGCTTGTTTCATTGGTGGCCGCCGCCGCTTGAAACTCGTTTTGGGAAAGGTGTGAGGGTAAAGGGAAGAGTGCCTGTGTGGGCGTGCAGAGTTCGTGCAGCTTGTTCTAGTATGTGAGAGTCGATGGCTTGATATCTTGGGACCAAGGTCACGGACTCTGACCGCCCATATTTGTTGCTAGCAAGAAACAAAAGAAATGCGGCAAGTGGTTCGGATCGGATCAAGCTGATAATCCCATAGATAACACCGTTGGAAATAGCATTTCAGGGCCAACTAGTGTTGGTCATATATTTGTGTGGCTGCTGTATGGATTCCTCAGTCTTGTTACAAACATGATACTATGATGAGGCTCGTCTCTCTGACCTGGCCTCGAATTAGCCGTCTTCTATCCAGATTGACAGGTGGGTTAGCCGAAAAGCACCATTTTGGTTCTGGCCAGTCGAATGCGACCTTGGATTGAGCTAGGTCGGGTAGCACATATCGTATTCTACCCGACAGACGGGACCCGAGCGTGCTCCTTTCGAGCATATCGGTCCACGGCGAACATGTGGTCGCCGTATTGTCTGCGACTGTGTCTTGTCGGCAAGCCGGGCTGGACTCGAGTGCTTTCCTGGTTTCCTTTGACATCAGACGATCGGCCCAGGAGCTCGAACAGACGTTCTTGGAACATCTCATTCGCATAGGTTTCCGGTAAGATGCAAGCCTGGTGGCATGTGTTCCGTGTCGCTCCCGCTTTGACTCGTGGGTGACTGGTGCGAGCGGCAGACTGTTGCCGGGTCCTTGCTGGACGGAAGAGGTGCCCTTCGAAGCATGGCCGATGCGCAGAGTCTACCGCGGACCCTATGCGCCGTTGATATACAAGGCCACGTTAAGCAAGCAGCGACCGCCTGTCGAGAAAGAGAAGGCGGCGTAAGCTGATGGGCTGGACGAGCTGCCAGATTTTTTCTCCCTCCATAAGTCGAGGCAAGACTCCTCTCGCTCATGGCCGCTTATAGTGATTCGCCCGCGAGTTTGCTAACAGTGTGTCCCTGACCGTGTTGTGTTGTCTCACGTCATGGGATTTTAGAAACGACACACAGCCACTCTGATTGTTTGAGCGAGGGGATCTTGCAGATGCTGAACATTGTCTGGCGGAAAGCGGGTTTGAGCGCGCGTCAACATGCGCCGTTGGACTTTGATACGTACGATGTCGATCCCATGTTCGGGCGCGCGGACAGCAGTACAGGTTTGGCGCTGTCAGGAGCGATATGCAATGCAACGATGCTCTTGAATCATCGCCGATCTCCTATAAGATTTTGCCTGCCTCTGCGAAATGGACGCGATAAATAAATTGGTTTCTTTCCCGAGAAAGCAGTCGGTCGATTCCTATCGTAACAAATGGAAACATTGATTGACCGCCGTTGAACGTGAGCTGATGGACACAGACAACCCGTTCGAGGGCTTGTGCGCAAATCTTGGCGAACAGATATCATCATCGGACGGAAACCAACGCGCGTGGGCTGTGCATGCAGACAAGTTTCACTGCGGGTTGAGGCGAGTGGCCTGAGTCGCAGCCTGGTCGTGGCTTGGCCCAGGGATGGAAGAAGTGCAGAAAACTTGGTTCAGGATAAGGTGGGAAAACAACAGAAGCGTTACACAACAGAGGGTTCGGCTCTAGCCGCATCTTTCTCCTCCGGCCTCGTGGATGGGTTGGTCCAGTGTCGGAACTGCCTTGCCGGTAGCCTCGACTCAAACATGCGATCAATTTCAGCCGGCGTTCGTCCCTTCATCTCTGGCACGAGGAAGAAGGATGCCACAAGCCCGAGAGCACATAGTCCGGCAAACACGAAACCGGTCTTGGCTTTAAGGTTGCCCTTATCGGGGTTGAACATGTACGGAAGAACAAAACCGAAGATGGCATTGTTCGCGCCGGCAGTGAACCAGCCAATCCCTTGGGCCTTGGAGCGCAGATGGAGTGCTGATGTCTCGGCGCTCACGGCGTGCGACGCGGGCCACACTCCCAGCCCTGCCACGATGACGACCGCTATCAATGACATAGCAGTGTACCTGAGATTCGGCGTTAGTGTCTCTTCGGCTGACGAAAAAACAAGCACGGTCAACGACTCACCATACGGTTACAGGGCCTGAGAAGCATCCAGCGATGCCCACGGCGGTCCACACGAGGGTTAGAAGCGACAGGGCCGTGATGATAAGGCGCCTGCGTCCTATCATTGAGAGAACCCAGATACTGACGATGTTTGCAACAAGTCCACAGACAATACCGAGTATGAGGACAATGACGCTCAAGCTGGCCTTCATGCCGACCATCTGCATGAAGTAACTGGATTTGGCAAGCAAGGTGAGACCGAACATGTTTGGTAGCGAATTGGCGAACATGATGATCAAGGTCCGCCGAAGGTTGACGCCTCGGAAGGAGCCGACGTAGGTGGCCTTGTTCTGCTGCCTCTCATGTTGAATATTCCGGCGAATGGTGTAGAGGGAATCCTCGGGGTCTGCGCCTGGCACGTCCAGCTTCGCCTGAGCCTTACGGGCCTTTGCGTCCTGGTTCCTGCGAAGAAGGTACGTTGGGCTCTCGGGGATGAGGAACGCCATCAACAACGGGAGAGCGGAGAACGGCCACTGCGAGGCAAAGCAAATGGTGTAACCGTTTTCCATGTTCATGCACGCAAAGATGACGGCGGCTCCCGTGAGCTGTCCTAGCAAGGTAAAGATGGGGAAAAAGGCCAGGAGTGGTCCCCGGAGGTTGGGCGGCAGGATCTCCGACATGTACGTCTGGGAGGTGGTCATCACCATGCCGATAGCCCCGCCCTGAAACCCTTTGCCTGCAAGAAAGACGCCGCGGCGGGTGTGAATATCGGGGGATAGGTTCGAGACGAAACAGACAGCTACACCAATCGCCGACAAGAAGGAACCGATAGCGAGTGACGCTCGGCGGCCGTATCTGTCCTGGAAGACGCCCCCGATCAGAGAACCGATCATGGAGCAACCCGGGCTCACGAAATTCCAGAGACCAAGCCAGAGGGATGGCAAGATCCATTTGCCGTTCAGGCGCTGGCCGAAATCTTGCCTTCGAAGTAGTGTTTGGTTAGCCAAACACGTCGGTGCCAAGGCTGACGGAAAGGCGTATAAGAAAAGGAGAAACCTACTGGAAGCTGGGCATGGCTGATGTGGTACCGATTATGACATAGTCATAACCGTACATGAGGATGGCAGAGGTCATCCCGATGCAGTAAAGGACGACGCGACGCCACTTCTTGATGGACTGCCAAAGAGTAAGGTGGTCATAGTGGTTTGTTTCCAGATCCGAGGTGTTGGTACTGGCTATACTGTTCACGGCCTCCAAACGACCAACGTTCAATGACTTGTCGCTGGCCATGGCGCTTTGGTCCCTCATGGCATTTCTATTCGGCGCACTCGAGAGTTTGGAAGAGGGATCGTGGTCTGTCGGCCGCTCGTCAAGTACGTGATGGGTTTGTCTTTAGCGTTGAAGCTGTGACAATGAGATGGAGCGGAGGCGGGGACCGGAGAAGAGCGTAACCAGAACGATCATGAGGGAAAAGCAGCGTTTTGAGCCGGAAGCGTGGCATGCGATCCACGGCGATGAAGATGGGCTAACAGTGATTGGGCTTGCGTTCTAAACCGCTTTCAAGGCTTGGCGACTCTCCAAGGTGGGATCCGCATGACCAAGATATTCGAGGTTGCATCGCAGGGTCGCCAGGGGAAGTAAGTTGCAACTCTGAATGGCTGTACCTGCCCAATCGTTGGAGGATGGCGAGACCTACATGCTCGTTGCGGCCACGTTAGACAGGAGAGGTGTTGAATGAGGTAGCATACCGGTGTCGTTCACCTGCGGCTTGCAGGGCGCAACAGCGAAAATAGCAATGAAGGGAGTGGACCCGGGCAAGTTTGACTGGGGGAGTGTACCGCCCATATGTTTGATGGATGTCTTTGTGAATTCGCATTTGATTTGCACATGGCCGACAAGGGCGTTGAGACCCCGATCCAGTGCGGCAAATATGCATAGTTTTGTCGCGTTGGTTCGCGTTGCTGTCAGACACAATCTGGCAGAAGAAGCCTTGTGCCAAGGCGACCGGCTCGTCCAGACTAGACTGGTAGCTGGCGGGCTGTTCCGTTTCTCCTGGCTAAGGCTGTGGGCGGCGTATCAAGGCACAGAGCAGCCGTAGCTGGTGCATCGCAAAGCTAGCATCGGTGGCGGGCGAGCGCGTTCTAGGGGGACTGTCGTGCGAGGAAAATAGCGCAGCATGGCATGGTATGCAAGCAGGCCCCCGTCTTGGCATCCGCCCATCCAACGCTGATAATGTCGGCAGTGTTGAAGGACTATCTCATCGGCGACGCCAGACCGGTGCGGTGTTGGAGCAACGTTTAAAGGTCATAAGTTCGTAAGCAACCAGCATGAGATATGATATCCTTGCACCGAATACAGCAATGGTTGCAGATCCCTGCTACACACCCTCCTGGTCTGAACTACGTCCGTAAGGTGTAGGGGGCACACCACACCTCGATGCATGAAGCAGGGGTCCATAGATGCCGGATGCGGGGAAGGGCATCACTGCGCGTGGACGAAGAGGAGTTCCAGGTCATATCGAGGTCGAATTCCCGAAATGTTCTGTCTGGATGCGTGGATGCGTTGGTATAAGATTGTTATTGGAACATGTCGGGGAAGTGAGACAAACGGACAAACAGAATGGAGGAAGATGATTTGTTGACTTCCGAGTGGCTCGAGTGGTTAATGAAGGGCTTGAAGGGTGTTAGCTGGGTTGCATATTTCCGTGAAAACTCTGACCGAAGCGACGATGCAGAGAGCAGCGCCAAGTCGCAAGGGGCCGTCTTTCGTGGACAGCCAAGTGACGAGGAAAAAGCAATAGGTGATCTGCAAATAGATTAGGTAGAGGGGAGCAGGGGCAAAAGCAGCCAGGGGAAATGTCGAGACGAGTGGCAAGCTGCCTGCAGCAGCAGAAAAAGCACAGGATGACGTGTTCTCTCTTTCTCGTTGCACTGACAGAATCCAGTTGCTTGGCACGGGGCGAGAGGTGCAGCGACGGCGCTGGATGAAGAATGTTGGATTGAGGGGTTGGTTGATTGATGGAAATGGAGGATTGAACGAGGCTTCCACATAGGGTTGAGGTTGATGCTGATATCCATTACGATCGGTGCTTTACTGAGAGAGGAACACCACGTGATTTCGCCGGTTCTTTCTTCCGTTGCCTTCTCCCTTCCCTCACTCTTTGTTTGTTCCGTTCCTTCCACCCTTCCTTCCTTCCTTCCTTCCTTCCTTTTTCCTTCATTCTTCCCTCGCATCCTTCCCGGTGCGCTGGGTTCCTCCTCCTCATTCCTCGACGTTGTGCCTTCCATTCTTCTGTTCGTCCCTTTTCACCATTCTGTGGTCTGTGCGCTCTAAGCGAGATGCACGGGCCATAGGCTTCTCTGTACTAGTCCAACTGAGGCCTAGCGTGCTCCGGGATGGGCCCGACTCGTTGACATCACCACCAGGAGCCGCTGATGAGGTCGACGATGTACCTTTTTTTTTTTCTCCCGCATTGCCATTTCTGTGCTGTAGCCCCTGGATCCGAGCTACTTGCAGTCGTGTATCTACCTACTTACTACACCGCAACACTTGGATCTATCTCAACTAAATAATACCACTGACTGCATCAATTGGGCCTCATATTGTGTGACTTTCTTATTGCATGCGATCCATCGCTATCCTCATGTCGAGAGCAACCCGTTCGAGCGCCCGGTTGGCCGCCTCAGCAACCGCCACCAAGCCAACCGAGGACGTTGCGCATCCCGTCAATCATGCCACCAATTCTGCAAAAGGCTCGACCAGGGCCGTGAAGCGGGATCCTTCTGGCAATAGAGACACTCCGCAGCCCGAGAAAAGGAAACGCGCCGCTACCAAGACCTCAAAGGCGACTCCCTCAAAAAAGGTCAAGACGGAAGACGACGACGATGCGCCATCACCGACCTTTGCCAACGTCCCTCCGTTGACACCTCTCAAAAAGGAGGCCATGAAGTCGGAGAGCCCGGACGCCAAGGCAAAAAAGCCGGCAAAGTCTCCCGCCGACCTGAAGTCCAAGAAACTCAAGGCGTATTCGCAGTACGCCGACAAATCGCCCTTCCCCGACTTTGCTCACCCGACCCCGGACGAGTGTCGCCTGGCCCACCGCATCCTGGCTGAGCTGCACGGCAAACGGGAAAGGCCCGCCGAGGTCAAGGCCTCCGCGACCCGTGCCGGCTGCGGCGACTCGCCCTCCGTCCTCGACGCCCTCGTGCGGACGATCCTGAGCCAGAACACCAGCGACACCAACTCCACCCGCGCCAAGCGGAGCATGGACGCCGTCTATGGTGGCAGCGACGAGTGGGAAAAGATCGTCGAGGGCGGCGTTCACAAGCTGCAGGAGGCCATCAAGTGCGGCGGCCTGAGCCAGGTCAAGAGCAAGGTCATCATCGGCATCCTGAACCAGGTCAAGGAGAAGTACGGCGCCTACACGCTCGACCACCTCTTCAACGCCACCAACGAAGAAGCCATGCAGGAGCTCATCAGCTTCCAGGGGGTCGGCCCAAAGACGGCCAGCTGCGTCCTCCTCTTCTGCCTGCAGAGGGAATCCTTCGCCGTAGACACTCACGTCTGGAGGATCACCGGCCTCCTGGGCTGGCGTCCCAAGAGCGCCTCCCGAGACGAGACCCATGCGCACCTCGACGTCAGGATCCCGGACGAGGACAAGTACGGGCTCCACATCTTGCTCGTCAAGCACGGCAAGGTGTGCGATGAGTGCAAGGCCGGCGGCAAGAGCACCGGGAAATGCGAGCTGAGAAAGGCCTTCCGGCAGGAGAAGATCAAGAGCGAGGAGGGGAAGCCGTCCAAACTGGATGAATAGCGACGTTGGCGGGTCCATCTTCGATTCATGTTCTGGCCAAGATGAGACGTAGAGAATGGCTATTCACCACATATGGTCCAATTGGTGACAATGATGGATGTAATACTACGGAATGGGGTGGAACAATTAGGAATGTTTGGAGCAATTTAACAGCGCGTCACTACCACTTCACTACCACAATATTCAAATAAAAGTCGGGTATTTGATAAGAGATAATGAAAATATCAATCGACAAGACCCCGTAGTGAAAAACGGTTCTTCATTCCCATGTTTAGTACAGGCGTTGAGGCAGTTTTGCTGATGATTGTTGTTTCTAGGAAGCTTCTTGTTCTCTGTTTTTTTTTTTTTTTCTCCCTACGCCTAGTATGTTTTTCAATGGTGCTGGTAGTTATCGAAAGACACGACTCCCTGCTTAACAGTCAATATTACTGCTTTCGTGACGAGTGTTTGTATTTAGCCAACTGTGACGTTGATCAACTGTGAAGTTCCAAGTCGGATCTCACAACATTACCTTTAATCAATGCGAAGCTGAAATCCGAGCAGTACTGCCAATGTTTACTCTGATAGTAGCGCATATGCTTGGTCTTCAAGTTTTTGAAGCTATTGATATCAAGGCTCCGTAGTTTGTTTGACTTAGGATCGAAGTCTCGTTGGTACTCGACACGGAAACTTCCGAGGCTGAGCTCTGGCAGCGTTGCAGCAAGATTAACTATGTCACCATTTTCTCCCAAAGACAATTAATTATATTGGAGTAAAGATGTTTGGCAGAATGGATGCGTGTCCTCATAAGCTCTTTGGTTAATATGGTTGCTTGGACATCCCCATCATGCGTACGCCCTTACAAGAGGCACGTTTACGCTCTCTTGTGTCTCTGTCTATCCCTGCCTTGCATATCTCTAATAACATAATCGTCACGATAGCTTCTTGCAGCACCTGTCAGGTGGATTATAATGTCGCCCGCATGATAAAAAAGATGGCACTCTTCAAACACTTTCCCACACCACATCCACACGAAGGCTATTAACAAAAGTGTTAGTTTGATAATAAGTAAACCACAAAACGCACTTAAGATAGATGTAAAGCGTACTTGGTAGTAAGAGGACTAGCCTGGCATTAGCTTTAAATTGATTTACATAGGTACATCTATTCATTTGGTGCTAGGCTGTTTGTATTGGTATGGGCAGTGCCAAAGTGCGCTATCCTTTTTGTCATGCGGGTGAATGTGCCATATTACATGGCGTTTCAGTCGTTACTCGTATTACTTGCCTATATATAGGACCTTTTCTTTACATCTCTACTTTCATAGGAATCTTGATACTCTTCTTATATGCCCTGTTGTGTACTCTAACTTATGACAATAACCCTGAGAGATGGCTTTATTACTTCACCTAATTTCGCGAGTTTCGAGGGATCACCTGTACGAAGGCGCCAGGCTAATGTTGAACGCACTGGCACATATTGATTCCATTATTACCGTCTTTTCGGGCGCATTATGTTCACTACCTTGTCGATATAAACTCCCGTCTTCATCCAATATATACTCCCTTTATACAATACTAGCCAACAGGTCGATTAGCCAGGGAGGCTAGCGGCAAGTATTTGTCGTTCCCCTACTCAAACTTATTCTGACAAAACCTACCAGCAAACATTTGCACCTAGGCATATCTATCGAAACTTGGAGTTCTAGACCCGCAGCGTTCTCAACACCTGTCTGTGACAGCCTCCGACGACTCAGCCGTTGCGTTTCCTAATCCTGGACAAGATTTAGCCTTGAAACAAACAAGCAAACAGTTACAAAGTAAGGTTATGCCTCCGGTTTGCTTATTGAACGGACTCCAAGACATGGCACAACGAAAGAGTCTGGCATCATAGTACGATGGTGTTCTTTTCTTTTGACCGTCTGTTTCTGCTTTAACCCTGCTAAACTCGTGTCGACGGATCAGTCAATCGCTCACAGCGCCCAATCGCGAAGGGAAGGGCGGAGCTATGTACTGGCGCCTCCGTTCCCGTCATTCGTGTCTACCCGCCCGGACCGTACGAAAGCTCGGTTTCTGGATTCAAGGCAGCGCTTGTTCATCGTATGGCACCAAGCACTCTTATCCGAAGTCATCGCTGGCAAACCTCGAGGACTCCCCCTTCGTGGTTTCAGCTTCTCAGCGTGCTGCCGCGCTAAAACAAGCCACAACGGCTCACTGTGGCTACCCCTGGCCATTTCCCGTGGGCTTTGCTCAGCCTTGGCAGCGCTAACATGGGGTGAGAACGGAAAGCCCCCGGCCGGCACACATCTAGTGTAAGCCAGCCCGTCCTTATCACGTTGCTGATCGCCCTCTCCCCCCGTCATGGACGGCCTCTACTGCGATTGCTATTTGCCATGTGCTTTCGCGGAGACCCATCTCGATTAATTGCTGCAATGGCTTGTTTGCCCAGCATGCGCGTTTACATGATTGCCGTTAGTCGGTGATTGCACAATGCAGATCACCCCGCGAGGTTAGAATGTCTTTCAGATCTACGACTCTGGAGTTTGTAAAGACAACGGGGCGGAGATCAGCGGCGTCGTTGATTACAGGGTTCAGTATTGAGATCGGCCGATATTTTCGAATATTGCATAACACCACAATGGGACCGGGAACAGTCAGCCCGAGAGACATCTTTTCGGTCTACCAAAGTGAATCTTTGAGCGTGAACATCCATCGGTTCTCCGAGGCGTTGGTAGAGAGCCTGCAGCGCCAAATCAGCAAATTTCGGTCATGTGTCCGAATCTTTCAAAGTGCAAACTGTTGATGGTTGCGCGGGAACGCGATAGCAAGACAAGCTTGTCCATCCACGGACAATTTGGCTTTTCATTTCGAGGCGCACAGTACAAACCCAGCCATACCCAGGGTGGGTACAGCCCTCCTAATCGATCCTTCGGAGAACGATGCGCCGCGCTACTGCAGGTCGCTGGCGGCGGACGGCCGGCAAACGACCAACAACAGGAGGCGACGATAACTCACCTGTTTGTACCCGAGTGAAGTGAGGCTCCTTGCCCTGCGGCTCCCATGTTCTTGGGCCCAGACAAACAGCGTCCTCCCGGATGCCACCCCGGTTGGTGGGGGAGCCAATCTCAACCATAACGCGGTCTACCGTCCCGAGCTACGGACACGTTCCCACCTTTTTCCAACTCTGTTCCGCTATTGATGAAGGAAGGGCTCAGATGTTCCGTGTATGTACTACTATGTCTTGCTTGCTCTAGCCACCACCTTACATGGCCCGGGGTTCTCAGAGGCGCTCAGTGACGGCGAGACTTCGCGCCGTCCTAGACTACGACGTCAGGGTTTGAGTACTGTTTGCTTTTCCTCCGAGGTTGCTGAGGCGCTACCAGGCTGGTCGCTCTCAGCCCTTGCATAATATAGTTTTCTGTCTCTGATGTTGTGCGGCCCGGAGGGAGGGCGAGGGATCCTGATAGCAAGGGGGGCTTTTCTCAGGAAGATATAAGGACGCCTCGGTCTCTCGTCTATCCAAAAGGGAGAGGAGAGCCCCCAAGGCAACGCACAACAAGATCTTCATTCTTCATTCTTCATTCTTTTACCTTTCCCTCGAGGTCTTCTTAGTTGTCGACTACGGGCATCACACTCTTTGCAACGCGTTTGGTCGCACAGTCACCCCCTTTCATCATGAAGTTCTCGTCTGTTGCCTTCTTCGCCGCCGCCGCGTCGGCTGGCCTCCTCGATATGATTGAAGAGCCTAGCGTTCCCCTCGTGAAGGCTCGCGCCGCGGGCTGCAATGCCGACAACTGCCTCCGCGCCGTAAGGGCCACCCGCTTCGGCACTGCCACCATGGAGGTTCGCATGGCCGAGTGCAGCTCATTCCTCGCCGTCACAGAGACTCCGATAGCTTCGTAAGGAGTTCCCCGCCAAGGCTTGGTGGTTCCCCCCTGCTTACCTCGTCTCCAGTACCGTCTTCGTCACCGAGTCCAGCATCCAGACCATCACGGCCAACTCCACCAAGACCCTCTTCCAGCGTCAGGTCGTCGAGACGCCGGTCTCGACGAAGACTATCCCCGAGTACGCCTCGGCGTGCCCGGACGCGGCCCGTTACAGCTCCGCCTGCTCCTGCTTCGGAGCCACCGCCGCCACGACCACCGCGCCGGCGGCCACCGTCACCTCGACCGTGACCTTCGTCGCGACCACGACCCTGGCGCCCTACGTCAACGTCACTCGCCCCGCCGTGTCCTGCAGCAACACCTGGAGCTGCGGCGCCGCCAGGATCCCCGTGTGCTCGGGCGAGTCGGGCTGCGTGTGCTTCGAGACCGTGGAGGGACGCAAGGTCTGCGCCCAGGCCAACGAGTGCGAGTCCAGCTGCGACACCACCAACGACTGCGGCAACGGCGAGGTCTGCATCAAGCAGAGCTGCTGCACGGGAGGGACCTGCATGAAGGTTGACGTCTGCCTGAACATCGCCCAGCCGAAGATGATGTTCAAGAGGCGCAATGCCGCTTGGATCAAGAAGCAGGCTCGGGCCGACTTGAATCACCTCAGCTTGGTTTCCCACCTTGCCGAGGACGAGCAGGCCTGATTTCTCCTAATGGACAAGGGGGAGGACAGAGTATCGCATAGAGCCTTGCATCCTTGTACATAACTCATTAAAAAGAAGCATGACCGGTGTAGATGTCAATTTCAAAAGTCAACGCGGCCGTAACGGGGCCGGGTAATTCTTTTACGCCCATAGAGATCAATCAGAAACACAGTGGCCCATATCTGAGAAATTGCTGTCTTCACATACCTGGAAAATGAGACGAGGAAGCTGCACGTGTATGTTTGGAGCCGGGGCAAGCCACTGAGCTGCATCCGATTGGCGGACCTCCAAGAACCTATGCCTTCATATTGGTATGCGGCAGGTAATATAAAGCTTGCCGCAGGAAACGTGTTTCTCACTGCTTGGCTACGATCCGAGTCTGCAGGCTGTCGGGGATCTGCCGGCGGCGTCTTCGGCAAGCTTGGGAAATGTTTGCTTATTCGGGCTGGCCGAGACTGATACATTTCCAATCAAACAGGCAAGGGGCAGCTAGCTGCATCAGCCCCCCCACGCTTGCTATGATACTGCTGCAAGCCATCACTCTCGGCGTTGTCATCTTTAATTTGCGTACTGTCACCACTATCTCGGGCTCATTCGGCCGTATTGGCACAAAGCTCGAGCATGTTTCATTGATGCTAGCTGGCTTGTGGCCCCGAATGTTTGTTTATCGGCATATATGCAACATGTGTGTCAACCAATTCCAAATTGTCCTATGGGATAGAATACCCTTGAGCATCTGCTTGTTTAATTCTCCTTATGACCACTGGAAAGCCGACGTCCCAAAGTAATCCCCCCTTATGGCCGCAGATCAGAGCGTACAGTTGCTAGTCTGCACTCAGTTTTACAATAAAATCCCACAAAATTTCTCTTGGGAAGTCTCCAGATAGCTTTGGCTATGTAAGAGCGCGTCACTTCGCCTTTTAGCAATATTCAAAGTATAATTATGACGTCTTTGCTAAACTTACTAACCCTTATACAAAAGTCACTTGCAAAGGCATGCGACACTATTACAACTTGGTCCATCGCATCGTGCTATCCATGGTGAAGGGCCATTATGCTTTCATTGATTTCTTTCCACTCGATTATATTCTCAATCATAAGTACACATTTCCTAATTTGACTACGGCATCGATGCTGGAATATGGTCTAAATGTGATCTCATCGGAGAGAGTTGCCACAATGGTTAGAGCTAGAACAGCAACGGCAACGAGGATGGGCAGAGCACCATTTCAAACCCAACCTTCGAATACAGGGCATTTTGCCCAGACATAAATGGATTTTGTTACATTCGCTAATAACTCAGGCCCGCAGTTGCTGTCTGGTGTAATCGCCACCATTCAACATAGGCTGTTCGACAGCTTGAACACACAGTCCATCAAATCCGCGATCTCGGAAGCAATCTCTGAAGTCACGAACCAAAATCTTGTCTGGCCTAAAATCTTCGTCGTCAACCAGAGCCTCCATGGAATCTGGTTGTCATATCGCGCCTAAGAAGGAAGCTAGCGCATTAAGATTTTATGTGTTGCGTATGCCTTGCACGCTTCTACGTCTATGTTGTCCGCATAAAACAGTCGGGTATGGAACAAGAACTCACGTTTAAGGCTTGAGAGAACAAGTGTTTGGCTGTGTTATTCGGTGTTTACGCAGCTGATCTACTAAAATCAGTACATCAACCACGGGACATTAGGTATGGGAAATACCAACCCTGACAAGCTATATTTCCAGCTTGCGAGTCGCATACTTGAAGGCTTAAAGATCCTAGCAATATTGGGGTATCAGAAGTTTTGGAGGAAACCATCGGTCACAAATTCATCTTACAAGAGAAGTTTGGCATTTCGGTGGACGGGAGTACAAACCTATTATCTCATTGTCGTTAAGGTAATGTTAGCCGTCTCTGGTGCCATCTATAGACATCGTTCGAGCTTGGTCTAACTCGCGATCCGTGAGGTTCCATCGTCTTAGTAATCTAAGCTGTGGTTAGAAATCTACCTGGTAGCTCTTGGTAAAGTTGAACCCCCCCTTTTTTCGCCCCTTACGAGAGCACGGGGTTTTTAGCTGCAGAGGGCTACCTAACACCCCTAGGTAATAATCCCAAGCAGTCCAGTCGCATACGTAATACTGGCTGCACTTCGTCCTTTGATACCGTATTCTGAAGTGTAACGTTTGGTGGTTGGTGTTATGCATACGGATAATCACACCACTACCAGGCATTCCGGCGGAGTTTATTGATGCATCTTTACTGACAACGCGTGTTCAACTGCGTCCGCATCGCAACCAGGCTGACAAATCCGGCGGGTGTTGACCTTTGAACCAGCATTGCTTCATGATATATCTAGTAAGTAGGATCTTCATCATCTAGATTGTCGTTAAATATCCACTTTCACATCGCCAACGACTTAATACTCCACGTTATATTGATCCTCAACACCTTGACTTGGTTGGTAGCCGACGCACCGAAACCCCTTATACATTCCTAAAGCCTCCAGAAAAGTATCTGAAAAAGACGACCAAATTCTCACTTCCTGGTAGACTACATAATGTCTCATTTGGCCGCCGTTCAACCCGAGCCCAAAGCTCGACTAGAAATTCAAAACGTCGAAACCCCACAGCTCGGCCCTGACGAGCTCCTAATCAAGAACGAGCTCATCGCACTCGTCCCAATCTATGCGAAGCAGATCAAGCTCGCCTTCTTTCCTCCCCAATACCCGGCGATCCTTGGAAACAGCTACGGCGGCACGGTCGCGGCCGTCGGCAGCAATGTAACTAGCTTCAAGGTCGGCGACAAGGTCGCAGCGGCCAAGGCCGTCGGCGACTCGGGAAACAAATACGGCGTCTTTCAAGAGTACGTCGTCTCCCGCGAGGCGACGGCGTAGCAAGGTCCCGGCAAATGTCGACCTCGACATCCCCGCCGGCCTGATTGGCAACTTCTCCACCGTCGTCGGACTGTTCAACGAGCACCTTGGTCTCGAGAGGCCCGACCCTGTCGGCCAAGCCTCGTTGAAAGGCAAGAAGATTCTGGTCTACGGTGGGACTTCCAGCTTCGGTAGCTTCGCGACGCAGTATCTCACCCAGGCCGGGTACCAAGTCGTCACCACGACTTCCCCGCCGCACAAGGACCTCGTTGCGAAGCTGGGTGCCGTCCACGTGGTCGACCACACGCAGTCTCAAGACGCGATCGTGAAGGAACTTGTCTCGCAGGGGCCCTACGACTATGTTGTGGACTCGGTCTCTCTGGAGCCCACGTTTGACGTCCTCACCCAGGTTGTCGCGGCACAGGGGGGCGGAAAGATATACACGTTGCTGCCGGCTCCCGACGCTTCGAACATTCCCGAGGGCGTGACCGTGGAGTTTGCCCCATGGGGCCTGCCACTCGGCAAGAAGGAGAACGCGGAATTGCTCAAGTGGGCTTACGGAACCTACTTTTCACAGGCCATAGCCAATAACAAGATTGTGGCATTGCCCTCGCAGAAGGTTGATGGTGGACTCGAGGGGCTAAACAAAGCGGTTGACGTGCTCTTTAAAGGAGTCAGCGGTGCCAAGGTTGTCGTCAAACTCTGAGTTTGGCAACCATCAGAGGCTACTGAAGCGTGGTATCGGAGCACATTGAGATAGCCGTAATACCCAAAGCTGTCTAGTAACCCAAGTTTCAACGCATGCAACCGTATGGTGAGAGAACAAGCATTTGTTCCGCATCTAGCGTCATTGATTTTTGATTGTATTTTTCATCTTCTAATCCAAAGTCCAGCGGCAGGGGGCAGGCTTTCTTTCAACTCGTATGACCTCATCAAATAACGGCGAAAACCGGCTGAAGAGAGCATTTGATACATAAACACTGTTATTACACACATTTGGATCATGCTCTCGGTTCGTCCGCTATGACGAAACGACCCGTCCGTACACAGGGCTCCGCCACTGTGACGAATCGAACCATTGGCTAGAACAAAGTCGTTTTGGTCGAACTAAGGCGTGCCATGCACCGCGGTCGAGCTTCCTGGGCCCAAGCAGAGAATACTGGAGGTCCGCTACGCCGCAGGAGCGGCCGGGGCAGCAGCAGGGTCTTGAGCAGGGTTGGCGGCGGGCGCAGGAGATGCTGCGGGAGCGGGGGATGCTGCGGGAGCGGAGGATGCTGCGGGAGCGGCGGGAGCAGCGGCGGGAGGCGCGGCGGGAGCAGCAGGAGCAGCGGCAGGAGGAGCGCCGCCACCGGCGCCGCCAGCTTCCGCCGGTGCCGGGACAAAGGCGGCGTTCGCCAGGGGGATCTGCCCAACAGCGCCACCGACAACCGTGGTTCCGTCAACGCTCTTCTGTGAAGCTGCCGCTAGCTTGGAGTACTGGATGACTTGGGTGGCGGATGTGCTATGACTTTGTAAGCTCTCGTGTGCCTCACAAGTTCAAGTGCTCTCGCTACTTACGGGTTGATCACCATCACCTGGCCTTCTTGGCAATGCGGTCCCGTGGCGCAGTACAGGAACATGGGCGCCGTGCTGGTGATGGGCATGTTAAAGGTCCCGACCATGGCCTGGCCGTCCTGATACGGTATGTGGCCGCTGTGAATGGCGCCGGCGTTTGTCGCCTGCAGAGGCTGGCACGCGGCTCCCTCGGCGCTCTGTGTCACAGTGTGGTTGCCGTTGCTGAACTGGAACTGCACGATATCGCCGACCTGAGCCTGGATCAAGTTCGGGACGAAAGTGTCCTGCGGACCGCCGACTACCACCGGGATGATTTGGTTGCCTTGAGGGGTTGCCGGGGCTGCTGCCTGTCTCCTAACTGAGGCTTGTTGTTAGTGATCGCGGCCAACGGCTGGGCACACTGCCCTGAGGGGGGCTCGAGAACGTACTCCTGAAAGGACGATGCGGGACGCCTCCTACGACGGTTCCATCCGCAGGGAAAGGGTCTCTCTTGACGGGCTGGGGCATCGCGCTGACCGTGGCAGAAGCCATCAAGGCCCAAGCTGAGTTGAATCTCATGTTGGATAAAGAGAGGAAAGTGAGTCGAAGAATAATCCGAGAGAACGACAGAAAGCGAGCACTGCTCAACAGTGACTATCCCTAAACGTGATTAAAATGGCGTAAAATGCGTAAATGACTGTAATAGCCTGTCTTGACGAGAAAAGACGGCTGTTCCTCGCTGGGAGGGTTCCTGTTTGAAGGGAAGTAAGGGAAGTGAGGGAAGGTATGAAGAGGGAGACAAAACTTCAGACCGCAGGTGAGTCTAAATTTTGAGTTATATTATATTGGGAGCTAGCAGGTAGACACTAGATGAAGGAGGATTTAGGAAATAAAACTCGCAAAGCCAAGACCCAACAAGACTCTTCGACGGGGGGCACTGTGGGAGCTTTGCCATCTATGATAAGATGCCGACAACCGGGGGGGGGGGGGGGCATTGTGGGCCTCATGAAGCCTCATCACGACCCGGGATACGCAAAGAAGCGCCAGGACAATGACCGACGACGTGGACGCAAGCAAGTCGGTCTATACGGTGACGGTGACGCTGGGCGCCCGCGATGTCCGCTTGCCGCCAAGCTGTCTGATGTTGTTCCGCGACCGTTTGAGGCTCCAACGGGCGATACCTCTTCGGGAAGCCAGGGCCTTGCAGGGTGGGCGACGATCTGGCGGAAGATCATATCGATTGGATCGTCGCCGTCCCTCTCTCCACCAGAGATCATGAGATGGCGTGAAGCTGTGTTTCCGACTTGACATGTTGGTGGGGCCGATGTGGGCAGATGGAGCCGTAGGGGGCCCCCCGTATGGGAGATTTGCCCGTGTTTCATGTGGCCGTCAAGTCGTTCCCTCGGTCTTGGGCCATTAGTCTTGGTGCAGATTCTTCCATATCAACGGCTCGGCCAAGGATGTGTAGAGTGAGTTGTTCGTGTGTGATGGACAACTCGCTTGTGAAGCCTGTGCAACGGCTTGCCGTGGCTTGCTAATATAAAGTCTGTGCGTGGACTATGATCGTCAGGCCTCTGAGAATCCAAACGCCGATACCACCGTTTTCTCTCACTCGCTCTCACACTCTCTCACTTACTCTCACACTCCCTCGCCCTCACACCCACATCCCTCACACGTCTTCGGCAGCAAGCGTCGGCAAAAGACAGGAGGCTCAAGTAACCGCTTAGTCAATGCCAACGCCGAGTCGAAACGGTGCAAACATGAGACGAAAAGAAATTGCATTTGCTCGGCCATGATCCGATGGGATGCGGCAGCTGGCGCGCATACGTGGGCTTTCGACAGCGTAAAGATGACACGATGCCTACGGGCTTGTCTCCCCCCCTTTCGCACATATGAAGGCGTTGAAAACATGAACAGAAACCCCCAAGGAAACCATCATGAATGATCGACGCTCAAGGCCTGCCACCTTGTCCCTTCAGCCACGTAAGATACACTCAACGCCATCGCTAGCAGGACGCCGCGTCGACATTACGTCGTCACTCTTGCCCCCCCCTTGGGATTCGCGTCAGAGGGTCATGGGTCAGCCCTTGGCAATGTGCCGCTAGTGCTCGTCACGAACTGCCGTTTCTCTCTTTCGGGCCCTCCCACCATCTCGTTCCCAAGCGCCAGGCCCCCCCACGCGCCTCCGACCCGCCAAGACACACACACACACATATCGGTCATGGCTGAACTTCGGAGGTTTCTGCTTCACTTCTCGCTCGGGGCGTTCGTTTCCTCAATGCCTGCGTCGCTCCTGGGAGGGGTAAACGGGGAGGCCCCTTGCAGGCTTGCAGGAGTCGTTGCTCCGCACAATATCCACTGCTTTGCTGTGATTCCCGAGCCGAGAGCGTGATTCCCTGCCCGCCCAATGAGAAGTTATAGTGACGAGTTACGGGTTACGGGTACAGTGGCGTGGTTGGTTCGTAAGCTCCTCAAGCACGTCCTCCCGCTTGGTCCTGCATCCCAGCCCCGAGGGTGATTCGATTCGATTTTCCGCCATCAGCTCTCCGGGAACACTCTTACTGTCCGCACAGCTGTGAGAAAGATCCCTGCCGGTAGCTCTGCGTTGTGGGCAGCAGATCACAGGGATTCTACAACTGTTGACGCGACCTAGCGGTTGGTCTGTTACCAAGGATCTCCCAGTTCTCAATGCGGTAACCTGGGTCCTCGGTACGAGAGAGTGGTGAGAGACGCAACCCGCGCCCCGCGAACGTCGGGAGCCATGTCCCAGCCAAGCCTCCTAGTCGACCGAACTTGGGAACACAGCGTCGTGTGGTCGGGAAGTGGGGGCGGAGCTTCTTCCTTATTGAGCCTCGATCCAGCTGTGACAGGTTCGTCGCCGTCCAGTCGCCCACGTCGACCACGCCACCTCTCACAGTCCGTCTCGTCTCTTCGCGGCGCACGATTAACTACTATCACTGGTTTCCCACTTCCAACGTGATATTTAGTGGACTCTAGTTCTCGGGAATGCAGGAACCCATCCGTTCATGCCCCCCACGAGAGACGCGATGACGTTTCTCAGGTAGATTGCTTACCTCCTCTGATTACAAGTTCCGACGAAGTGCGTCAGAATCGGTGTCAAACACCAATGAACCAGAGCTTGAGCATCGGGGTGCTCCCGGGATGGTGCACGGGTTCACGCAGCTGGATTAGCAACCCAATATCACATATTCAGCTACAAAACATGGCTCTGTTGTTATCGACCTGTCGAAAGCCATTGCTAATTCTGATGGCTGACTACTGTGCTGTGTCGCCTATATTGCATATCAGATCAGGGTTGCAACTTTTCCATCGGAAGAGCTGTCCTATGCCTTTATTTTATCTTATTTTCTTTCTCTTTTCCTCTTACGCTGAAGTTATTAGGCCGAATCTGATTTTGTCCAGACCTGCAAGTGCCCGTCAACCCTGCGGATGTTATCATGCCCCGCCGCTCTGCTTGCCTCGTATGCCAAACGGTACACGTGAATCGACTCGGAGAACAGCAGGCGGTGGTGTTTCCATCCGGTCAGTCTCGTGAGCTTCGTCGAGTCGGTCCACTGGGGGAAGTTGATGATCCCTGGCGGCCACGGGTCCTCTCCCTCCTTCAGAGAAGAGGGCTCGACGTAATGCAGGTCACCCCGAAGCCCGTACTCGGTCGCCAGAGCCCGCGCCACCTCATCGACCGTCTCATACCGCCGGGCTGAGATGTTGAAGGCCTGCCCCTCGACCTCTGCCCTGTTCGGATGAGCGGCAATGGCAACGTATGCTTCTGCGCAGTCGTCGACATGAAGGGCGTGGACGATGGTGCTCGGCGCAGCCGGCAACAGGAGCGGCTTCCCCTCGGCGGCAGTCTTGGCCGCGACGTCGAAGAAGGCCTTGTAATAGCTCGAGCTGCGACCGTAGACGTTGGTCGGCCTGACGAGAACCGGAGCAAACACGTCGGAGTGGTCAAGTACCCCCACGGCGTACGTCGCTCGGTCCCTCAAGAGAGGGATCGTGTTGATGGGCGATTCCTCCGTGTGCGGAGCCAGGCCCGGTGCTCCGTGGTAATGCGGGCCTATGCCGTAGTCCTTGCAGCCGGAGGTGAAGATGACGAGCGGTCGCAGGCCGGCTGCCGAGCTAGCCTCTCCCAGAGTCCGGAGCATCTGGACAGTGTTTTGGTAGTGGGGCACATAGTCGAGAACGTTCTCCGTGACCGAGACGATGGCGTCGAGGGTCGGCGGTAGGTGGCTCCGGATGTCGGCGTGGGAGGCGCGGTCGTCGATCGCGCCGACGACGGGGACAATCTCCTCCTGGGCAAGGGCCGTAGCGGCCGAAAGGGACCTGACGAGGCCATACGTCGTCCACCCAGCGGCCACGAAGGCGCGCGCAACAGCGTTGCCGATGTAGCCATTCGCGCCGGTGACGAGGACAGTCTTGGGCGCCATTCTGGATTTGATGCAAAGCAATGATGTTCTTCTCTTCTTCGGCTTTACGGCCGGCTTTGGGTATATATTTGTAGTTGTCTCCCTGATCCGGTTCCGTGCGGGTTCACGATGGAGCCCTTATGATCCGGAAACTGATTTCCGTCCGACTTGTGGTGGACCGGAAAAGCGCTTACATGAGCAGAACATAAGCTGCGGCCAAAACAAGGAAACAGTCGGGCGATGATTGGTAAGCATGGGGTGATTCTACGTCGATGGAACTACGAAAGTGAGTTGGTGAGATAGCTTATACCTCATTCTTTCACGTCATTCGAGTCAGCTATGCTGTTTTCCGAGTGAGGTTGCTACTACCCACGAAACGGAGCGCCAGAAGATCTCACCCTTGTCAACAAACTATCGCTGCTGAGTTATCGCAAACCGAGTTTCCAATGGATAGACCTTTGATGAGAGATTGAATGCCTCAACCGTGGTTACAACTACCACCGCTTCAACTATCCAGTCGCCTTTCATAACCGCCAAAAATTCCTCCAGGGCATAAACTGACTTTTATCGGCCGATGGGACAGTGGAATTCGGCCACACCAGATCCTAACGAATATGCTCTCCGAGGGTTGTCGGTGTATAGGCGTCACCACCTGCGATATCCTACCAGTGTGTACCCCACAAGGTTGTATATGTTTATGTAGACTGTTCGGATGTTACCTTGAGAGACATTAAATTTAGTTTTCCTATGTCACATTTGCCTGTGTAATCTGCTACGTGCAGCCTTAGTCGACGGCAACATTCCTGAGCCTGACGCACCCTGTGGTACGACCCGAAAGCTCCTATGCCTCCGTGCTCGTTTTGAATTATAGACTAGACATTTTGGATCAAATATTTGGCTGACCTTCGGGAGCCACGCCATCCGATATGGAAGGTTTTGGCTTGGTGATCTATTCAAAAAGGGCAGCGATCCCTCTCGGGTGCATCCGTTGTCATGTCATCTCAAACCTACTACCAGCATCATCATGCGTCATACCACCCTGGTATCAGTAGCTGTCGCTACCCTTGGCGCAGTATCACGAGGCTCCTTCTTGTCTCTTTGGGAAGAACCGTCATGTCTTTGCCGTGACTAAGCGTTGGATATCGCCAATCGGTGGCTCAGCATCTTCTCGACCGGTGGCGTTTCCGGCAAGGAGGAGGTCGCCACGATCGTCTCTCAAGATCTCGTCAGCGCCGATGGAACCTTTGGTCCGCCTACCTACGGAATCGACGCCTTCTGGGAAGCCATCGAGACACCGTCCAACACTACGACAAACGTGACGCAGGCTACGACCTTTTTTATCCACACATGTGACCAGATCGCTCTCAACTGGCAGTATGATGCCGTGACAACCGGCTACAACTCGTGAGTTCAGTGCCTGATGCATGTAACGATATGATCATGTTAATGGTGGGTCCCTTTTGTAGGACGGTTCCTGTAGGGACGCCTGTTTCGTTCACCGGCAACGATATTCTCAAGGTTGACTTAGAGACAAGACTGGTTTCCAACGCTACTTCATGTGGCCAATGGATTCTTTTCGCTCAACGGCTAGGAGGAAGAAGCTGTACAGTTTAGCAAGGGTAGCTGCTACGAGAGGTCGTCCCCGATTTACAGGCACGAATTGCATCGTCGTCTCATACTTCATCGAAACACTATTATTGGAGGGGCCGGGAGACGGAGACAGAATAATATACACAGGATAATGAATTCATGTCAATCATATTGCAACCTTCACATATAAGCGATGAACTCAGCTGTTCCCCTCCCCATGTGGTGTGTATCATGGTAAATCATACGCACCAAGATAACATAAAATTCTGCGTTTAGAAAATTCCAAGTCGTGAACTGTAGAGCCAATAGTGAAGTTCGGAGTCATTCGTCAACTTAAGGGGTCTAGAGCGACTATATTCATCAATAAACAGAGAGTGGTCTATATCCATATTCACGGTTCTTTCAAATGATCATCAATGCCGCAATGCTATGAATACTGATTGTCTTATGCTTCCTACTGCCCATTCTGACAAGTTTTACTGCCTCAAACATTTAATGGTGGTTTTGTTACTGTTGATCCTCAGAAGATGGGGGAGTCGATGTCATCCACAATCTGCACTTTGATGCTGCCGTTCCTGTAGTCCGAGGCGAGTGTAAGGGCATCGAATGCCTTTTCAAGAGGGAACGTGTGCGAGACGAGGCTCTTGAGGTCCAGAATGCCGCTGCTTAGGCAAGCGATGCCGGCGGGCCATGTGTCACGGTACCTGTTGATGAACTGGAGCTTGATCTGCCACCATCACAAGTCAGCACGGCGTCCCCGTTCCGAGCCAGTTAGGAACCGAAGCCATTGCTCACCTCGGCGAGAGAGATGTGCATGAAGGGCAGGTTGTTCATGATCTCGCGCCCGACGCCAATCACCATGACCGTCCCGCCGCGACGGACGGCGAAGGCGGCCGTGCAGATGCTGCTCTCGACACCGGTGCACTCGAGCACCGTCCGCGGGGCGCTGTACTCGTCGTCGCCGAACAGCCTGCGGATGGCCTTGCCGTTGGCCTCGCTGCCGAGGGCGGGGTCGACGTTGTAGGTGACGACGCCGGGGACGAGCGTCTTGGCGAAGGCGAGGCGCGAGGGCTCGATGTCGGTGATGACGAGGGGGTGGGCGCCCGACGCGCGGGCGGCGGCGAGCGTGACGAGGCCGATGGGGCCGGCGCCGCAGACGACGGCGCCGACTCCGAGAGAGAGGCCGGCGGTGCGGATGCCGTGCATGCCGACGCTCAGAGGCTCCAGAAGAGCGCCTTCGGCGTAGGAGATGTTGTCGGGGAGCCTGTGAAGGGAAGCAGTGTCAGCCCGGCTTCTCTCTGCCTGCAAGAAAACGTTGCTGCGGCGTGAGGGCCGGCGTACTTGTGAAGCCATTTTGCGGGATGGCACTTGTACCGCTGGATGGTTCCGTGGTAAGGATAGACGCCCGCGAACTGGACGTCTTCGCAGAGGTTGTAGCGGCCGTCGGTGCAGAGGAAGCATTCGCCGCAGGGCACGCCGGGCTCGATGGCGACCCGGTCGCCGGGCGTGAGGTTCTCGACGCCCTCGCCGCAGCGGACGACGACGCCGGCGGCCTCGTGGCCGATGATGCAGTCTCCCTCGAAGACGAGGGAGCCGATGCGGCCAGTCTTCCAGAAGTGGATGTCGGATCTGTGGGAGGTCCGTCGCCATCAGCCATGTGCTTCCAACCCACGCCGGGGTTACTGGGCCCCCCAAGGCCCCCAGCGGAAGATTTCACACATACCCGCACACGCCCGTCGCCTTTACGTGCACTAGTGCTTCTCCCGGTTTGGGTGCGAGTACTGGCGCTTCTTCGGCCTTGAGCTGGTGGTCTGCTGTGACGACCAGTGAGGGGTTCGGGAGGGGCGCTTCGAGGGTCTCTTGGTTGGCGATGGAGGGTGCAGGCCGCTGATCCAGCTCGGTCCCGACAACGCAGCAACCATCGGCTTTTGCTTGCGCGGCACCATTGACGATCGTCTCGGGTGCTATGGTTGTGGCAACCATGTTGAGGGCCTGGTTGTTTGTGAGCTGGCGGTCTAAGGGAGATCGAGGAGAGTCACTCCAGTCAAGTCTACGAGAATTTCGGCAAGTGTCTATACTCGGCGTATAACAATTTCTAAGGGCTCTGTATAGTATTATCGTTGAGCTACAATAGAAATGAGAGAACAAGGTCGGCTACAAGAAAGATAAGAGAGGAGGGAATGGCAATTCAACCGGTCAGATTTCGCGGAAAACGCCTCCCCCTCCTGTCTCATGCGCGCCATCTCGTCACGTAATCACCTTCCCCAATATACGATCCTCCTCTGTCTGACAACAATACAGCAGACCGCCGCCGCTCTCGGGGGGTCTGGACAACATGTTGAGCGTGTAGGACTTCCTCATCGAATCCCAGAAGAAGTGTGTGTGTGCGTGTGTGTGTTTGTCGATTGCCCAATTAGGAAATCATAAGCACCACGTTCGTCTTTAGTCGGGTGTGCCGGGGGTGATGCTTGCTGTTACTAGTTCGTTCGGATGACGGAGGCTTTGCTTCGGCTTTCGATAGGCCGACATGCTTCCAGGGCCGAGTTCCGAGGATCGATGAAACACGTGGGAGTTGAAGAGAGTTTTACCACTTTGGTCTGATACGCGTGGCCGACGAGCACATGCAGCCTTTCGGACGTCACTGGCAGAGCGCAGGCGATGAACACGTCACAAAAGAGGGGGCGAGTCAATTGCAGTCGAAATATAGTTCATCAATTCATGGCAGCTTTTGTAGCCATCGGTGCCATCCATGCTATCCTGTGCTCCCGTTTCCGGAATCCACCCATCGACACCAGCCATCTATCATATCCTTATAATGGGTCGCGCCTAGGCGAAGATGCGCAGAGGGCGCTGGGGCAGGTAGAAACCGGGGTCGTTGAAGCGCAGGCCGAGGTCGAGGTCGGAGATGGCCTCGAGCTCCTCGGGCGTCAAGTCGAAACCGTTGACCTCGAGGTTCTGCTTCAGGCGGTGCTGGCTGTTGCTCTTGGGGATGACGGCGACGCCGCGCTGGGTGGCCCAGCGGAGGAGGACCTGGGCCGGCGTGACGCCGTGCTTGTCGGCGGCCTTCTTGACGGGGTCGACGTCGAAGAGACCCTTGGCGTCGAGGGCGCGCTTGTTGGAGATCTCGAGGAAGGATTGGGGCCCGAAGGAGGAGTAGGCGGTGACGGCGATCTTGTGCTCCTGGGCCATGGCCACGAGGTCGGGCTGCACGAGGTAGGGGTGGTGCTCGATCTGCAGCGAGGAGATGGGGTGCCGGGCGTAGGACTGCATGTCGTAGAGGGACTGGGCCTGGAAGTTGGAGACGCCGATGGACTTGGCGATGCCCTCGTCGACGAGCGTCTCCAAGCACTCCCAGGTCTCGCGGATGGGGACGCTGTCGGGCTCGACAATCGTCTGGTCCTTGTCCATCCACCAGCACTATTTTTATTATTATTTGTTTCGTGAGTTCAAACTCTTGTCTCTCTCGGTTGTCCGAGTAGGACGGCAAGGGAGCTCGCAGGCTTACAGGGTATTCGTTGACGGCAGGGTCAATGTACTTGAGGGCAACGGGGAAGTGGATGAGGAACAGGTCGATGTAGCCCAGACCCCAGGTCTCGTTCTGCTTCTTGGCCGTGGGGATGGCGTGCTCCTTGCGGTGGTAGTTATTCCACAACTTGGTGGTGATGAAGATGTCCTCACGCTTCACGAGGCCGTCGGCGATGGCGCGGCGGACGCCCTCTCCGGCCTCCTTCTCATTCTGATAGTCGTAAGCGCCGTCGAAGAGGCGGTAGCCGGTCTTGATAGCCTTGTACGAAAGAGGAACGTCAGTGAGTGCCACTCGTCTCCGTGACGGCTTCGTTCGGAGCTACGGGAGTACGGTACTGACGTTGTAGACGGTATCGGCGCAGGACTCGCGGGGAACTTTCCACAAGCCGAAGCCCACGAGAGGCATCTCACGGCCGGAAGCGAGCGTGATAGTTTCCTTGCCCATTGTGAGTTCCCGCCTCAAAGAGAACTGTATATACTGTATGGAGGAAACCGAGTGCAGGGAACGGAACGGAGTTGCGTAATACACAAATAAATATTACCGCTCAAGAACGACGACGTGTTTGGAGTCGAGTCCCAATGGTTCTCGACGTCAGGATGCCGCCCATGTTTCGCCAACCCCGCCCTCGTTTCTAATCATATTCCGAACCGGCCCCGCCCTCAGGCCTTATGCTAGTCTGCCAGACACACCCTCGAATATCGCCATGGGTGGGTTGACAACCGACATGTTCAGGCTTGCCGAATGCGGCAGTGTTAAGCACCCGAGGCCAGGAAAAGGGGAGGCAACCCCGCGCTTAGCAGCCCCTGTTGACTCGTGCTCGACAGGGTTCCGTGAGGAGTGGTTATGGTTGGTTAGTCCGTGCGGGATGGAATGGCATTCATCGTCTTGTGTGATGGAATAGTGCAGGATTGGGAGCATGTCGTTATGAGACGACGCCAGCTCTAGACGTTGACCGGCCATGCTCGAGTTAATACGGTCGTCGGATCTCATGAATGAGCCCCAAATCGTTCCATGTTGCCCCCGGGATCTATCCACAATCTATGCTTCGGAAGAGCTTCCTGGGTTCCGTCCCCCCCCTCCCCCGGCCCCGGTTCATGCTCGTCTGAACCCCCCCCAGCTTTTGTTGCGGGGGCTCTTCTGCGTTTCCCCATCGGACGATATTATCTCCTTCCCTCTGGCCATGGGAGCCAATGCAAGCATCGGTTGATAGGTTCGACGATACGAGCCGAACGGGACGATGGCAGACAACACGGGCTCAGGTTCGGGAAGCGGTGCTGGGACTGGAACCGGGCCTCCGAGACAGCGGCGCCAGAGAACACGGACTGGGTGTTTAAAGTGTCGGATCCGGCGACGAAAATGTGAGTCTCTTTCAACATCCCTTTTGGTGTTTTGGTGGTAAGCCGGCCGCCGTATCTGCTTTCACCGGCGAAGAAACACCACCACTCCCCGTAGACCAACTACGTTTTCGGTGACACTTAAAAACTGACGGGGCGTGACATTTCACGATAACGCAGGCGACGAGAGAAAGCCGAGGTGTCAGCGCTGCATCGACGGGGACTTCGAGTGTCAGTACGGCTCCCGACTGACGTTCTTGGACAAGAATGCGTTGACCGTCTCGCCGGCTCCGGACGCGGGTGATGCATCGACGCCGAGATACTCCAAGCTGCAGGTTTGCGACTTGGCCGCATTGTCATGTTAAAGCTTCGTGGCTCACATATCCATACAGTTTGTCGACCCGGCATCTCCAAATCAAACCGCAAAACCTTCATCACCGCCCTCCCCTGTGTCCCAAGACCCTCCAAACCCATCCATCACAACAAACGCAGCCGACATACCCGCCTGTTTATCGCCCTCGCAGACACCGGCGCCACCAGTCTCAACCTTTCAAATCGACCCTCAACTCTCAGACCCTCCCGTTCTGGAACTCCAGCACCTAGAGCCACGCTTGGCACCAACCCCCTTTCACCACCCGCTGCCGCTCACGCAATGGCGATCCCAGAGCATCTGCCACGAGAGCCTAGCATCACCAGCGGGCAAGTTCCACATTACGGACAAGCCGCCAGGCATATCGGCGAGCAACGACGCGGCATACGAGACCGCGCTCAACGCTTTGCTCTCTCCGGGGAACGAGGGCACAGACTTGGACTTGTTGCCGAGCCACGGCTCCGAGTCGCACGCCGTGGCCGGCGACGGGTTCCGTTTGAGCCCGCAGGAGCTGATATCCGCGTCGCCCAACTTGGCCGGGGAGAGGAGGACACCCCCGGCGATGCTCCCTTTGACGGCGGCCAGCATTTCCCCAGATCGGCTGCTGCAGCTGTTACGCCACTTTAGATACCAGGTTGCGCCATGGGTAGGTTTCGTCTACGTCAGGCTGTTCGCGCTGGGTTTACTGACGCTGGGCAAGCTCGACTTGTGCGACATGAGCCAGACGTTCGGCCTCCATGTCCCTCGACTCGCGATCGAGAACGAGGGGGTTCTCCATTCACTTTTGGCTGTGGCAGCCGTTGCGCAACAGGCGGACGCGAGCAGCACGGCGCTCAGCGATGTCGAGCACCTTAAGTCCCTTGCTGGTGCGAGGCCAATGCATCCAGAAGGCGGAGTCAGCATGAGTGACGGCGATCTGGTACATCTGGCTCTTTGGACTGCATGCCAGTTCACCTCGAGCGTCCCGGACGAATGGCAGGATCTGCTTGGGATCACGGACGACAACTTCTGGAGTGGGGTGCTCGCTGAAGTGACTCCAAAGACTATCGTGATTCTGTCTGTATTGATACGGCTCGGTACGAAGAAACGTCCAACTCTCCAAATCTACTCGAGAAGGCCAGGTCCCGGAGCTGACGCGCAACCCAGAGCTCGCGGCGGCGCTCGTGACCGGCGCCCCGATCTCCGTCCCGGAGCGGCTACACTACGGCGCCATGTCCCAGCCGTGGGATTCCTCCCCGATCGCCGAGACCATGTTCCGATGCACTGTCGAGCCGCTCCTCCTCTGCGCCCAGGTCGTCAACTTCTGCGCGAGCGCCTCCCGCCCGCACACCGCCGTCGGCCCCGGCACCCGCCCGACCCCCGTCCACCGCTGGACGGTGCTCAGCGACGCCCTCGGCGCCTGGTACGCCAACCGGGCCCAGGAGTTCTGGCCCATGGCCGAGATGGACGGCGAGGAGAGCCTGTTCCCCGTCATCCTGTTCACCAACGGCGCCGCCGTCTTCGCGAACCAGCTGTACCACACCGCCATGCTCCTGCTGCTGCGGAACAAGCCGCGCGTGCTGCAGACAGCGGCGGCGGCGGCGAAGAAGCCGTCGGCGGCCGCGCCGTTGTCGTCGCCGCTGTGGCACGCCCAGCGCGTGTGCGGCATCGCGCTGAACAACGACCGGCGGGACAGCTGGGACCTCTGCCTGGTCGCGTCGCTGTACCTTGCCGCGCAAAGGATGACGTACGAGCCGCAGCAGAGGGCCGTCTTGGAGTGTTTCGAGCGCGTCGGGGCGCTGACGGGGTGGCACGTCGACGGGTTCTCGGCCAAGGCCCGCGAGGACTGGGGGCTGATGTAGAGAGGTGCGGTCCATGTGCGCGCCGTCTGGGCAACGGCTCAGGAATAGTTGAAGTCGTGCCGGAGTCTCGACGCATGTAAATCACCCGGCGGTGCCGGCGGTCTTTAGCTCCTTGCACACTTTATACCCCCAGGCGGCCTCCAAGTCGTCGATTCTCCAACACGTGCCCCATCCGGTGACGGCCTCGATGCTGCGGATGAGTCTCACGAGGACGGCATGCTCTGACCTGTGACTGAGGAGCCTGCCGGCAACCCACAGGGGCTGGATGGCGTTGTTCAAGCAGCCCTGGTGGGGGTTCGCGAGGGATATGCCGCAGATGCACTTGGCGTGCCAGACGACCGAGCCGGTGACGCCCAGCAGCTGCTTCGGGTTAGGCGGCCTGGGCATGGACCCCAGGAGGAGCGCGCACGCCGTGTGGTACAGCTGGTTCGACGAGATGGCCGCCCAGTGCAGGAAGAGGATCTGCGGGAACGGGATGCTCTGGACGCTCTGGACGGGGAGCAGCTCCGGCGGCCGGTCTCTCGTCCACGCCTGGAGGTCCTCCCAGAGCCGGACCCAGCGGTCGGCCAGCTCGTCGGCGTCGCAGCGGTCGGCGCCGCCGAGCTCAAAGTGCCGCGTCCTGTCGGCCACGAGCTCGCAGACCTTGGAGCACAGGTAGACGGCGTGGTTGGCGTGCATGTCGGGGGTCCTGGACTGGTGGAAGAGCTCGCGCGCCTCGTCGTGGGAGACGCCGCTCGGCAGCCACTTGGAAGGCGTCAGGAGGGTGCTCTCCGTGCCGTCTGATATGAGGGCGCCGCAGAGGTCTGGATCACACACACACACACACACACGCACTAGTCAGCAAACGCGAAAGACGGCCGCGCCGAGGAGGACGGACGACATATACACACCCATCCTGGCGTAGCACCAAAAGACGGCCTGCAAGAGGCCGCCGCTGAAGCCGTGGACGTCGAACGAGTCAAAGAGCGCGGCGCACCCCTCTAGATGCTTTCTCCAATCCTGTGCGCTGGCAGACATCATCTCTAGGCAGCACAGGATCGTGCAGATGGGGATGATCTTCTGGTCGCGGGACTGCAGCAGGGGCGTCAGCAGGCGGATGGCCTCCTGGTACAGCTCCAGACTGTCAAAGGACGTCTGCCTGCCCTCCTTTCGCTCCATTTGCCTGGCCGACAGCGCCAGGACGGCGTACATGAGCGCCGGGGAGCTGCGCGAGAGGACGGGGACTTGGATTCCGAAGGCGCGGTCGCTGTCAAACATGTCGAGCTGGTCCGCGAGTGAGTTTATGGCATAGGGGTAGGTCACATGCGGGCTTCTCACCCATGGCGCAACCTCGCCTACGTAATTCTTCAGATACTCGAGCCTCCGGCCGGTCCCTAGGATCTGGCCGGCCTGCCGCCGCGCGGTCCCTTGGTCGCTTGAGATCGTCCCGGGGGCCGCGAACCCCCCTGCCGCGAAGCCGCCGTAAACCGCCGCCTCGGGCGTGCCCTCTCTCGTCGGGGCGGCCGTCTGGGCCGTGTTGATTATCAGGCATCTCAGCTCCTCCTGGTAGGCCAGGTAGCCGGGGTCGGTGACGAACTCGTCCAGCCGCCAAGAATCGGCCGGCGAGGTCGAGGCCTCGGAGGACAGATGCTGCAAGGGGGCCGGGTCACCGAGACCCCAGCCCGAAGAGGCTGCGGGCGACGTCGCTGCTACTCCGAAGTACGGAGGGGTCTGGGCGTGTGAGTGCGACGGATCATGGGACTGAGACCGAGGGCCGGAGCTCTCGACGCTGTTAAGGGGTGTGGGCGAGAGCATAGTGACAGTCGGGGGGCGAATGCCTTTGTGCTCCAGGCAGATGAACAATAACATCAAAACAGTGCTTTTTAACACATGGAGCTCGTTGATGATCGCCAAACCTCCCTGTTGACCTCGAAGGTTTCGGCAGGTCATGCACAAGGGAGAAACAGGGCGAATCTCCTCGTGGAGCCTTCAGGGTCCTTGGAGAGAGCTGCTCTCCATACTCCAATAGACAACTGCCCGTCTAACTAGCGAATTTCAGGATTGCCTCGGCACTTGATGACGCCCTGAGGGGGGCAAAGACACATCAATTGCCGCGGATGAACCCAGGTTAGCGGAATCTGCGGGGAAGTCGACTCTGGTGATTGGTTTTGGCAGGGATCGGAAACCTGTGGAAGTTCCATAGTTCTACGATGTATGTCTCCGCATCGTCGGTTCCAAGCCGTGTCCTAGTGAAGGAGTATGGTCTCCATGTATGAAGTTTGAGTTTGATCTCCTGTCGTATAGGGGATGTAGCTGTAATCGCCAAAGTATAGACATCTCGACTTAAAGTAGACAGTTGAGGACTGAATCCTCGGAAATTGCCACCTGTGACTTTCCATGATGCCGACTTCGCATCAAACACATTCTGGAGCGATAGCAGAAACTCCTATTCATCTTGAGATCATGTCACCTTGGGCAGAAGACACAGGAGATTGGTCAAACGAGACTTGTGCAGGCAAATTCACGCGGAGCAATCACTCCTCTTTCACTGCAATTTACCCCCCCTCGAGGGTCAGAAGAGGCGGGGGACAGTCAGACGAGTCCATCTGCGATTTGGCTAGGCCACTTAGGTCACATCCTGAAAGACGTACTTCACTGCAATTTTAACCCCTCTCGAGGGTTAGGGTTAGGGTTAGAAGAGGCGGGGTACAGCCAGATGAGTCCACCAGCGGCTTGGCTGCAGGCTACGTGAGTCTCACCCTGGGCCGCGGCGGAGAGGCTCGCTAGGCTGGTGTACCGTAGTGTAGTCCTCTACGTTCAGGGCACGCCCGCCATCCTTTACGCGCTGCCGGACACACGCGTGCCACATGTTGTTGGAGTGGGCTGGCCGTCGAGGCTGTACACCGTCCGCATCGACGCCGGACGGCATGGGAGAGGCCGGATAGCATGCTGGGCGATGGCCCAGTCAACTCCGGCGGGATGACGAGCTTCAATCAGTTCGCCTTCGGGGGCGAAAAGAGGATAGGTCGGGGACTTGGACGTTTGAGAGTGGCCTTTCCCCCGGTTCGAAGGGGCCAAAACCGCCCACGGCTTTGCAGCCCAGTTTGGACTCTGAGCATGAGATTCGTTCGAATCATCGTATAAATAGGGGTTCTGCGAGGGTTGCCTGAAGCATGCATAGTGATGTATTCACCCTCTGAACATTACAATAATGCACGCACAAAGGCATTGGCGATGAAGCCTTGGTGCAGTATCCGTAAGGCGGGCATGAAATCCGCCGATCATTACAGGGGAGGCGACTTCATCCACGTAACCAACAATCACCTCATTCGGCCTCGTTGCGATGGGCCATTGGCTTATGTTCTGGCTGTCTGCTGGGTCCCCCTCGTCTGTCGGAATCACGGCAGAACATGGGAAAGCAAGATGCCTCATCTTATTCCAGTTCAAGCCGTAAGAGAGCCAAACGCTACTCGTGTTGCTGTAGAAACGTGGAGCTTGAGAGCTGTGACCACAACCAACTGGAAAGGGGGACTTTTGCGCAAGATCCCCCTGTCATGTCCGACCCTTTATCCTTGGACACCCACATGGCATCATCATCCGGCGGGCCGTTTGCTTACAAGGGGTTGCACTGCTCTTGAGTCAGTGGCGTTGGCTCCCCGATCCTTTCTCCTTTTGCAGCTTGAACTGTTTCCTCAAGCTCCATCGTAGAACCGTAACATCGCCACAATGCGCTACGCCTTATCAACCAAGCTGCTCCTCTTGCTGGGCTCTTCGCAGCTCGTCCTCGGCTTCCCCGGCGACCAGGTCGTGATCGCGCAGACGGCAGAGGAGCATGTTGCTGCCGCTGCCGTCCCGGGAACTGTGTGGACCGTCGACAGCTCTGTTCACGCAGCACTCGAGAAGCACCCTGACCCCGTCGATGCCTTGGTCTCGCTGCAGCCCGAGATGGCTGCCAAGATGGCCGAGGCTCGCCTGATCCATGTCTTTGGCGAGAAGCAGGCCGAATGGATGACCGAGGGAGATAAGCTGCGCCTGCGGAGGAAGGGCAGGAAGTTCCGCGACATCACGGACTTCCAGGAGCTCTACGACTCTGTCGACACGCAATCCGGGAAAGCTAGTACGTTCTCGCCGTCCCTCCCCTCCTTCGTCGAGGGGCACCCAAGATAGTTCCCATCCGAGGCGACGCCCAGCTAACCACGGCGCGATCGCAGACCTCCCCGAGATCTCCCACCAACGCCTCGTCAGGCCCCTCTTCTCCAAGGTCAACCAGACCGAGATGCGCGACGTGCTCGAGCACATGACGAGCTTCTACAACCGCTACTACGGCGGGCCGACCGGCGAGGAGAGCTCCGTCTGGCTGCACGACCACATCGCCGGCATCATCGCGGCGTCGCCGCTGCACGCGCACATCTCGCTCGAGTACTTCACCCACGAGTTCCCGCAGTCGTCCATCATCGCCCGGTTCGAGCCCAAGGTGCGCGACTTTTCCAAGCCGCTGACCATCATCGGCGCGCACCAGGACTCGGCCAACTACCTGTTCCCCCTGCTGCCGGCGCCGGGCGCCGACGACGACTGCTCCGGCACCGTGAGCATCCTCGAGGCGTTCCGCGTGCTGGCGACGAGCGGCTACGTCCCGAAGGAGGGGCCCGTCGAGTTCCATTGGTACGCGGCCGAGGAGGGCGGCCTGCTGGGCAGCCAGGCGGTGGCGGCGTACAAGAAGAAGGAGGGCGCCAACATCGGCGCCATGCTCGAGTTCGACATGACGGCCTTCGTCGCGCGCAACGCCACCGAGTCCATCGGCTTCATCAAGACCGACGCCGACGCGCCGCTGACCGAGTGGGCCGTGGCCCTGGGCGAGGAGTACGTCAACATCACGACGAGCGTCTACGAGCTGATGCCCGGCGCCGGGTCCGACTACATGTCGTACACGAAGCTCGGGTTCCCCGCCGCCTTTGCCTCGGAGGGCAACCCCGTGGCCGGCGGCTTCCCGGGCGAGTTCGACCCGTACGTCCACACGGACAAGGACACCATGTGGGTGGACGACGAGACGGGCGTCTTCTCCATCGACCACATGGCGAGGTTCTCCGAGCTGGCCATTGCCTTTGCGGTCGAGCAGTCTGGCTGGGACAACAAGTGGAGGTAAAGGGTGCGTGTGTGGCTGTTCTCCAATGCAAACCTCTCTCTCTCTCTCTCTCTCTCTCTCACGAATGGCTCTTTTTGTTCTCTTACCTCGGTGGCGTGTGTGGGCGGGAAACCATACTGGGCCATTGCCAGTCATGTAATGTGCGTGTAATGCTCGGCGAAGCATCAGACGATGCTGCATCGCTTCCGGCCAACGACCCATGTGAACCTCGTCCATCAGCGGGGGTCGTACATGTAGCTTTAACGCAACCCCAAGTTCCGTTCTCTTCTCTTCGCATCTGACGCTAAGTATCGCGTGCCGCCAATGACAAATGCGGGGATTCGATTACAAATGGCCGCAGTCGTATATACACCGCCCAAACTGTCCAGTCGTGCAAGACTCTCTCTCTCTCTCTCTCTCTCTCTCTCACACACACACACACACGTGCTGGCCGTGAACCCCTCTCAAACACCAAACTACAAACAAGGTTGACCCGTACCCCCCCGAGAAGCCAGTCAAACGGAATCCTAGACGCATCCCAAGCTAGACAAAAAGGTTCCCGCGGCAATGGCATCCGCAACGTCTTTCCGCCAGATCATCGGCGCCCCGGCCTCGACGGCCTCGCCCACCGACAGCACCCTCGTCATCATCGACGCGCAGAACGAGTACGCCGAGGGCAAGCTCGCCGTGTCGGACGTCGCCACCTCCCGCAAGGCCATCGCCGGCCTCCTCCAGAAGTACCGCGAGGCCGGCGGCAGCGTAGTGCACGTCGTCCACGACACGCCCGAGGGCGCGCCCGTGTTCACGCCCGGCACGCGGCTGGCCGAGGAGTTCGACGAGCTCGCGCCGCGGGACGGGGAGAAGGTCGTGAGGAAGAAGTTCCCCGGGTCGTTCGCCGGCACGGACCTGGAGGCGCACCTCGGGGGGCTGGGGGCGAGGGGGAAGAAGGTCGTCTTGACGGGGTACATGGTGAGTAAACCTGGGCGGGCGGGGTGTGAGATGCGATGAGACGGGAACGAGCATGAGATTGAGGGGAGACGCTGACTGAGAACAGGCCCACGTTTGCGTGTCGACGACCGCGAGACAGGCCGCCCAGCGCGGGTTCGATGTTCTCGTGGCCGAGGACGCGGTCGGCGATCGGGATATTCCTGATGTCGACGCGGCGCAGCTCACCAAGGTGGCGCTGAGCGAGATTGGCGATGCCTTCGGCACCATTGTGCAGAGCAAGGACATTGCATAGGCTCATACTGAAGAAAGGTCATTCATATATACCTAGGCTCTAGTTGAAGTAAAAGTTGGATTTAGCAGTTACTTCACGTTATTAGGTATTATATACTATATCAAGATATCAAATTCTAGTGCGGTCTCTAGGCTAGACTCCAAGGGTAAATACTGTGTTGTGTTGTTTGTAAAGTATTAGTTATAGGTGTCGCACTAGTCTCTAGAGCAGTTCATAGTTCTAGCTAAGACAGGACATAAGACGGGCTATTACTATTATTTACATTCATCTAACCTACCTTTGTTAGACCCATCCCATTTTATATAGGTTTTTCAATAAAGTAAGAATAGACTATGGTAATCTTCTTAACCTTCAAGTTCAAGAATTATACTTACTTTATTAGCTGTACTAGATTCAACAGTTTAAAATACCGAGGTATAGTTTGAGCATTTGTATAGTGAATCAACAACTGTAATCAGAATTGTTATAGTCTCCTCTCCACCTTCTAGATGTAATCAAACTCTACGCTCAGTGTCTAAACTACCTCCCAATACTAATAGAATTAGTAATGCTTGGTCTCTAGTCATTAGGCTAGCATTCTTACCCAAGGTTACCTCTTAAGGGTCGACAGCCCTCCTCAAAACCGCAAACTCCACCACGATGAACGCGATGTATCCAACCAACATCAGCCCACCCACCAACCGATGAAGTTTCCCTTCTACGCACACAGCCACTGTGAACAACAATGTCGACACCCAGAGCACCGCCAGCTCCGCCCAACTCTCCATCCGTACCAACCATCACGATTCCGAGACACAAAGAGAGCAGGAAGATGTTGCTCCCAACCGTGTTCGCGACGAGAATCCCACCGTGTCCACGGTTCCCGCTCAGCACGGCAACAAACTTCTCAGGTAAATTCGTTCCAATTGCTAGCACAGCGATGCCGAACAAGGCTTCAGACGCCCCAAGTGCGTCAGCGACGTTCGTTGCAGCGTGTGAAAGAACATAACCGGACAGAAACATGGCAAGAAACCCGACTAGGAGATAGGCGATGTGATATCGCAGACCGCGTCGACGCCGAGCAAAGTTCTCGGATGAACTTAGGAGAGGCTGCTGCTCCCGGCTGGGCCTGCGACGTGAAGCCGGCTCGGCATCGCTTTCATCATCGCTTGAGCTATCACCGTCGCTATCTGAGCCCTCTGGCGCCGCAAGGGCACCGCGACTGATGGCCCAGCCAACGGACAGAATGTAAACTGCAAAGGCGACGATGAGGACAATACCTGCTACCCGTGAGAGGCCTTGTCGCGGGAAGTAGATCACAGGAATGACAGCGGTAGTCACGCCGAAGAGAAGGAGCGAGTAGATGCGCGCAGTGCGATCGAATTGCATAGAATCTCCTGTTTTGCGGAAGATGAGGCCCAGCGAGAAAGCGCCGAGGATGTTGGAGATGGCGGAGCCAACAATGTTACCCAATGCTAGGGATGCGCGGCCTTGAGCTAGGGCACTGACTGCCACGGCGAGCTGCGAGAGAATCGTTTAGTATTATGAGCTACGTTTTCGGAAGAGGGGCGGCCATACTTACCTCTTCCTATTCGGCGCCGGCGGTGAGCAGCGCGATTAACGTGTCTGGGACGCCGGTGCGGCGGTAGCCTTTTCAGGCACATGGCCCTCTCACGGAAACGGTGTTGCTTACCTTGGCTGGATAGCATCCGGGAACTTGCCACAAGCCTCAGTACTCATTCATGTTCTGGCAACTTCAGTCTACCTGGATATCCCCAGGTGACACCTCAACCCTTCAGAGATGGCGCAACAGAACCCCACGGGACCGAGGACTGCCCGGCGATACAGCCAGGTATTTGACCTCTTCAAGGCCGATGAGACGTGGCAGCCAAGCTGATAAAGGTGGACGGCCCGTACCATATCACGCCCGAGCTGCTGCGAGAGCAGATGAACAGACTCGGCGGTACGGTACTCGAATTTGACGGGGCTGCCGGGTCTTCAATTGAGACTCTGGAGGATTGGGAGAGCATCGCGCGCGATCCCGAGTGAGTTGATTACCCCCCCAAGCACGTTAGATGCACTGGGGCGCCAAACAACGGAGTACAGGCGGCATGCTCAACTTCATGCTCGAGCCGCTTCATGTGACGCCGGGAAGTGACAACTTGGTTATAGTATAGGGAAGGATTACGATGAGGCGCGGGCGCCTTGAGGCTACCGAAGTTGTCGATTTGAACCTGTGTTGGCGTTGAACAGAATCCTTGCCTTACTTCGAGTCAGTCCCAGTGTTAGCCAGACATGGCAATACATGTTTTACACTTTTGCGTGTGAAGAACAAGTGACTGATTTACAAGGACCAACGGTGCGACCCGAGCACCAAGGAGGATAGGTGACGTCTGAACAATCTTCCATCCATGAATACAAGCAGACACAAATCACGGAGACGGATCTTGGCACCCGTGGACCTGCGTCCCCGATGACAGGAATCAACCGAACCCAGATCCAAACTCTGAGATGGGCGGTTGGCAGCGTCGCAACGCGGAGAAAACGGCACTAGGTACACCACCACCCGCCACGCGGCAATGCTGATCGGCGCAGCAGCCTCCAAGAAACACAACAGTCACAGCACCGGTCGTCGTAGGATGAGTGCCGAGGCAGAGTGAGACTCACGTAGCCTGCAGCCAAACTGCTGGTGGACTCGTCTGACTGTATACCCCGCCTCTTCTGACCCTCGGGGGGGTTAAAATTGCTGCGAACGGCCTTGACTGGTCTAACTATACCTCGCCTCTTCTGGCCCTCGGGAGGGGTTAAAATCGAAGTGAAGGGGCAGGGCAGAGCGCGACGGTCGACTTGGCGAACAACGATTCCGCAGCCAAGAGAGGTATGAGTGTCGTCATCACTCTGTACTTTTTATCCATTGGGCCCTCGGGAGCAAATTCGATGTCCCTCTGGAGCACTCTTTGGACTGCTGAGTGGTACGAGGGCAAACGTGGGCCAACAAGGGGCTCGGCGAGCTGGCCTCGGACCTCGGGCATGTCAGTTGTGCGAGCGCAGCATTGGCGTGCTCATGATTACGGGAAACCTCATTGTCATAAGATGATCCCACAATGGTTTGATGGTTTGGTTATAAGCGACCACGGGAACGGTAGATTGGATGGGGGTTAGGGAGAAGATGCTATGGTCCAGACTCTACGATAGCAATTGAGACGAACTGCTGTTGTTTTCTGCGTCGTTGGACCTGTCACGGAAAAGTTATCAGACTTTGTTTGTTGTTGTTCGCAGTTACCATACGGGATCACACGCAACCCCAATTCAAACGCACGAGAAGCCGTTCACGATGAGACCCTCCACCCTGTCGACCGTCCTCTCCTGCGCCGCCGTTGCGACTGCCGCCGCGACCGCCAACGAGACGGCCCCCGAGCCGGCCGTCCCCAACGTCGTCCAGTCCACCTGGGACGGGCGGTGCTTCTACCCGACGCCGGACGCGGCCTTCGACCTCGAGGCCTACCTCGGCCGCTGGTACCAGGTCGCCGGCACCCTCGCGCCCTTCACCGCCGCCTGCAAGTGTATCTTTGCGCAGTACTCTCTGAATGTGAGCGGGCCACGACACTGCTCTGGCCCGGGGCCGCGAGCAAACCTGGTATAAGACCAGAATTGGGCCAATTGGCTGACTCGGAAACAGGACGATGGCACCGTCAAGGTGAACAACACCTGCGAGGCCGGCGGCCGCGCCGTCAACATCCTCGGCGCCGCCGAGCCAGCCGACCCTTCGTACGGCGCCAAGGGCGTCCTCCGCGTCCAGTTCCCCGGCCAGCCCGGGCCCTCGTGCGCCGGTCCGAACTACATCGTGCAGGGTGAGTGGCGGTCCACCTCAGAAACAGGATGCCCCGAATCTTTGCCCATCATGGTTCTCTGCAGACTACACCCCGGACTTTGCGCTCGTGCAGTCCAACAGCTTCACTACGCTGTTCGTGCTCAGTCGCCAGCAGAACCCGGAGGAGGCCGTCCTTGACGTAAGTCGAAACCGAATCCGACACGGACCGCGGCAGTGCGCACAACTGATGCTGACCACCAAAACCCCACTCCGGCAGGCCTGGATAGCCCGCGCCGGCCAGCTAGGCTCCAACCTCGACGACGTTGTCAAGACGGACCAGACGGGCTGCAAGTTCACCTGAGACGCGGGGAAGCCCTCCAGAACCTGCGCCAGCGCCGCTTCTGGGGGGGGGGGAGGGCGCGAGGAATCCGTGCCTGGCGCTTGGCCAGGAACGGCAGAGTTGAAGTGAGACAGGGAGAGAGGGACCTGGAAGGCCCAAGAGCTGTTCATCAAGCGTGTTCTCGTCCTTTGGCTACATACTTGGCATAGGTAAAAAGAATGGATGAGAAAGAAAATGTGGAAAAAAAGCTAAAGTTGCCATGACGCCGCCGATCAGCGACAGCGTGGCATTCGTGAGTGTGGGCTCGCTCGAGCCTCCACACACATGGTCGCGGCATACACCCCCCCCCCCCCCTATCCTTCTCGAGCTCTCTCGGATGGTATCGAACCATTGGCCAATGGGTATTACGAGGGGGAGGCAGGGGTACCGGTAATGGCACAGAAAAACCTTGGGAGCTCGGCTCGGCTCAGCTCCTGAAGCAGCTACTCATTGCTTTTTTTTCTTACTTTGGAGCTTGGAGCTGTAGCTCGACACGCTTCCGTTATAGTATGACAATGCACGAAGATGGTTGTACTGGTGCGACCTAGTGTAGTATCCCCCTCCGGGCCATTTTGTGCCACTTATGCAAGGGATTCCTATGACGACACCATCGCTCACCCGAGACATCATGACGGGGTGGCCGCGTGCGGTCTGTGGTTTTGTGTGAACGCATCTGTGGGCACACACGCACAAACAGACACGCACCTTGCTGGTTTCTGTAGGAGGGGGAGGGGATGAAGAGGCTGGCCCTGGAGATCGAACCGGGCAACGGTACGCGGCCAAGAATGGGGTGTACTGCAGTAGCTGAATTGAGTTTGCCTCAAATAGCTCCTGGATCCCTCACGCGAGAGGCTTCGGGGACTTGCAAACTGCATCCCGTTCACATTACTGTAACCGCGATACTGTCTCACACCCAAGCCAAACAACCCCCCCTCCCCAACAAGATAGTGTAAGCACACAACCTAAAGACGCCAAAATGGTCAAAGGCAGGGAAGAGGTCGTCTCCGAGTTCAACGAGTACGTCAACATGACGGCCGACGAGCTCGAGTCGTGGCTCAAGTCGGACGACTCCAACAGCGCCGGCTGGCCAAAGGACGACGCCGAGGGCGACGGCGAGACCGTCGGGCACGACAGCGGGCGCAAGATTGTCGAGATCCTCCAGGCGAACCCTGACAAGAAGGAGGACGAGTACACGGACGACCAGGTCGAGCACATGCGCAAGGTCGTGGCGTACTGGTGAGTATTGTTATGGCAGTCCAGCAGCGGCATGTGCTTTTGTTGCTTTCGTGCTCGGTGTTGACCATATGGGGGGTGGGGGATTAGCAAGCGCCACCTCGCACAGGAGTCCAAGTCGAACAGCGAGAAGTCGCCCGAGGACGTGAAGAAGACCAAGTCTTATGCGTCGCTGAAGAACTGGGGCCACGACACCCTCAAGGCCCAGGGCAAGGAAGGCGGCGCAGAGAAGTCGAACGGCAAGTCGAACGGCAAGTCGAACGGGAAGAAATCCAAGGAGGAAGAGGAGATGGAAGTAGACGAAGAGGACGGACAGGAGGAGAATGGAGAGGAGGAGAATGGAGAGGAAGAGAACGGAGAGGAGGAGAACGGGCAGGAGGAGAACGGACAGCAGGAGAACGGACAGCAGGAGAACGGAGAGGAAGAGGAGGAGGCGGAGGATGCCGAGGAGGACAACGACGGCGAGAAGGAGGAGGCCGACGACAAGGTCGAAGGCAAGGCCGGCGACAAGCGCAAACACGGCGGCGGCGACGACGAGAACGGGACCAGCAAGAAGCGCCAGACGCGCCAGGGCGAGGGCCAGGCCGCCGAAAAGTCGGAAGAGAACGGGGACGAGGAGCAGGAAGAGGCTGCCGACGAGGGCGGCGACGGCCAGGAGACCACCAAGGGACCCGAGAAGGGCGACACCGTCAGCTGGAACTGGGGCAACGGGCAGCCCGAGGGCAAGGTGCTCGACGTCAAGGGCGAGAAGTGAGTGCACCGCCGCGATGCGACTGTTTTTTGTTTTGTTTTATAGAGGGGTGACACGGGCTGACCTGGCTGATATAGGACGACCATCGAGACGAAGAGCGGGAACGAGGTGTCTCGCGATGGAAAGCCCGACGATCCAGCTGTGGTGCTGGACGCCGGCAAGTCCAAGGCCATCAAGCTGGCACACGAGCTGAACGAGTCATAGGTTGCGAGGTGTGGTGTGGTGTCTTGTCCAGCTTCAGGGTGGCAGCATGTTTCGAACCCATGATAAGATGATTGGTGTAGATGCACGTGTAGTAGAAAGATTGGTATTTAATTGATCGTCACTTTGTATCTTTGACGAACGGGCGAGTTGCAATCAAACAAGTATTCTATCTCGACTTTCCACACGATTTTATTATATACCACCAGCCTTCTTCTACGAGACGCTTTTGCGACACAAAGCCTCTTACAACTCCTCGACCCTTTGCGCGTCATCAGAACCAGCCTTGGTCCTCTGGAACTTGGTGACGGGGTCCTTCTGGGCCTCCTTGACCTCGTCCCAGAACCTCTCGCCGTTCGCCCTGTCGTCCTTGAACAGGTGGTCGACGACGAGCTTCTTGGGCGTCTCGCCCATCCACTGGAAGAGGGAGAAGTCGCGGAACGCGTCGGCGCGGAAGACCTCGAGCATCTCGACGGGCTCGTCGCCAATGTTCTCGACGAAGTGGCCCATGTTGCGGGGCACGATGCCGACGTCGCCGGGGACGTAGTCGAAGGTGCGCGCCGTGCCCTCGGCGGCGAAGACGGTGACGCGCGCCCGGCCGGCGATGAAGAAGGACCACTCGTCGGCGTTGGGGTGCCAGTGCATCTCGCGCAGCGCCCCCGGCTGGATCGTCAGGTGCGCCGCCGCCACCGTCTTGGAGACGGGGAAGTTCCGCGAGTCGGTGATGCGCACCTCGCCGCCCGACGTCCGCTCGGGCTCCTGCTCGAGCATGCGGTGCGTGAAGTTGAAGCGCGACTTCTTGGCGTGCTTGCCCTTGGGCCGCTCCTCGTCGATGGGGCCCGGGAGGGTGCCCTGGAAGATGTACTTCTCGCTCTCGGGGAGGTGCTTGAAGACCTCGGGCTCGAGGTGGAAGTTCTCGGCGATGACGGACATGGGGGTGTGGGCTTGGAGAGGGCGTGTTAGTCGGGGATTCCAGTCTGCTGGAGGGTGCAAGACAGTTGGGTGGCATGCAGAGAGGAGGCATATGGCACGCCCTGCTTGGGTATTGATATTTCAACATCGCGTCGCCAGTTACGGCATTACTTACCCAGCCAGTCAGAAAGAATAAACGTCGACTCCTCGGAGAACCGGCCGTCGTCGAAGATGAGGAGGAACTCGGTGCCGTTGGGGCTCAGGCCCTGCAGCGAATGAGGCACGCCCGAGGGGAAATACCACAGGTCTGCGTGGTTTCGAGCGACCGTTCAGCAATTGCGGCGTCTCACAAGAAACATACCAAAGCATTGGAAGGGGGGGGGGATACTGACCTCCCTTCTTCAAGTCGTCTATGAAGTTGCCGCCCTCGTAGTCGAGCGCCGTCACGCGGACCTCGCCGTCCAACACGTACGCCCACTCGGCCTCCTTGTGCCAGTGCAGCTCGCGGATGACACCCTCGCCGAGGCGCATGTTGACGCCAGCCAGCTCGACGCTGGTGGACAGCTCGCGGACGGTCGTCTGGCGAGTCCAGCCGCCTTCCTGTCACGGATCAACTCGCGTTAGTCGGGGGGGGGGGGGGGGGAAGGCTTAATTAAGCTGGCAAGGGGCCAGTTGAGCCGGCAAAGGGTCAATTGAGCTGGTAAAGCGCCACAGAAGGAAGAGCAGAAAAGAAAAAGAAAAAGAAAAAGAAAAAAAAAAGAACGCACCTCGATCCGGATGTGCGAGTCGGCGAAGCTCCAGCGCATGTTGGGCATGTTGCCCTTGTCCGTCGACGGCGGGCGCACGAGGTCCGGGTTCTGGCGAGAGCGCTCGGCGTTCCAGGGCCCCAGGACGGAGGCGCCGAGGCCGTTGCGGAAGGGCAGCGGGTCGAGGCCGTCGCCGACCGAGTCGACGGCGCCGTCGTTGGGGTCCCTGAAGCCCGGCGTGTACGGGTTGCCCGTGGTCTTCTTGCGGTAGCCCGCGGGGATGTCCATGCCCCGGCGGAGGCGCTCGCGCGGGCTGTCGTAGTGCGGCGCCGCCGAGCACAGTTCGCCGACGGACGCCCAGAGGAGCAGCAGCTTGGCCACCGTCGTCGGTCGTGTGAGCTGCATGATGGCGTGAAGTGATCGTGGACTGGAAGGGGGAGGGGGTGTGAGGTGCCAAGAAGGATCTCGGAGCACGGCAAGAGATGCAAGAGATGGACGCAACTGAGGCGCTCTCGAACAAGCGCAAGAATAGCAGACGATAGAGCACAAGGGTGTCTAGGAGAAAGCCGCCGACAAGCCTGTGACGCCGGGAAGAGGATGCGATCTTATACTTGACTCCGGGGCCTCATCATCCATCCTGTCCATGCCATCCATGCCATCCATGCCTCGACCTCGGCCTCGCCATGTCGCAGCAGCCCGGGTTGTGGTACGTAAACATTAGGAGATGGCGCAAAACGACGTATACGCAGTCATCGGCACATCACCTCACCCGCTCGCTCATGGATGCAAGCCGGCATGGCATGGCGTGGCATGCACCACATCTGCCACACGCTACGCAGACAGGCTGCTACGTCGACCAGGCATGCCGAACCCCCGAGCCCCAAGCTATACCACCCTAGAGCTGTATGTGCCATCGTATGTATGCCGCATCCCACCCAACAGGACGAGTTCTTTACAGCCGAAACGCGGCACGGCGATGAGCGTTCACTGGGTAGGTATCCCGTCATCATGCGGGGAGACGAACCAGTTAGGGTAAAGTTCCCCCGTACTGTAATAGCCGGCGTCGGGACGGGGGCTGCAGGAGATGAATAACCTTGGTGCGCGCCGTGTGACTCTCTTCCTTTCCGTTGACATGATGGCCGACAACCCCCCCTGCGAGCTCCGTGAAAGAGGTACCGTAGATAGACTCTCTCTCTGCAGTCTGCAGCCGCCATGACGCAGGTTTTCCTGCCGATTGAGCTTAACTCCAGCACGTCGGCTCCAGGGCTCCCTCCATTGGACGGGGGATATGTCGGAGATCAGATCCTAGACCGAGAGAGGCAGCTCTTTGGGGCGGCCAGATCCCCCCCGAGTTTCACCCTCTGCACTGCTTCTCTACATCTCATCTCATCTCATCTCATCTCATCCTCAGTGTCTGTCTGTTGCTTGCCGACGTCGGGTCTCCCTATTGGTTTCTCTCTTCTGCCATCTGCCCCCCTCTCTGACGCCCACCGTCTCTTCCCGAGGCACGATGCTACAGACGATAGCCCCTCCGGATCGTCGTAAGGGCAATTGACATTTGCTTGAACCGTTGCCGAGAGCGGGGGGGGGTTCGCGTCCGTGGCTTGCTTTCGTCATTCCTACCCGCTCTTGACCCATATAAACCGGGTTGGAACACCTGGAAGCTTTTTGTTTTCTTCACGGAATCGGCTACCACGGCAGAGTACCGGTAGAGTCCGAGGCGCCCTTATTACACACTAAGGAGTAGTGTTTTTCGTCTCTTCTTCCCTAGCCTCATTGCGTCAAAGTCCCCGGGTTCGTTTTGGCGTCCACGAGTCTCCGTCACCAAACGTCATCTGTTCAGAGGTCTTCTCATAAAGCGTCGATCCCTACCTTCAGTGGTGAACCAGGGGGGGGCCTTGTACTTGTACTCGGCGTTCCCTCATTCAAATCACTGCCGCAACTCAATTCGCTCACGAGTCGCGGTTGACACTTTGTAAGAAACCATCTAAACGATCGGCTCCAACATGAGTGCGCCTCAAGGGAGCTACGGCTCCGTGGCCAACTCTGTCCCGGTGATCAACGGCGACACCCGCGCCTCCGCCGACGAGGAGCAGCAACCTCTCCTCGGCCGGGGCGGAAAGCCGGCGTCCAAGTCCCTCCGCAAAAGGCTGACGGCAGACGTCAAACGCGACTGGGCCGACCTCGTCCTGCTCGCGTGCTACACCATCACCGGCCTGCTCGACAGCTCGTCCATCTCCATCTGGGGCTCCTTCGTGTCCATGCAAACAGGTAAAATCCCCCGCAACGCTCCTCCATGTCACACCCGTAAACTCATCCCGCCCACGCAGGAAACAGCATCTACATCGGCCTCGGCCTCGCCGCGCCCACCGAGTCGACCCGCTGGATAAAGTCGGCCACCTCGCTGGCGTCCTTCTGCCTCGGGTCCTTCTTCTTCAGCCGCTTCCACCGCCGTTTCTCCCCGAAGCGCCGCTGGGTGCTGTGCGCCTCCTTCACCGCGCAGACGCTGCTCTGCGTCGCCGCCGCCGCCATCCTCACCGTCGGGCCCCGGAAGGCCGGCAACGACGACATCTCGTGGAACGTGCTCGTGCCCATCGCCCTCATCGCCTTCCAGAGCTGCGGCCAGGCCGTCACGAGCCGCGCGCTGCGGTACAACGCCCTGACCAGCGTCGTGCTGACGAGCATCTACTGCGACCTGTTCTCCGACGCCGAGCTGTTCGTCGCCGCCAACGCCGAGCGGAACCGCAGGGCCGCCGCCCCCGTCCTGCTCCTGGTCGGCGCCGTCCTCGGCGGCCTGTTCGCGCACAGCTCCTTCGGCATCGCCGGCGCGCTATGGGCCGCCGCCTTCCTCAAGTTCCTCGTCGTCTTGTCGTGGTTCTTCTGGCCTGGCGACCCGGCCTCTGACGACGAGTAGTGGGGAGGAGGGCGCGCGCCGCGAGGTTTAAGGGCGACGGAAAGCAGCTGGGGTGTGTGTGTCTTTCTGTCCGCAGCTGGTCTTTGGTACCAAAGGATGGACCTGCGCTTTTGAGCGTCGCTCTGAAGCCGATTGTCACTGTGTTTTCACACCTTTGGGCAGACCCAGGACACCGCGAGACTTCTAGACTAGCTTGAAGAGCACAGCTTATGTATGAATGAATAGTAGGATATATCTTTACATATATATGTGTTCCGTACAACTTTGGGGAAACTTGGGCATCTCACCGCAAGGGGGTCTTATCCAAGGAGACAAGTTCGGCCTTCACTGCCTCTATATACCGAGGGGGTGTTGAGTTGTTTGTTCAACACATTTCTTGAAATTGCCAAAGCAACAAGACGGCCTCTTGACGACGATGACCAAATAGGGAATATCTAGTCTCATCCGAGTGATGAGAGCATCAGTCACCAGGCATGTATGGCCAAGCCGTATGGTTGACGGAATTTTGGAGAAAGACATGCATCTTACTTCTCGACCCCCGCTTGTTTATATCTTCATCACATTCATGCCACACTGGTCAACAGCATTCGATTCATCTCGTCAGGTTCCCGCAAGCATCGAGTCTTTTAAGCCAGAGTCTCAATCTCTCGTTGCCATATGCTGGAGAGACGCTTCCATGCTCTGCAACGGACAACAGAGAGACGACCAAAGCGGAGGACAGATATCCACTGTCCACAAAGATAACGTTCATGATCCATGTGGACAACCCTAATAATGATTCGTGAAGCGAGTTCAGCAATCCCCCGACCTTCTTGATCCGGCCAAGTACGGAGCCGTTTGTTGTTCCCTCGGGGCCCCATGCCACCGAGGAATCAGACAAGCTGATATTGTCCCCCCCCTGTCAACCCGAGAGTACCGTGCACACTGGTCTATGCAGAGTCCAGCAGACAGTGGATTCAGGTGATAACACAACTATCTTAGAGGCAAAAGGGATGGTCTTGGCCCATCCCGACCCGGAGCGCAGCGTAGGAAGCAGGGTGGGTTAGTACTATTCCAACCCTCCCCGGTGGAGCCGTTTTAGAATTAAAAAAATCTAAGAAAACTGGATTTAAACTGGATTTGAACCTGCAGCCTTTAGGATATGAGATTTATTGCTGTTATCGCTGGTATCGTGCACGGTACTCTCGGGTTGACAGGGGGGGACAATATCAGCTTGTCTGTAGACTCCATGGCAACCGACTTCGGACCGGATAAGATAAGATAAGAGCGATTATATAAGCAGCGGCGTATCTCACTCACCGTGTCCAATCAGAGCGTCTACCTAGCGTCAGGGAAATCGGTACGTACCTTGCTTTCGATACCTACAGTAGGTACTCCGTACTTAGGTACCTGAATAGGTACATAGTGTACCTACAGTAGGTACCCTCGCCCTGGGGAAGCTCCAGCGGTTAGCTAGCTGTCTTTAACCTAACCTCTAATCTCCCTCCTCACACCTCAACCTCTCCCAAACATCCTCTCGCACCATCTCCGTCTCACTCTCAACTCTCTCTTCTCCTCGTCTACAAAATCCATTCATAGACCACAGATCCACGGTCTCGAATCGCGCCGCTTGCACCTGGTCCAAGCCAATGAACCGCTTTCTCCTGACCGAATCCAACAGCGCCGTTCAAGCTTCGCATCCCCTCGACGACTCGCCTGTCATGACCAAACACACCCCCGAGTCCCTCCGCAACCGCGTCTCCTCGCTCTCCCTCCGCCTCCAGGCTATGGAGGCTGCCGAGGCCCTGTCACGCTCTCAGTCTCCCGCGCCCCCCTCCTCCATGTCCGCCTCCACCACGCTGCCCTCCTCCGCCCGCAGCGCCGCCCCGGCTCCGTCTCCGGCCTCGGCCTCGGCCTCGGCCTCGGCCTCGAAACCCTTCCTCCTCGCCGACATGGACGGTCGCCCGCCCGCCGAGAACACCGTCTGCGAGGCCTGCTGGAACTCCCTCCGCTACTGCGAGGTCAAGCAGACCACCCGCGCCGCCCACCCCTCCGCCTGCCGCCTCTGCGCCGTCGCCGCCGGCAAGCCCGAGGCCTACACCAAGCCCTTTGTCGACTTCCTCGCCGAGAACCCCACAATCTTCCACACCGTCGCCCACTTCAAGGACAAGCTCGCCGCCGCCGGCTTCACCGAGCTCCCCTCCCGCGACAGCTGGGCCGACAAGCTCCAGCCCGGCGGCAAGTACTGGACCACCCGCAACGGCTCCGCCCTTATCGCCTTCACCGTCGGTAAGGCCTACAAGCCCGGCAACGGCGTCGCAATGATCGCCGGCCACATCGACGCCCTTACCGCCAGGCTCAAGCCCGTCAGCTCCAAGCCCACCCGCGCCGGCTACCTCCAGCTCGGCGTCGCCCCCTACGCCGGTGCCCTCAACCAGACCTGGTGGGACCGCGACCTGGCCATCGGCGGCCGCGTCGTCGTCCGCGACGAGTCCTCCCACAAGACCACCACCCGCCTCGTCCGCCTCGACTGGCCCATCGCCCGCATCCCCACCCTCGCCCCTCACTTTGGCGTCGGCATGATGGGCCAGAACAACCCCGAGACCCAGGCCGTGCCCATCATCGGCCTCGACTCCCCGTCCGACGACTCTTCCGCCGCCGCCGCCGCCGCCGCCCCCGTCGAGCCCCTCGGCCCCAAGGGCGCCTTCGTCAACTCCCAGCCCCCGAAGCTCGTCAAGCTCATCTCCGGCCAGCTCGGCCTCGCCTCCCCGTCTCAGATCCTCAACTGGGAGCTGGAGCTCTACGACTCGCAGCCCGCCCAGACGGGCGGCCTCGACCGCGAGTTCATCTTCGGCGGCCGCATCGACGACAAGCTCTGCTCCTGGGCCGCCCTCACCGCCCTCCTGGCCGCCGAGTCCGACCCCGACGACGGCGTCATCAAGCTCGTCGCCCTCTTCGACGACGAGGAGATCGGCTCCCTCCTCCGCCAGGGCGCCCGCGGCAACTTCCTCCCCCTCACCGTCGAGCGCGCCGTCGAGTCCCTCAGCGCCGCCGCCGCCGGCGTGGCCTTTGGCACCGACGTCCTCTGCCGCACCTTCGCCGCCTCCTTCCTCCTCTCGGCCGACGTCACCCACGCCGGCAACCCCAACTTCCTCGGCTACTACCTCGACGAGCACGTGCCGCGCCTCAACGTCGGCATCGCCATCTGCGGCGACAGCAACGGCCACATGACCACCGACGCCGTCTCCACCGCCATCCTCCAGCGCGTCGGCGAGCTCAGCGGCGCCCCGACCCAGACCTTCCAGATCCGCAACGACACCCGCAGCGGCGGCACCGTCGGCCCCATGCTCAGCTCCGCCATGGGCGTGCGCGCCGCCGACGCCGGCCTCCCCCAGCTGAGCATGCACTCCATCCGCGCCACCACCGGCGCCCTGGACCCCGGCCTGGGCGTCAAGTTCTTCAAGGGCTTCCTGGACCACTGGGAGAAGGTCGACGCCGAGTGGCAGTAGGCTTATGGCCTGGGTGGGGAGTTATCGCGGGGGGGGGAGGGGGGGGGGGGGGGGGGACGGGGGGATACATGGAGAAATCGAGAGGGTGAGAGAGAGAGAGAGAGAGAGAGAGAGAGACGGTGGTTCAAGCGCGGCGCACAGTAGGGTGTTGGGACGTAGTATGAATTACGACTGCTTGTAGATAATCATGTACCAGCACGATTTAGACGCTTCTTCATTGCGGATCACGCATATTGCATGTTATGGAACATGTGGCACGATTTCTATCCAAACACAAATTTCTTTTTGCACAAGAATTGCCACGATTTATCAAAAAAAACAACCCCCAAAAACCCGTCATCTCGTGATATAAGTAATATCTACTGATTACCATTACCGGCGCACCGGACTCCCGTCCCCGTGCTCGTGGACCAGACTATGCGCCTCGCGGATCTCCATGGAATTCGCCTCCTCGTCGTCCGACCCGCCCGACGGCACCTCGTGGTGGCCGCCGTCGTCTTCGTCGTCGTCGTCTTCGTCGTCGTCGTCGCTCGCCATGCCGCCAGCCTCCTCGTGCTTCTCCGCGTCGGTGTCGACCGGCTTCCTCCTCTTTTCGAAATCCTGCCTGTGCGCCTCGGCGATGATCTTGGAGAAGCTCCGCTGCAGCGGCAAGATCCCGCTCCGCCTCCTGCGCCGCAGCGTGCCCTCCTCCTCCGTCCTCTGGTCCGTCGTCGGCCGCGCCGTCGTGGTGCCGCTCGCACCGGCCGCCGCCGCCGCCGCCGCGTCGAGCCGCGCCTCGCCCGTCGTCTCGGCGACGTCGTCGTCCTTTCCGCCGCCGCCCTCCTCCGCGACCCCGGGAAACCGCTGCGAGACGCGCGGCTCGATGGGGTAGGGCAGCGGCACGTCGCGCGAGGCCTTGTACTGGGCGACGTTGGCGCAGTGCTCGTTCTCGACGCGCAGGAGGGTCCACATGCCGCGGCGCGAGACTTCGGAGAGGGCGACGAGGAAGGAGACGATGGTGGAGTGCTGCGTGTTGTGGGTGAAGATGGCGTAAAAGATCCAGGAGAAGCGCAGGATCGGGTCGGCCACCATGATAAAGTAGTACGGCCAGCGTTTCTTGAGGCCCGTGATGTCGCGGAGGAGCCAGAGCCTGCTGTGCGGCTGGAGGAGAGAGAAGTCCATGAACAGGTCCCAGATGGCTGGTCACCAAACGTTAGCATCACAAGGCATAGATGGAGGGAGGGCGAGGGCGGACGACAGAGCGGCTGGCTTACAGGTGTATATGGCATTGATGGCGGCAAAGGTAATAAACATTGCCAGGTTACCGTGCGTGTTGTTGATGCGGTAGATGGAGAGCGACATGGCGGCCAGGATGGACATTGTGTACTTGCCGCCGTTCACCAGATGCGGGAAGATGTTCCTCGTGTCCCTGTAACGGCGCAGGCATTGCAAGAAGCGCCAGATGGGGGGCAGCGCGCCCAGGAAGCCGAGCAACCGCGAGTGGCTCGAATTGCACTGCGTCGGGTTGTCCCAGGCATTGGCGTAGAGACAGAAGAACAGCTCAATGTTCTAGAGGGCGTAAGCTGAGAACGTTACCAGGACGCAGAGCAGACCGTGTCAACTTACAGACATGGCGTATGACAGAGAGCAGTACATATCGCCGAGGAAAAAATCTCGAAATTCGACTGGATAGAAACCGGCAAGCAAGAGACGCCACTACACGCAGTCAGTGCCGTGCCCCTCCTTGCTGAGAGCTTACGAATTGAACTCACATGAGCGTATGCAAACCACTTTCGACTGCGTGCCATGAGTATCGGCGCGGGCATGAAGATGATGACGGCCGACAGAGCTATCAGGACCACGGGGTAGTATTGGTACACCTCGTTGGTCCCATACTCGCTAAAGTTGAGCCATATGAAAACACCAAATATGAAGGTGAACAAGCTGGGGAACTCGGCGAGCTGTCGCCAGTCGAGGTTGGTGCGGGTGTCGAATTCGAAAATGAAGGGGTAGTTGATCTTGTTGCGTGTCCAGATGGCACAGTTGACGCAAAACATGCTGAACAGCAAAAGCATCAGGAAGTAGCCTCCGTAGATCTGCATGAGGTAGCCTGTCCGCGTCCGTACTTCTGCGTCGTCGTCGAACAGGAGCTGCCCGCCAAATACGGTTCCTTGGATGGCAAACACTAGCCCGGTGCCCAGGAGGATGCCGCACCTAAAGGCGCTGCCCGATGCATCGCCGGGCCTCCGGCTCAGGCTTCGCAGCTTGCCGGCCGCAATCTTGTGGTTCCCGCGCTCAAAGTAGCGGGCGTAGAGGTCTTCCACAGCCTTGATGTGGCCGTCGACGGCCTCGCTGTTGACGAACCACGATTTGTTGACCTTTTCGGTCATGTACCGGTACTGCGGGCGGGCCTTGACGGCCTTGTCGTACTTCTTGTTCAGCTTCCGGAACGCCGTCCGGTTGAGCAGGGCGTACGACTTGAGTAGCTCGAGGCCGCGGTAGAACTCCTGCAGGGCGAGCTTCAGCTTCCGCTTGGCGGTGCGGTACGGCACGTCGTGGTCGTCGGGCCGCCGGATGTAATCCCGAGTTGCGTCGCCGCCCTGGGCTGGACGCATGACGGGCGTGTGCGTCATTTTCGACAGAGCCCGAGAGTTGGGCCCCGGGCGGAAGATCTTGGTTTTGACAGGATCGATCCAGCCGAGCGGGCCTCTCTGGGCAGCGTCACGGTCTCCATTGCCTCCGCTCAGGAAGTCCATCTCGGCCTGCCGCTTTTGGGCGTTGATCTCCTGTATGCGTCGGTTCCTCATTTCGTGCAGCTGTTCCTTGAGCAGAGCGAGACGCTCACCAGCCTGGTTCTCCTTCATTTTGTAGAACTCCTCGACCTTTTCCAACTCCGAGTCCAGGAACTCAAAGAATTCCGTCTCCTTCTGTCTGACAATGTCCAATGCCGAGGCCTGCAGACCGTATTCCGAGTTAGTCCCCGCTCGGCCCAGGTGCGATGCGCCCGAGAACAGCCGGCGGAGCCCGCCACGGGGCGAGGCATTGGAGCCGGGTCCGATGGTCGCCGGGTGGGGCAGTCGCAGAGATGACGGGGTGCGTTCGTGCTCGGTGGCAGGTGTCCAAACTGAACCAGGCACACTCTCGTCGACGGTCGCACTTCTATGGAGGGCCTGGCGTGCTGTGGATACCGCTTGCGTTGAGGCCGCTTGCGGGCTGGGACCGCCGTGAGAGGAAGGCGCATGCATGGCTGGCCCAGGCAGCTCAAAGGTTGGCCTGCGATCCAAGGGGCTTCCGGTGTCGTGGTGAGGCGGAGTATGAACGAAGCTCCCGTACCGAAAGTCGCTTGGCCCATCGTTCCATGATTGACGGTCGTTGTGCGAAGCGGGCGTGGGGATCGGATGGGCGGGCTTCTGGTGCGCCGAGCCAACTGGGGCCGGGGTGCCGCGCAGCGAGGTGCGCTCATCAGGGGCATTCGAGGCCTTGGAACGAGCATTTCGATGGCTGCGGAAGGGTGAGTGGGCGTGGAAGAGGTAGGAGGCGGTGCTGTTCTGATTCTCCGGCCTGCTGGCGTTGTTCAAGGGGCTACCATTGGCGCGATTGATGGCGCGCGACACGGCCTTGACATACTTCTTGCCGGCCTTGTAGTTGAGATATTTGATACGCCATTCTGTCGGACGAGTGCGGAGTCAGCTGGCCGAAGAAGCAACGAGGGGCAGAGACATGGAGGCGAGGCTTGTCGCGTCGCACCTGGTACGAGGTCTTGCTCGAGCTCCTTTGCGAACTTCATGACGGAGCGGTGGCGGCGGCGGCGGCGGCGCGGCCTGCTACCTCTTGCAGAGCGAGTTCCAGCAGAACGGGCGAGTAACCGCCATGAAACCTTGAGGCGAGGTCGGAGCCGTCAAGGTGCGTATGCAGATGTCGGTGTATTGCGGTGTAAAGCAAGTATTATGGATGGTGTGCACGTAGGTAGACCAGCCAATGCTTCGTTGCGTTTCGTTTCGTTTCGTTTCGTCCACAGAGAGGGAGACTTTCGGGTGAGAGAATGAGGTCCGGGCGCGTCAATCGGATCTTGGCGCTTTCGTCTTGTTTTCCCCTTTGGTGGAATCTGGGAGTAAAAAGACGGCAGAACCAGTTGGTGTAATTTTCTCGAGGTGCTGGACGCAGGGGTGACTGGCTCGGCCGTTTTCGTCACCCCGCTTTTCCTTTCGTCTGAATTTTGACATGTCTTATCGCTATCGATTGCGTGCGTACCTGCCAGCTGGTGCGGACAGTGGCTTCCACCCACCAAGGGAGTCTTATCAGATTGCTGCTAGTGGAAGTGAGTGCTGAAAGTTGCTGCATCTCAGGAGGGGATCCTTCTGTGCCAGTGTTTGCTTATGTCAGCTCGGTACGGAGGACTCGTCCTTCTTTGGAAATATGTACGTACCATTTGTGTAACTGGTAAACCTGGAAGGCAGAGAAAGCAACGCCTTTTCCTGCCATTGCTCCGCCACGACTTCTTCAGTACACTACACTATCCGTCACCCATATCAACTGGACAAACGCCGTTCCATCAGTTTCGAAACTTCCCGACAAAATGACCAGCCGTACCCCACGAGAAGGTAGGTTTTCAGGGATTGGCCGGCCTCGCTGAGATACGCTGCATCTCTTCCACTCAAGGTCCTCAAGCCAACCCGTCGTTCACAGACACGGCGGCCATGTCAATACTGGGGTCTATCTACTCAAGGATGAACTGTTTCGCAAGGGATGATTTGCACCGCGGACCAACAAGACCACCTGGCCTCGCACTCTTGGCGCATCCTGGACAGAGGAGCTATGGCCGCGTGGTCGCTCGAATCATGAATGACCTCAAGAGGTGAACTTGTAGCTTCAAGCTTTCTCTCGATTGCCACCATAACCTCCAACAAATTTCTTCGGCAAGAAGAAGCATTTGTCCCCGAAGCGCAATTGGTGATGGCGTGGAGAGTCGATACTGGAGGCACTTCCAACCTGACGATCCCAGTTGTTTCCACCGTTTTTGCACCCTGCAGCTGCCTTAATAGGCGTGGGCAGCCCCGGAAACCAAGCCTTGACCCTTTCAAACATGCAAGCTTCCAACAGCTTGATACATATTTCAACCCGGCCCAGCTCGCCGCCTATCGACGGGTCTAGAGGGGGTAAAGAGGGGACCTATCGCCTGGTCAGGGATGGGATGCATGTTGATGACAATGCACCTCGTCGCATTAGGCATCCCGTCCGGCCGCCTGTCCTCAACCCCCGTCCTCGAATAAAAGCCTATTCCAGTATAAGCTAGGAGCTCGCCTTGTCGAATAGTTCCACGATTGGGACAACCCAATCAGCGGCATGTCGTCCACTACAAACCGCTCCACGGATGTCTTCCGGTGCCCGTGGTGGACTGGGCCGAGCCTTTCCAACGACATTGCGGCGACTGGTCTCCCTAACCGTACCTGGGGTTCAAGTTCTGCGCCAACAGTGGGTTTGTGTGGCGACGACGAATGGATACCCTGCAGTCAGCCTGCAAAGGCAATGGAGTGGTCACGCAACCCCCGGAGGTGTTTGTTTGCTCCTTTTGCAGCACTCGATTCTACTTAATCGCTCCAGCTACGGCTTTTGGAATGCACAGGATGGGAACCATGGGTCCTCCCTCAGCGATGCAACCATAGTGGCTGGACTGGAGCTGCGCAGTGCGAATCCACAGGTCAACCTGAGACATTGATCCGCCTGGCTCATGCAAGCAAGACAGATCCTACGCCTCATTCCTAACAAAGAATGTCACGTTCAACCTCAAGCGTTGCCAATGTAACCTACTGGGCGACATGAGTCTCGAGCATTCTCAACAGAGAGCGCTCAGCTGCTCCGAATCAGCAGCAGACTGATTATTCAGGGCCGCCAGTACCCTAACATTTCTGCTCACAACTAAGCGAGTGCCCTTTTGTTGGGTGACTGGCCGACTCTTGTTCAGCCCCTCCCAAGTTACACCAGTCACGAGTTCACAGGATCTCGTTGTAGCGAGCACAGCGTCTGGTCTGTGTTCCACAGCGGCGAGAAATCGACTGTCTCGTGCCGTGCGCTTCTCTCTCTTCTCTGTCTCGATCCCGGAAAACAAGGGTGTTGGCTATCACCGACATGGTATGGATTCCCTCGCCGTGATGGAGCCTGCAGCAACTCATGCTGCATGTCTCGAGTCCCCCCTCCCCCCAAGCCAAACCACGACGCGGGATTGGGGAGGGCCTCGCTTGTCGGCGCAATCACCCTGTTGGCGATAATAGGCCGCGTGGTTGTGTTGTTGGAATCATGTTTGACATGAGCTTCCGAATACGGGATATGATGGGACCCCATGCGCCGCCTACGCCGCATCAGTCCGGCCCAACAGATCCTGTGGCTCGATATGGGCGCCCTTTCTTATTTGCGTTTGTTTGCGTTTGTAAAGACGCGTGGAGAGTCTTATCACCTCTTGCTTGCCTTTCTGTGTAAACCGGGGCTTCTTGTGGGTAGACTGACAGCAGACAGGAGGGGCAAGATATGCGAGCGGCCGCTAGGCCTTTTCTTTTTCCCTGGTATCCCACCCTGAGCACGCAGCTTGATCACCGCTAACTGCAACATTGTTTGTTCACTTCACAAAGTCCTTTACCAAGTTGCTGGGACTGTCAAACATTCCACAGTCGTGATTGGTCGTGATTGGTTGCATACAGTTCTCCTCAAGGCGCGAGTAGGTATCCGAGGCACCAGGACTTGATGAAGCAACCACTCGTTTATATCAGGCCTGGCCTCCCTCATACCTCGACTCTTCGTTGAGACACCCTTGAATCGCCCTGTTTTACGTTTTGTTTTGTTTTTTTAGTTGGAAGCGAGCGCAGTCCGCACAACCCGAAAATGGCTCGGTCAGACTTTATGCAAAGAGACTCGCAGATATTCACGAAGCATCTGAGGCGGACACTCTCAGCGCGCAAGACGCAGCAAGACGGAAATTCGAGTAGCAGGAGACGGTATTCGAAGAGTTGGTTCTCGTCCTCAAGGAACCCTCTGTTCTCTAAGAAGTATAAGGGTACGGTTGGTAGCGAAGCGATCCCCGAAGACTTGAAAGATGATACCCCCACGCAACCGCTGCATCAGTTTCACTACTTCTCGCAACTACCCCCCGAGATCCGCGAGCAGATCTATCGGGAGTTCTGGGCAGTCGCTGGCGTTAAAAGACATATGTTCCTCCACAAGCACAAGATCACTTACTCTCCGTGTATCACGGATCATACGGCGCCGGATGAGAGGCAGATTGGGGTGGCCAAGGCTTTCGAGGAATCCGGCAGCGACGCGGAGGTGCAGCTGCATCCGGAGTGGTACAACAGGATGACTTCGAAATGGTGCAATCACTGGAGATGCGAGAGGTTGTGGGAAGACGTGCGAGACGGCAGGAAGATTGACGAGCATAAGACGCAGTCTTACATGTCTCTCCTTCTCTCTTGCAAATGGATGTAAGTTTTTTCATGGCCCGGTCTGAATTCAATCTCCCGAAGCAAGAAGAAGGGGGGAAAGCTAACCTGACCGGCCGCCGCCTCAGATACCAGGAATGTCATTCGACCCTCAAGGAGTACAATACCCTCACAATCACAGACGGAAAAACCCTTCAGCGCATCTTCCAGGCTCCGCCGACTGCCTACCTGCATGAGGCGACGTACATCAACATCTCGCTCCGCGAAGACAGCGGCAGCTGGCTTTACCTCAACGGCGGGTCCTTATGGCACATACTCTCGGAGCGCTGCTGCAAGATGATACGCACCTATCTCTGGCTCGACGCCGAATGCCCCGTCACGCGCCGGCTGCTGACCGAGTACCGCGAGCTGTTCAGAGAGGTGCCGTCCGCCATGGCGCGGCGGCTGACGATCGACCTGCCCTGCGACGCGCACGACGGCTTCTGGGCGTGGGACGAGGTCGAGATGGAGAAAAAGCAGGGCAGTGCCAGCGGTTACCCTGACCATGGGACGGAGTGGCTGACACCGCTGGTGCCCGAGTTCGCGGTCGTCGCGCGGGGGCGGCAGAGGTTCAACGAGACGTCCGGAGGGTACGTGAGCAGCGCAGACCAGGGGCGGCCGAAGCGGAGGGTCCTGCGGGCGAGTAACCCGTTTGAGGACGTTTTGCTGTACGGGAGGGAGTTTCTGGAAACTGCGCACGCCTGGAGGGGAGAGGATATGAAGAAACCGATCAACGCGATTACGACGTGACCTTTTTCAAGCGAGGGAGAGCCATTGCCGGGACATTTTGGTGTTTGTGGCGCTGCATCAGCTCAATGACGGAATCTATGAGGACAGGACGAGGCTCGACGCCGGCCACTAGACGATGCGCGTGCGCGCGGGAGGCCTTCTCGAACGTCAAGGCGAGGGAGACCTTAATGACGGCGCTGATGGTCTTGCCATACTCCGTGTGCGTATGGTAAGACGACTTGGTCTTCACTGACATGAACGCGAGCGCTAAGAGGAGAGGTGACTCGAAGGGGTCGCCTGACAGGCGTTAGTCCATGAGCAAGCAGACGGCGTTGATGAGGGCGGATTCTAGGTCTCTGAGGCCCTGGTGGTCATTAGGAGCAGCCTGTGGGTTAGTGGCAAAGAGGCAGGAAAACAGGTTTACGATAGCCTCTAGTAGGACAACAGGTGGTAGTGGCAGGTCTGCTGGCCTAAAGAGGTTTACTGCTAGGGTTGGCGAGAAGGCGAGGATAAACAGGAAGATGCGGCAGTACAGCGAAGCGTAGTCTTGGATAGTGCGGCGCTCTAGGACGTGCTGGAAGGGGGTGAGCCTTGGCTCTATCCACTGTCGGCGATTGATCTCTTTGAGCACGGGTTGGCCGTCGAGGCGGGCCATGTCGGCGAGGACGCGAGCCAGCAGACGCTGGAGCGCGTCGGTGTAGGGAGCCGTCTGGTGTAGGCCGCGGGGGGGAAGACGGTCATGACCTGGCCTCGGCTGTAGCGGCCCTCCAGGTGTCGGAGGAAGCCGGTGATCTCGAGAAAGAGGTTGGGCTCCGTCAGAGAGCCGGCGCGGATGGTGGCTGGAAACTAAATGGTTTGAGTGCGATCGCCTCACCTAGCTGCTCAACTTGCTCTAGCTGCTTTATTGCCTCGTTAGGTGATGTTTGTGGTGAGTTAGGTGAGTTGGGAGAGCAGGTATATGAATAGAGAGGGGCGTTTGTTATTAGCGTGTTAGTGTAAGTGTCAAAGTGTGGCAATTGGCAATGGGTAATTGGCTGCACAGGCCAAATGGCTAGGTATTATAGGCTAGAATACAGCAAATACTTGAAGATATACTTGTATATATCAATATACGCCTAATTGGCCAGGGATTATCGCTGCATTAACCGCCGTATCTACATGTATAGCCCCTTCCCTGTTTTGACGGAGTAAGCCCTGCAGGCTGCTGTATTATACCAAGGAGTGCCGCCACATAAGGCTCAGGGAGCGCACAGACCTCTCTCTATGTTATGTGGCTGCCGTAACATAACGTTTTTCAAGCTAATAGTCCATTGCGGACCGTATTACTTACAGCCTCTACAATTTAATCTCTTCAATAAGCCATGATCATGTCACTCAGGGTATCCAAACATACCGCAGTTTCAAAAACTCTAAATTAAAAGCAGTGGAAACAAGAATACTGAAGATGAATCATAATAATAACAAAAGATGGAAATCTCCTATAAAGCGCTTCCTTAACAACCCATCTCCGACGAAACTAGGAAGTCTACAGACAGAGCATGAAAGCTTGTAGAAGAGTGAAAGTCCTCGTGCACTAGCAAAGCATGACGAGACCCCTATTTACCAGACCAATAGACCAAATCGATATCACCAAGATCTTGTAACGACCACACCACAGGCACTTGTCAAACTTGCCTAGATTTATGCCTCGAAAACCAACTGGTAAACATACTCATTTAATGAACTTCTCTACTCAAAAGTAGTAAATTCATTCAATAGCATGTACATTCAATTTAACTCTTAAACCCACTAGTTCTTAGGGGAAAATGAGGGGACAGTTATATATAAACACAGATACAAACACGTTAATACAACAGGGATTATTACTATAATCACGTACTCCAATAGTAACTCAGCACAGCAGACTATATACCTAGTAGGTATATGAAGATTGACGTGCCCGCTGGTGGATACGTCTGCTGCACTGGTCTATTTACTGATCTATCTACTGACCTGTACTAAATTGTTGGTAGTAGTGCGCTAGAGTGATGAGCGAACACGCTGTGAGTACGAAGGTAGGCATATGGTAATGCGGAAGTTAAAAGCTACTTCTCCTACTCCCTGTCTATGGCCTAATATTTTATAACCGCGCACGGTGGGCACTTGTTTTGCGCTCGCACTGCCCCTATGCCACGTGACCTGTGGCCCCGCTCCTTCCGATCCGTCCGGCCGTGTCTGACACAAATATCGCTATTAACTGTGACTTGATATTGAAATTAGTCTATAGAGACAGACAGCTATCCTAGGACTAAAGGTACAAGGCCCGGAGTACCCGAGAACCTGGGACGAATCCATGACGTGTGTCAAAAAGCAGCAGTGTGCGCAGGGAGAACAGTCAGTCGTTTAAGACCAGCCGGCCAAAATGCCCAAATCCGAAATATTGGATCCATGTTTCCATACTCTAATCAAACAGGGTCCGACTTGGCAAAGCCCACCTGGGGTAACTCGAGCTACTGTGGACTAAACCCCTGACAAGCGGTGGCCCTATTCAATATTCAACAGTCTCAACTTCTTATTGGTCGGGCTCGTTATGCTGGAGACTCAATGATACATACCATTACATTGACATCCCGCTTAAGCTTCCCCTCAACTTTCTCGGACCCGAACTCCCCGTCTTACACACGAGCCCCTCTCTGCACCGGCCCTTGTCTCGTCCTAAAGTAAAATTTTGCGCCTCAAAACGCCGGCTTGCATCGAAGGTTCATGCTAGACATGCTATGGTTCCCGGCCGAAAAAATAGCCCCCCTACCAGGTATCTAGCGAATACTCCCCCTACTATCTTGGGTACAGCTCACGTTACACAGTACTATTAACACCTACTAGCTGGCCAACTATTAGTGAATTCACCCTCCTAGTTATCACCTATTATTACTATAGATACCTATTAACACAAACTAACTAACTACTATACAAAACAACTATTAAATACTGGTTGTATTAATTAAGGCTGTCGCAATTCGTCCGGTTAGGGAGGGAAGGTCGAGAAGAGGGGGGTTATAGGGTCTGTAGATATGTGACATGATTGGGGGCCTATAACTTACCCCTGCCACCGAGTACTAGAATGGCGAGTCAGGCTGCGGGCGCGGGGAGTGCTTCATACCAGAACTGCGGACAGGTTTGGTCTGAAGTTTTCGTCTCAAGTTTCGAACTCTATCTTTGGATGGCATTGGAACCATGGTGGGAGGTTTGTCCTAGTAGCTACGTCAACTGCTATATTATATAATGCCAGCACATATCCATGGGGTGGCACATTACTCTCTTGGTTAACACTTTGGTCATCAAGCCTCTTTCTTTTCTTACAGCTTCTTCACGCCATTCTTTTCGTGTGCGCAGTGCCGGCCATTGCTCTTTTTACCGTCCCTTCGTTTATAGAACATCTATCTTTTCTCAAAACCGCCTTCATTACAGGTCGCATCGTCCCCGCAAACACAATGAAGCCTTGTCTTTTCACCCTAGTCGGCCTGCTGGCTACATCTGTGGCCGCTAGTCCGGTCGTTACTGTCAACCGCGCCCTTGCTATCAGAGGTGGTGCTAAAAGCTCCAACGTCGCTGACGGCGCTGCCGGTAACGCTGAAGAAGCGCAAAGTGTCGACGGCGCGGAGAAACAAAAAGATGCCCAGGCGGACGCCAAGGACAAGCAGAAGGACGGAAAGAAGAAAGGAAAAGATGACGCCGCTGCTGGAGCCGCAGCTGAGGCCGCAGCTGGGGCCGCAGATGATACCAAGAAGGATGGAGCCGCGGATGATACCAAGAAGAATGGAGCCGCGGATGATACCAAGAAGAATGGAGCCGCGGATGATACCAAGAAGAATGGTGCCGCGGATGATACCAAGAAGAATGGTGCCGCGGATAAGAATGGCACCGCCGACGCCAGTGGAGGTGCTGCTAATGCTGCTGCCGGTGCTCTTGTTCTGCCTGACGGCCGTATCAAGGCTGATGCTGTTCCCGAGGACTTCAATGTTCTGGCAAGCGTGTTCAAGAGCGCCGTGGTCAAGGGAGATGGTGAGGACTGCTCCGTTGTCCTGCAAGATGCTCTAAGCTAACAAGGACTCAGGGCTTCAGTTCAGCGACGTGGTCAGCTTCCCTGACGTCGAGTCATCACTGGTCAGTCATTACCTCCTTGGTGTTGCATCGCCACAAAGCATGCTAACTTTAAGCAGTTCGACAAGGCCACCAACACCAAAGCTTTCGCCATCAACATTGACGACAAGTCTATATTCGTGCCCCAGGGAGGCGAGGCGCAGTCCAACATACGCCGCGCCGACCTCCTGCCCGCCATTATCTCTCAGCTCGACAACGTTGCCGTAACAGGCACCCGCACCCTTCACTTCTCTGTCCAGCGCGACGCCGCCAACCCCCTCAACTCGACCCACGACTACCAGCTGGTGAGCCTCGAGTCAGCCGACTTCAGCTTCCACCAGTTCGACGTCCGCACCGGTGCCGACAACGGCGACAACATCGCAATCCTCGGCAACTCCAAGACCACGCCTGCCCCCGAGGAGATATTCTCCACGCCCTTCGGCGAAGGGGATTTTGAGAACTTCGCCATGAAGTTGGACTTCGATGCCAAGTATGTGCTTGATGTGTGTCCCCAAACGCCGAGAGCTTGCTAACTTGACCGACAGCACTGTTCAAGTGTTCCACAGTACCGGACAGGAGCCCCTCAAGCAGGTGACTGAGCCTGTCGCCAATGGTAAGTTCTCAATTTTGTTTCTCAATTGTCTTTTTCTTTCTTCCTTTTTGTAATTTGTCTTTTTTTTTTTTTTTTTTTTTCAGAGACAAGAAGACTAACAAGATCCAGATCTTGCCGGGTTCGGAGAATATCACTTCGCGCTGCAGAAGAACCCTGTCGGAGACGCTCCCCAGCCCGCAGGCATCAAAGAGGCGGTGATCTATGGTGGCATTTTCATGGAAGACTCTACCGATGGCACCGTTAGCCTCCAGTGAACAGAAGTGCATTAAACCAGCACTGGGCCAGTCTTTTCAGAGCTAGGTCTGGCATGGACTTGGTATCATCAAGAGAGGGGTTCTACACATGTAGGCTGGGTACATAAAAGCCTCATGTATAGTTTCTATTCAGAGAAAAAATCAATGCGAACACTTGAAGCTCCAATAACATATGTGCTACGTAGGCATTGACTTATATTGTTATCTCATATTATTAAACTCCGTAACAGTCTTACTGAAGACCCGTGCGTAGACAACGTACGGACCCGTGCTGAAACCGACAGGAAGGTCCTTCGACTATAAGACGGCCGAAAGACGCAGCTCCATGCTGATTCTCGTGGATATCAACGCTTAGTTTTTGAAAAGTACGATACATGGGGAAACAGGCCTAATTTATCCTTCAACGCTATCTTTTTAATCAACACTCTCATAGATAGTGATATCAAAACTTCTGTGAGCATCTTACACCGTCACTGGTGCTACGGAGGACAGCCATGTCTTGGTGATACGCTCTCTATCCTGTCAAATTCATCATCTAGTCCTGCCATCTCTACAAGCGTCCTGAGCGGCTCAATGACTCCCTTATAAAGAATGCCGCAACGCTGCTCAATATCAGCCTCCGGTATCGACGGATTATAAGGCGCGTTTTTGAAGAGTTCAAAGTCCAGGCACTTCTCGACAGCTTTTCCGAATCGGGGAAATCCGCAGTCCTCCTCGAACATGTCGTTATAAGGGCTGCCTTGAGAATCTTCAGCTGTCCGTTAGACATGCTGGCGTTCCACTGTGAAGGGTGTCCAAGCTCTTTGAACGACTTCCCAGTTGCTATCTCAATAAGCTTTTCTTGCGTCTAACGACTGGATTATGCTTTCCAGAGCCTGAACGACATGTCGGACTTGCCCAGCTGTATGTCCGGGATAGTTGGTGGTTTAGTCAGTCGTTGTCTAGTTTTCCTCAACTTGGACGGGCTTTCTTCCATAAATAGAGCAGCTGGTAAAAGTCAGCAAGTCTTTTTCTTCATTACAAGGTGCTTGAGAAAGTGAAGATAGCTGGACTTGTCTCACATGTTGAAGTACGCATGGATGATCCGGTCAGTAAAGTCCTCTCGCGCCTTCATCACCATTACCATGACCTCCTTCTTGGTCCAGCCCAGGCCCCGCGTGTAGGACGCCAGGAACATGCTCTTCAGGTTGGACGCGAGGTTCTCGTAGTTCCAGATGCCGAGCTTCCTGTGCTTCGAGTCCTTGATCCAGCTGTTGGTCGGCCATTTGAACCGCTGGATGTGGACGTATTCAAAGCCGGCCTCCTTCAGGACGCTCTCCATGCGGGCGAACTTTTCAAAGGGCGATCCGAGCGCCGCGAGGCCCTCAGCCCACATTTTGAAGCTCTTCTTGAGGTTGCAGTCCTCTGTGAGGGTGCCGTCGTCGGATATGGGGAGCGCGTCGACTTCGTTTAGTTCAAGGTAGCCGCCGGGGCTCAGGTTGCTGACACGGGTTAACAGATGACGGTTGTATTGATTTACGTAACTTACTCATGTCATTGTTTGACATATCTATTCCAGTCGCGAATACTGCTCGTCATCATCCGGCTGTGTATGTAGTCAAAGGGCGGGGAAGAGTTCTAGTCCTCTTCGAAGTCACCGATCTCGAAATGGACATTGGGCGGAACACTATGAAGTCAAGACCCAAGTCAGCGTTTCTCCCCGTCATACTGGATAGATGTGTACCGCACAAGCCGGGCTGGACAGCTGATAAATCAACCCCAGTGACCTGTTTGATGGTTTGGCAATACGCATTTTCAGAAGGCGCAAGGTGCCCCCGACTCACGTCGGCCTCGGGGTGTTCGTCGCCGAAGTCGATAGCCCAGATGCCGGAGCCGGTCCCAACATCGAGAACCCGCCCGACCTTGTGGTCTTTTTTGCTTTGTGGCGCGGTTCCGAGACGGTCGTCAAATGTCCGGAGCATGAGGTTATGTTGCAGATCTACCCGGTCAGTCTCATCGGGTAAAAAGAGCCCGAGGTGTTCACGAGAGAGGCGTACCGAGTCTATCATTCTCTTTTCGTCGTTGGGCATCGCGTATTCTGACTTGGGCGAGCCTCGGCTAAGACGAATCCTCTCATGTCAGATACACCGACTTCCATCCTTGTATCTGTGATATGTGCGTCCGTTCTCGATACGGTAATCAAGGACCGAGCTGGTCACGCTTGTGGTTGACGAAGCAATGCTTTCCTGAGAGATATCGTAACAGTACCAAGATCCAAGGCGGTTGGGAACACAAAATACCAGCATTCCTTACACGGTTCAGCGAGGCATCATCGTCTGAAACCTACATACACAAGCAATCTCGTCAGTTCATGTGTCGAAGTTCACTATCTGATGAATGATTTTTACATTGTCCGCTGCAAGGATGTCATTGTCTTCTACAGCAGGATGGTGCTGCGTCGTCTCTGCGTTGCCAGGCGGGCCGCTGCTGACGTGGTTGTCGGTCATTGTGCTAAAGAACGAGAAGCACTTTCGACTTGTTAAGCTGTTGCTTCCTAAATACAACAAGTGGTTTTCCCGGTCTCTCTTCTCAACCGCCCTGTATATAAATACCCCTTCTGAGTGGAGCATAACCCAGGTCACATCCTACGGTGATGCAACCGCTTCCGGAACTCAGCTGTTGGTTCATGCTGATACCCCTATTCTCCACAGGGGAAAATAGTGCACACTGGCTGCTTGGTGCATTGCACTCTCCAGGTCGTCCAGTGACAGAAGAAGATTCGTCAACAAATGATACTTGGCAGTATGCAGCCCAGGTAACGGTTGAGCGGACTTGGTTCCGATTCCGCTAGACTGTTGGTGCTGTTGGACGATTCGACGGGAGCCGGTTTTCGCCATGGTCGGGAAGCTGGTACTTCCCGCTATGATCGCCAATTATTACAGATCATAAACTTTTCGAGTGCTAGTTATTAACTGTTCTTTATTACATGCATGCTGGCATGCTGAAGAAACCAATTCAATACAATCATTGAGCGGGGCAGGGTAGTTCTATTGCTCAGGTTGTCTTCGAAGATTGGTCAGACATTGGGCCAAGTTGAAACATGTGTTCCGTAGTCCAAAACAAATTGCTCTTAGTCATAGACAAGCAATTGCATATGAATGATCAGTGTATTTTCAAAAGGGTTTGAATCTCATTGCTTTGATTATCTCATTCTCGTCGTAATAGCATCTACGTGTTGTTGAAGTTGCAACGTAGATGTAAGTGTCGGTTCACGGTCAACAAATCAATCTTCCGTGGCGTTGGAAGCCGCGGGTTCGGCCTCCTCGGTTTTCAAGGGCTTCCTTCCATGAATGGACCACCTAGAGAAGTCAGCAAAGACATCTTACATGAGATTCGGGGGTTCGGTCTTACATCTGGTAATAAGCGTGGATATTCTTGTTGCCACTATCCTTGCGAGCCTCCATCGCAAGGACCAAGACTTCCTCTCTCGTCCAGTCCAGGGCCCGAGTTAAGGTAGCCATAAGGAAACCCTCCCAGTTGGGAGAAAGGTTCTCATAGGTCCAGATACCCAGCTCCTTGTAATTTGGGTCCTTTGGCCAGCTGTTCGTTGGCCACTTAAAGCGCTTGACATGGACATCTTCAAACCCGGCATCCTTCATGACGCCTTCGAGGCGCCCGATATCCTCGAAAGGTGATCCCAAGAGAGCTAGCCCTTTAGACCACAAGCGAAGAGCCTTCATAAGGGAAGTGTCTTCGGTAAGTGTGCCGTCGTCTGAGAGTGGGATAACATCTCCTTCGGTAAGCTCGAGATAACCCCCAGGAGTCAAGTTCCTAAATCTCAAGATTAGATTTCTCTAGCCTCTACAAGAAAGGCATATACTTACCGGAAGCATTTCTTGACGTATTTTTCCCAATTGCCAATACTGCCAGTCATCCCACGGCTATGAATGTAGTCGAAAGGTTGCGAGTACGTCCAAGGTTCTTCAACGTCATCAACCTCAAATCGAACATTTGGTGGCACGCTGAGAATTGAAGTTTAGTAATTAAGCATTGCAGACACATTGTGCTGGAGGATCAAGTTACACACAATGAAAGCGGGACTGGAGACAAGTCGACACCAAGAACCTATTGAGATATCAGCAGGCTGCAATCTACAATGGCTGGTTTTAACCTGCCTCGGATTCGGGGTGCTCTTCGCCGAAATCAACGGCCCAGATACCGGTCCCGGTGCCCACATCGAGGACCCTTCCAACCTTTGCGTCCGGGTCGTTCGGGGGTGCAGTTCCAAGCCGACCGCCGAATGAGCGGAGGAAAATGTTGTGCTGAAAGTCTATATGGTTTCCGTATCAGCCTAGCACGACCAAGGTTTCAATACAAACCAAAATGACGCACCAAGTCGATCGAGTTCTATTTCGTCATTGGGACTGTTGTATTCTTTTCATTTTTTATTTTCTGGTTAGCTTCGTCTCCGGTGCATGTGGCCTACCGACGTCATTATAGATAGGTACATAGACTTACTCCCGTCCTTGTGTGCATGGTACGTTCGTCCATTTTCTAATCGGTAGTCGTAAATTGAGTTTGATAGACTCGTGGTCGAAGAAGCTAGACTTTGCTGAGATTCTGATTATCAGTTCTGGAATGCAGGCCAGGTCGACAATTGGAGTACTCACGTGGCTCACTGATGCGCCATCATCGACGTTCTGGGGAGAAAGAGAACGAGTCAACACAAATGCTCATTGTGATGGGCTAAAAGAGATCTCACGTCGTCGATAGCAATGATGACATTGTTGTCATGCTCAGCAGCCTGTGGGACACTGGCATCAGCGTTGGGAGGACTGCTGGCCCCCGTTGCCGCAGTAGTTGCAGCGTTGTCGGACATTCTGCGTAGTTGGTAGGTAACTTTCAGCACCTCGAAGAACGTGTCGAAAATCGAATTTCCATACCAAGGAACGCGCAGGTTGCATGGAATATATACCAGCGCATGGGAGCGTATGGATCAGACCCGCTACGCGGCGATATACCCGCTTCGGGAGGCCGGGTTTGTTGTCCCTGTTACCCCTCTTCTCGGCCACAAACAATCACGCAGGCTTGCTGCAGTCCACGCACAGAAGATCTGCAGCCTAACCCTAGTGGCCGCGACTTGTTATCCAGGAACAGCAGTTGGAGGGCGGGCGGGCAGGGGGGATGGGCATCTTTTGAGCGGTAGTCTAGCCTCCTTCGGCGGGTCTGCTTGTTGGTCCTTCATGGTGTGATATGTGATAATAAACGCCCCACAGACCCTGGTTTTCTGATATGCCTTATCACTCTTCGCGTTCATCCACGTCCAACATCTTGGTACGGTCGTGTTGACGGTCAGATCGAGAAGTTACTCCCGCTGATAACAAGGGGGGGATTTCACGAGCCAAGCCATAACGAGGTGCACGTGTTGTGTTCGCTTATCGCCAGCTTTTCTGTCGAATTCAACAGCGAGGCTCGGCCGTGTGAGCAGATCTCTATACAGCTTCGCTTCACGATAATGCCGATATGCTTCTCCTATTTTGGAAGGTCTAAGTGCAAGGAAACTTCAGCGTGGCCGTGGTCATATGCCGCGACAACTTTTGACAAGCGGCGGGTTCTACCCAGCCCGAGGGATGTGGCTATGCCATGGTACCGTCTGCTTGTCGAAAAGACAGACGCTGCCAAGACAATTTTGCCCGACAAGCTCAATGGTAGCGAAACCTTCAAGGTAAATACCAACATAATGGTTAGGGTGAGTTTAGTTTGGGCCGGCAATCGAAGCCGATGCCTTGCGTCAGACGACTGATATAGTTTTCACAAGACCTTCAGGATTTCTGTTACCAATCGTCTGGGTTCCTTGAAACCTTCAATGATCTACGTACTTTATTTTGTGGAAACGCTCCAATAAAAGAGACAGGAAATATGTTGTATCTTTAAAGGTTAGCAGGGTTGGCTAATTCCACACATTGACCACCTTTAGGAAAATTTCCCGCGTAGGTTCTCAAATCAAGTATCAGATTTCGTGTACGTCTCCGCACACTATAGTTAATGCTTTGTTATGAGGCTATCTCACTACATACAGATAGGCTAAGCTTACCTAGTACAATGCTGTTGTTAATATATCTAACCTCGTACTTGCTGCTAGGAACCTTTGAAGGAAAAGCCTTACACCTAGTTAGCTAGAGGCCTGCCTGCCTGAGGGCCCTATCTTTTTACATGAAGTAGTGTGTTAGTACACGGAGACCCCCAGATTTAGGCTTTTCTTCCCAGGCGCATGCGCCATGCGGGTTTGTAGTAGAAGACGACGCTGCTATTAACAATTCTGACTAATCAGGGCTTCGCATCAAGGGCGGCATCTTGTTGAACAGAAAACTGTACGTGCCTCTTGCCGTCACCTATTGCAATCATACATAACGCCTGAATTTAGACCTATTTGGATGGGGCAATCCATCTTCATCATTGAAAGACACAGGTAAGAGACTAACGCACAACCCTTGATTGTTTTACAATTTTCTCTTAGTCTAACTTCTTCTTCTTCTTCTTCTTCTTCTTCTTCTTCTTCTTCTTCTTCTTCTTCTTCTTCTTCTTCTTCTTCTTCTTCTTCTTCTTCTTCTTCTTCTTCTTCTTCTTCTTCTTCTTCTTCTTCTTCTTCTTCTTCTTCTTCTTCTTCTTCTTCTTCTTCTTGGGTTCTGCGGTTTCCTTACTTGTCGTTGTCAAGGGGATACCGCCTAGTGAGGGCATGGCTATCGAAAAGGGAACGACTAACGGCTCAATAGCTGAATGGTTGAGCAATACCTCACACCATAGTCATGTATCCGAAGATTCTTGTGCCTCATCAACCTTCTTTTCAGAAATGTAAACACATTTTTGACTGAGTGGACAACAGCCAGCTTTCGCCCCTATGTGGCATTAAAGCAATGACTACACCGTTCCTACGCCTCATCAAGAAGTCTTATTGCGCGAATGAAGGATGTAGGTGGGGTTGGGAGTGAACAAACAAACAAGGTTAAACGGGTTGAGAAAAGAAAGACACCCTGCCGTAAATAAGCAGATAGCCCCCCTCATGCAACTCCGCTGTTGACATGAACTGGGGTTGGTACTTCAATATTCGGCTGCGGTTGCCCACAAACGGTACAAGATTAAGAATTGAGAGAGGCTATAGTTCGCGAACTATAACCTCGAGACAGCGCCGACGGGGCTCGGGTTTCTCGGGTTCTCTCAATTCCCCGTTGTCTCGCTTTTTCGGTTTCCCTACTCGAAGCCAAAGATGTTAAGTGACATTGGACCCGACTTTTGCCCCGGGCTCGGACTCGTCCCCGATGTTCCGATTGCTAAACGAGGAATACGAGCGCCAAGGGGGGAACTCCGCTCATCGGTGTTATACCACCCCGTCTCTCAATCCCGTCTCTCGCGCCATATTCGACGCAGAAATCATTGACCGTACCGTCTGGTCCGACGTGTTCTCAGGGTCTTGCGTCCGCCCGCAGTCCCGGCCTAGTTCAAATCGCCCGACCCTTGACGTTAACATCCCGGAGACTTAATCTGGCTGTGCGCCGGCAGTGGATTGCTCTAGCCGCATCACCCCCCCCCCTACGGCTTTCCACCAAGGATCGGTCACATCCCGGGAAATATTCCCGGGCAGGGAGTGAGGATCCGCGCCAGACACGATGAAGGTCCTATCGGACGACACAGAGGCTGCCAAAGACTTGAAGAAGCCACATCGGAAGTCCAAACTCGGATGCCAGACTTGCAAGAGGCGCAAGATAAAGGTCAGTCTGATGAAGCACCTCACACTGCTGCACGCCATCCCCGCCCGTTGCCAACCATTCGACGACGACTGCCTGCGGTTCCTTCACGCTTGGTGGGCGATCTGGTCCACATGCCGTTGTATCTGCCATAGCGTTCTTCGCCGCATCAACTAACGTGCTGTTTTCAATGAAGTGTGATGAGCTGAGGCCAGCATGCCAAAACTGCGTCCGGCACTTGGTGTACTGCGACTTTCTGCAAAGCGGTCCAGTACTGGCGACGCACAGCACGCCAAACAGCGTTGTTGACACCCCAGATGGGGTTACGCAGTCGGCGCGACTACCAATGCCAGTCAACCACGACATCAACTTTACTGACCTGGAACTCATACACAACTTCACTACTTCCGTCTATTCGACACTATCAACAGATACCATAGTTCGCCAGATGTGGAAGGTCTCGGTCGTGCGCATGGCTCTGGAGTGCGAGTACGTGATGCGCACATTGTTGTCTATCTCAGCGCTACACCTTGCGCACCAGCAGCCCGAACGCAAAGAAGCCCTCGTTACCAAGGCTTTGCTATATCATCGTTCGGCCAGCAGGGAGGCGATGGGGCTGATGAGCGGTCTGGACGAGCGTAACGCAGAAAACCTGTTTCTGTTTTCAATTCTAACCATCTTCTTCGGTACGTCGTAACCCCCCTGCTTTTTCCACAAATTGGCACTGCCATGCTGCTCGTGAATAAAGCCCTCCCGCGGGCTAGTTCATCTCGTACGAGTGACTGACGGTGGACTAAACCCAGCCCTTGCATCCGGCCGCTATCTCAAGGAATCGGTCGTCGTTTGGGAATCCGCTTTCCCGGATTGGACTTTCCTGCTGTCAGGAGCTTGTTCGCTCCTCAAGCTTCTCATCTCGAGGGACTATACGGGGCCACTCACTCCCCTTTTGACCTACGCGAAGGAGCGGTTCTTTGCCGCCCGTGACGATTCACGTGCTCACCCAGGAGCGTTGGAGTGTCTCCGACAGCGCGTAAATAACAGCGGCATCGACGGGGACTTGCTACGGGTCTACAACCTGGCGATCGACGAGCTGATGCATCCCATGTCTCTCGCCTTGCACGACGGAGGCCGCGACATGGATATCGTAGACATCTTCATCTGGAAGTACTTCGTTTCCGACGAGTTCCTGCCACTGCTCAAGACGCCAGACGCCAAACAAGAGGCCATTGCCATATACGCGCACTTTTGTATCGTTTTGAAGAGGCTTGAAAGCCAATGGTGGCTCCAGGGTTGGGCGATGCATCTGATCTCCCAGGCGTGGGAGTTGCTGGACGAGAGCCACAAGTCGTGGATCCAATGGCCGATGGACGAGCTAGGTTGGGCGCCTCCAAAGTGAAGCATGAATACGCAAATAATGTCAAAGCTGAGATACCATTTAATATAATTAGTCGTCTTGCCATACATACTTGCTTCACGCCAACAAAGGCGAAATTGGAAAGATGTGAAAGCCTCCTGGAACGGAGCAGGCGCCAATGTCTGAATGACATCTTTGGAGGCAGATTTACACAGTTACAAATGGCCGCAGCTTAGCGATGTGCATTCTCCATTCGCCAGGCTTTGGTCCAGAAACTCCTCGTTCCACCTCAGCCGATGTCGTTTTCAGGGGCAGGCGTCTGTGCTAGGTTTGTTTATATGATGTATTTGAAGACTGTTAACCAATGTCTGAAACCCGTGTTCCAATTGTAACTTACAGAAATAAAAAGGTACGGGACCTCTCTCTCGTAACGTTTCCAAGCTTCGCCGTACTTTTTCCGACATCTGCTGATGTCTCTGTTGGTACGGTGAGTGATCATAACCATGAAGAACACGAAGTAAAACCAGGGAAAAGGGCTCCTGTTGCAAATATCCAGTCAGTGATTGTGGACAACGAAATATCAAGAACCGGGATCCTACCTGAACCCGGTGACCAAGCCCCACGATAAGGAGAAGAATATATGACCCTGGGATTCTCGATCGCTTGCCAAGGCACTTGAGAAAACGTGTTGCACTTGATCAGCTGGCCCCTTTCCTGGTGACGAAACGCGTTCTTCTGGCCGTTGGCGCTGTCCCACCTCCAGTAGAAGGAGAGGTACATAGCGGTGAGTGCTGCCAGTGCATAGGGGCTCCAGTGGTACTCAGAGAGATTGTGGTTGGCAAGATACAAAGCACAGTGGCAGTAGGTGAAGGGCACTCCGGCCATGTTCCAGAAGACAGTAGGGCAGTCTCCTGCCTCCCTCGTGTGGAAGGGGGCGTCCGTAGCTGAATACACCGGGCATGTAGCAGTACATTAGAGCCTCTCCGATGAAGAAAACCCAGTAGATGCCCGAAGCCTTGGCTGTCGGGTAGGCGCCCTCGTAGATCAGCCGGGCAAGGTGATGACCAAACTCAGGCCAGGATCGATTGGGCTCTGGCAGAGGAACCTGGCCATCGTAGTCCGTCGCACCAATCCACATATACCACATCACCAGAGGAAACCCAATCATTAAAGCCAGGGTCCTAAGCGAGCTACCGAATCCGAGCTCGTTTGATGCGCCATCGTTGTACTTTGTTGAAAGGGATAAAGTTGGAGTGTTGACTACGTCCTTCTTAGATTGAACTGAAGTTGTAGAAACTACGGCATTTCCTCGTTTTGAGCTTATGGCTATCCAATGGAAGTGAACTGATGGAGCTTAAAGGAGGCTGAGAGTGCCGTTGAAAGTTGTAGAGAAGGTGTCACATTGTCGGATCTGGGCTGAAGGATTTCTCATATAGGTAGGGCCACACAAGACAAACTAATGAAGCTGATGGCTAATTTAATTTTGCTGGTCCTGGCGCCGGAAAGGAGTTCCTCGTTCATGCACATCTCGTCTAGAACACTGGGGAAGGCTTTCATGCAGGCCTCGTGTAGCTATGCTTACTTCCGGCTGGAGTGGGTCTCTAACTTGGCGTGGTTTTGCGAGACTAAAACACATGCCTGGCTTACTTGCTATGGGTTAGTTTACCGCACCGGTGACTGAAGCGAGATGATGGGGAGTGGTCCTAGTTGAGGGACTATGCTCTGTTACCATCTGTTTTCATATGCAGGGCACAGGACGACGGGCGTTGACCAAATCCTAACAGAACGGATGGAAGCAATCGCGGACACGATACCCATACTGTAGGATTGACCAATGAATCGACTGGCAAACCAGCAGTAATATTAGTCCTTGGGTCACATATCGTGTCAGAAGAAGTCGAACTCGGAATAAAAATGTTCTGAGGCGATCACTTACGAGGCCCAGTAACCAACCTTATTACCTTTTACCAGTACACGCGATCGAATTTATATTTCTACATACCCAAATGTTATATAAGATAAGAGAGAAGGAAGTATTTCAAGGTACAGGTTGAAGTTGAGTCGCCACCGGATCAGAAACCCATCAAGTCGGATATCAGGCGCATAATAGAAAATGGACATCTGATAGGATGAGGATATTAAGAGGTACATCGCGTAGGATGTTGTTGACTTGAGAGATTGGGAACTATCATTGCCGAATTGACTAAAAACATGTGTCAACTGCACTTATAAACGACGTGACCCTGTTTGTATTTATGCAAGGGCTGCTAAAATAATTGGCTGAACCACGTCTTCTTCGCCACTATTCCGGTATTCTACCTCGCATTCATGCTGAATCTTTGATGGTTGACCGGACAATGAACATGGCTCCAAGTGTAGCCCTGAAGGAACCTACGCAGATGCACCATGAATATCCTTCGCGGTTGCCCACCACACAACGCAGAAAGCCCACCGGGTAAGATTGAATAAATGGCCTGCAAATATATTCATTGTTATGCAGTGCCATCCTGTTTTGAAATCGAAGTCCCATCGCAACACTCCTGTGTCCATTACTACAGCCAAGGCGTCCTCGGTTTCCCTTTGGGATTTGCTCCAAGATCGAAGCTGTCTTCAGGCAGCGGCCGCTACGTGGCTCCAGTCATGTGTCAAGTTATCTCTACGGGCCGATCCAGATCGAACTTCTGTTGTGTTAGGCCAAAGGTCAGAAACTCTTGGCGGCAAAAAGAAAGAATTCTCTTTTCGCTCAGCCACGGCAATAATGGCGTTCCCCTTCAAGCGACAGACAGCAAATCGTTGGTTTGTCATCCTACAATTCGACAAGTTTGCATTCTATTGGCGCTGATCCAGAGCCGTACGACATATTTCCCCGGGGGTTGTTGTGATTGGCGCACAGGATGCCCAGACCTGGAAACTTGTTTAAACCGAGACAATCTGAGGGCCCATCACCTCATGAGGTGTCCTCTCGTCGACATGGACCTTTCTGTATTGGAGCCCACTCCTAGTCAATAAAACCACACGTCTATACTGATGAGAGATGACCGTCTCGAAACAACACGATGACGGCCAGTGATGCCGCAACTCTGACACCGGGCCCGGATGCTATCGGGACCATAAGCCGAAACGTCCCCGCAGCCCGGTCCGCACAGATCCACTTTGAAGCGGGATGACGTCGTAACCCGCAATCGAGATCTGGGCCGGTTTTCGTGCGTGTCATTCTCACTTCGTCTCCCTCGCAGTATACAGTATTACACTAGTGTACGGGATACACACACAACCTCCCTCTGTTTCCCACGTGCCACATCACGAAACTCACAGGCTGTGTAGTGTGTCGAACCAATAAGACTGCCTCTCCAACACTCCTCGGCCAACCAAGGCCACAATCTGAAACCCCCCTAAAATCCCTCGAAGGCCACTCGCTTACGCTCAACGGTGCTGGGATTCCCGCGTGTGGCGTACTGACGCTTCTCTGGTTGTGGCTGCCAACTTCCAGGATTTTGTCATTGCATCTGATGATGCTCTCCCCCCGCGCAGGGGTCCAGACGGGGGTCCTGCCCGGTGGCCTGGACCAAACGAGACAGCCTATAGCACCCCGTTTCGAAGCCTCCATCACAGACTGGTATGACGTATACATGAGCATCATCAGCCACACGTACGCAACATGCGCAGCTGAGAGGGATGCGTGAGTGACGAGTCTGACGGAAGTGTACCGGTATTTGCGTAGGTATGTGTGTGGGTGTGTGTGTGCAAGCTGTATGCTTGCTAGCTTTGGGCGAAGTTTGGGCGGGTTTATATCAGGCTGGTGTTTCCTCGTCCCTGGCGCCGATCGTCCGTTGTAGTGCTCATCCCGTTGATCTATTCCAGACCTCAGTTCAACTTCCGAGCATCAAGCACCCACCACTTCTATCCGCCCCAACATCACCACCAAACAGTATCCACCATGGCAGAGTGGGCAAAGCAAACCTACAACGAGCAGTACGAGAAATGGGTTCCGTGGCTCGAGGACCAGTACCTGAAATGGTTCACCAAGGACAACAAGGCTAGCTACGCCACCAAGGGTAAGATGCGCTGCGCTTCATCATATCGCATCCATCCCAGAGCTTTGCACTAGTACCTAGCTAGTTGAACAAGAGCCTCACTAACGCTTTTCGTTTCCAGATACCCTAGGCAAGACCAAGGTCACCGGAGTCGAACAGGTCGACACCCTCCAAGATGGCGTCCACAACCTCGTCGGGGGCCAGGTCGGCAAGGGCGGCCTCCTCCAGCCCGTCGGCGACATGGCCTCCAAGGAGGGCATCAACCGCGCCGAGCGCCAGGGCAAGGACGAGGAGGGCGGTTACGTCCCCACCGCCGTCCCGGGCTCCGGCGCCCTGAACCAGGCCGGCAGCGGCGTCGCCGACGGCGGCAAGGCCGTCGCTGGCAAGACCACCGAGGGCTTGAAGGGCGCCGGCGGCTACGTTGGCGGCCTCTTCGGCGGTGCCGGCAAGAGCAAGGCCGAGCAGAATTAGGGGCTTGGTCTCGGCGCCAACCACTTTTCTGCTCATGTTATGCACCAGTATGTCGGGGTATGAAGGAAGATGCAAGCGTGCGTTTGTTGGATTACGATGATTCGCGGCGTTGGGGGATGATTTACCCGAACTTTCATGGTTGATGAGCACCGGACCCGATACCCGTAAACAGACTTTTAATCGATATTTCCCTCTCCTTACCCATGCATGATCGCTGATGAACCGTCCTATCGAACAAACATGATGCCCAAATTCGGACGTAACCTCCCTCCCCCCACGGTCCAAGTGTTTGTCGGTTAAATCAGTTTGTTTGTCTGCGTTTCTGGTTGGCGGGCTGTGCAATGCCTGTCCATAGCCGTTTGCTGAGGTAGACGCCAATTCGACATGTCACACCAGCCTCCTTTAAAACCGGATGTCCCATCCTCACTCGCCGTGCTCGGTTTGAGTTTGTCCGCATCACCTATGCCTTTTGCTCGCGGGACGAGACTCTTTACCAAACGATGAGCGTCACGAACCCCCGGCCGAGCCGCCTTGGCATCCGTTCGCTGGCAAAGAAGTCGTTCCGTTTGGTGAGCAAGCTCAGGAGCAGGACATGCCGAGCCCGACCCGGCAGCGTCATGCCCAGCATCCACGCCATCACGACGGCCGAGACGCTCAGCAGCAGCGACTCGCTCGACGCCCTGCGCCGCTCGCCTCGGTCAGATGGCGGAAACTACAGCGCCTCCTTCGAGGACTTCTGGAGCGGCATCTCCCTCGACTGCGACAGCACCCAGCCGAACCTCGCGATGGACGACCAGCTCGCGACGGGCTTCTTCGGAAAGCTGCCCGAGGAGGTTCGGGAGATGATATACCAGGAGCTCTGGCGCGCGGCCGGCCTGGGCCAGCACGTCATCCGCACGCAGGCCGGGTACGCCCACTCCCGGTGCTTGTTCGATCGACCCGGCGCCACGGCCGCGGACGGCGAGGAGCCGTGGGAGTTCAACTGGATGGCGCCCGACGCGCACGGGCCGGGACCGCTCTGGTACAAGCGGGAGATGTCGACCTGGTGCGACCACTGGAAGTGCGAGGAGTCGAGAGAGGAAAGGGAGATATGGCGGGACATTGCGAGGGGCCGGACGGGCCGCTCGGTTCCTTGCGAAACGTGGACAGCGTTCTTACCCATGATGTTGACCTGTAAACGAATGTAGGTCATGAAATCACGTCCACCGCCGAGGTATTTATTGGGCGCAGGGCACGTGGGAGTTTGTCGTGGCAAACATTGCACTAACACATGCATCGGTAAATTAATAAAAAAAAAAAAACAGGTACTCGGAATGCGCTTCTTCGATCTACGATTCCGTGGCCTTCGCCATCACCGACATCGCCCTGGCACGGAACCTCTTCGGCGCGCGGCATCGGGGGCCCGCCGGCCACCGGCTCCGGCGCGTCAACCTCTCGTTCCGGCGGCAGGCCGACGAGGGCAGCAGCTTCGAGCAGTGGGTCGACTCGTGGAGCGCCGTCCTCCGGCTCCTCGACACCCCGGGCCTGGCGACGGTGAACCTCTGGCTGGACAGCGACGTGTACTACGAGCGGCACTGGCTGTCGGTGACGGCCAACGTGCTCCGCCGGGTGCCGGAGGCGCTGGCCCACAAGGTTGCCGTCAGCCTGCCGCCGGACGGACACGGAGACAGGACGGCGACGGCGGCGGCGGCGGCGGCGGCGCGGCCGTGTGGCTGAGGAACGTGGGGGGTGAGATGCCGTGGGCAGAGTTCGTCGGGCGGAGCACGAGGCGGAGGAGGCGAAGTATTTCGGCGTGAGACGGGTGCGAGATTAACTTTGCGAGATGGATGGGTCTAGAGATCGAGGTTATCCTGAGAGGGCATGTGAGATTGGCCCAATGAGATGGAGAGTTACAGAGCCGTGTAAGTGTGTGTGTGTGTGTGTGTGTGTGTGTGTGTGTAGATGGGACGACATCGGACCTGAAGGGTAGGTCTAGCTACCAATGGAAACCATCACAAGCACCTCGCCCATCGGCTTTCACTGGCTGCAGGGGATTCCCGTCAAAGAAAAGTCTGGAATACCTTCTCGACTGACGTAGTCGGGCGTCCTTACACACACACACACACACACACACACACACACACACGAGAAAGCTTCTCCGCGGAAGCGAGATCCCTGGTTGCGTATCGCACGCAGCCCTTTCGGGGGCCAACACTTTCCCGTCGCAGTCTCCGGTTTGTTCTCGGACGAGCGAGTGGGCGTGCAAGGGAAACTTTAAAGGTGATTTCCTCGTTGGAACTCGTCCGGTCCGACATGGTGCGTAGTGAACCATGAGAGTGGTATAGCAAGCAACGGCGATATATCCGTACTCGGACGAGATCTCCATGCAGCATCAGCCCCTCCTTGTGTCAGGATTCCGCGGCACGCATCTTACTCATTGCCCGTCTCAGTGAATTGAAGCTTGAAGATACGGTTGTAACGTTGCGGGGTAGCTCCCGGTCGTGGGGTGAGAGAGGGGGGGGGCGCAGAGAGAGCTTCGCTGAATGTCACGCCATTGGTGGGACCTATGGATCGCGATTTTCCCAGCCAGGGAAAAGTCGTTGCGTGTTGGGCGTGCCTCTGTTTCGCCGCAGCGTGACGGTGGAAGTGTTTGGAAAACCATGGTTAATCATGCTAGTGTCTCGTCTTGCTGCCGGATATCGCGGATGAAGATAGGTGTCTATCAATATCTCCCGGAAACTCAATTAGACGTATGAGGTAAAGCAAATTAAGGGGGACGAGGGTGGAAGGAGGATCTTCTCCGGGTTGGAAAGGCTTAGAATACTGAAGCATCGTGAAGGTCCGAGTCCTGCTCTTGACGATGATCCCCATAAGGAAGCAAGCCCCTGAGCGGCACATCTCAAACCGTTGGAAAGTCCCCAGATCCGCCTCTTCCCATTGGCGCTCGCCGGAAGAATGGCTGCCCCTCGGGAGTGGGCATCGTAGATGGTGCCATTAGCCGACTGACGTTCCATGATTCCGATGCCCCCCCCACGACAGACAGGCTGCATGCATTGTGCCATTTCCATGTCCTCGACCTGTCCCTGCACCTGTTCCAAGACTTTCGATCACGACGGATCGGTGCTTCGTTGGAACATTTCGGGATCAAGCAAACCAAAAAAAAAACCACCTACCTGACCGGGGGAGGCGTCGGTCCACGGCGGCGAATGACCAACGGGGCCTCCATCTGTATGCGTGGCGGGACCCGGGAGTGGACACGGTAGACCTCGACGAGATCGGACTATAGATGGCTGATCGGCGTTGTGTGCGTGAGTTGTCTGCCGAACGGAGCCGCTGCTAGCGCGCATATCGTAACACCGCAGCAGCTCTCTCTCCCCGGCCGGCGGGGGGCGGTTTACTTTGACTGCGTCCGGGGCTAGAAACTCTTGGAAAGGGAGGGGAGGGGGGGGGGGGGGGCAGAGGTTTCTGCGACGAAGCAACCCGCACCTCTTCGATGGGTTCTCTGGGTCCGGACGAAGAGACAGGAACGGGTCTAGGTCGGGACACCGGCTGGTGATGTTTCGGGGGGCCGGCGCGATGCCAGGAGTCCGGACTAGACATGCATGGATCCGTTTCCGTCCTAGTCGGGAGAAACGGCGAGAACCAACAATTGGCGCATCTACTTGGTACGTTCGAGCGCAATGGGACTGGGGGGGCGTGGGTGCCAGACCGGCCCGTCCTAAACTATCTAGGGTTACAATGCGAAGCGAAGCTATTCGCATTTTTGGAGAGGTGGGGGGGGGGGGGGGGGAGGTGGACCGGGGACGAAGATGCGCATGCCACGCACGCCTCTTCGAAAGGATGTAACGCCAGCATACGCCGACCTCCCTCACCGAGCCCATATCAGAAACGATATGGAGGGTGGCCTCGATGATACCTCGCCATCGGAGGGCCTATCTATGGGGGGAGGAGAACAGAGCCGCCGAGGATTTAGGATAGTCGGGCGCGCTTGACTCGAAAGCAAGATTTCGCTGCGTGGCCATGGCTGCTGCTGCTGCTGCTGCTGCTGCTGCTGCTGCGGCGCGTTCCTGGTTGTCTCCATCGTCGCCTGAAGCTTCTTCGTCCCTGTCGTGACATCGAGCCATCCATCTGGTTCCCTGGTTCCTGAACCCCCCGTTCTCTGCGCGTAAGAGCCCCTCGTCCCCCCCCCCTACCCCTGGAGAGCATTCGCTCACATGAGCCATGTGCATGGATTGTACCGTGCCCGCGGTATCGGCCGAGCAGTGTGTGCTGGGTCACAGTAAGTAGAGAAGCAGTTACCGCATCCGGGCGTGCGGGCGTGCCAGCAAACCTCGGGACCATGATGCCGGATATGGCACGGAGGGAGACCGAAGGCAGTGTGCGGCCGCGTCCTGTCGCCCGTTGCGAATGCCACGGAGGCGAGGGTTCTCGAGATGTGTCCACGTTTGCAGTAAGCAGTTGTTTCTCCTGGGCCGGAGAATAAGGCACACGATTCGGGGGGGGCTGGGCAGCAGGGCCTCTCTCGGAGGATCATAGCAAACCCTGCAAAACACCAGGCACAACGCGCCATGCAATCCATCCATCCATCCATCCATCCATCCATCCATCCATCCATCCATCTGCTTCTACGTAGTAAAGGTTCCTGGCGCTTGTACCGACACTGACACCGCACGGTCCAGCGATGTTTCGCAGGCGCCCCGGAAAGGCGCCAACCAGCAATGCAACCTGCACCGAGCTGTATTCGTGTTTTGCTGGCGACTCTCTCTCTCTCTCTCTCTCTCTCTCTCTCTCTCTCTCTCTCTCTGTGTGTGTGTGTGTGTGTGTGTGTGCGTGTCTGCGTCTGACGAAAGTCCCATGCGCCCAGCCCCGTCTCGTGGTGAGGAACGCGGCTTTCTGAAGCAGGACGTCACGCAAAGACGCAGAGGCAAAGGTCAAAGGGCTTCTTTTCTAAAACAGCGTACGCGGCGCCGGGTTGTGCGGGGAGGGGCTGCACCGACATGAATTGGCGGCCGGCCGTTCCCAACCTCTTCCGTCCGTGGGATGGGATCAGAAGGATTTGAACGAGGGGGATTAGAGTTGCTGTCACAGTCTTGCCGTCCTCGTCTCAGGCACGCAGAAGCCAGCCAGAACCTCCCGTGTCCCCCCTCCCCCCCGTGCGTGGCGATGGGACCGCTCGTTCCCTGGAGGCTGGCCAAGTTTACCCGGGCTTTACTTGGGACGTCACCCATATACCGGGTAGTCCATGCGGCGTTGAACCTCTGACCGCGAAGGGGAGGGGGGTACTTTTGTCTCTCACGATGGTCGCTCGCTGTAATTCGCGGCAAACCATCCTTGCGAACACCTAAATGACAAACAGAGATGCGACGGGCGTGGTCTGGTCGGATGGCGCCGAGGATCAGCTGGGCGTTTTGGGCGCGGCTGCCCAAGCTCTACCGCTATCCGCGCTGTTGCAGATAGTGTAGTCTGCTTGCCCTAAACCTATATCGCGCATGATATAGGTCCGGGGGTGTTTTGCCTGGGTCTCCAACACGCTCTGTTATATCGTCAAGGTCCAGGTTGCGAATCTTGTTTAGAGGCCTCTGCCAGGGGGAGCGAGGAAAGGATGGGCAAACAACCGGCGATAACGCGGTGCAGCTATAGCCCCGCCCTCGACACACTGCAATGACGTGTGCCGATTGCTATCTTGGACGTTCCTCTCTCATCGACTCTTGGCCGGGGAGAAGACAAGATGAGCCCGTCCTCTGACCGCCAATCCGCCAGAGATTCAGCATGCCGTGTGTAAAGTGCGCGGTACCGTGTGATGTAAGCTGACCGGCCGTCAAGGCGGGCACCCCCCGGCGCTCCTGACGACGATCTAACCTAATCTTGGTCGTCCGGCGCGGCATGCGGGACTGAAGGCGGCCGCTCTCCAAAGGGGTCCCGGTTTGGCAGAAAGACAAGCCAGGCCGGGGCACGGAGGGGACTTGTATCCGTACGCGTAGTATTTGGCTAGCCGAGTTCATCCAGCCGGAGACGCGAATTCGAGATTCCAGGATCCGGCTGCGGTACATGCCGCCGCTGCTAGCGGAGCTCAGAGCACATACATACATACATACATACATACTGAGGTACGCTTCTTCCTAGTCGCTGCTCAGCTCGGCTGGGGATGGTTCGGCGTGGAGGTCGCATTGGGGACGCTTCTACCGTCCGTGAACACCTTCTACGCAGAGACCCCCCCCCCCCCCCCCCCTTGACAAGGCTCAGCTAGGCTCGTGGAGGAGAATGTCTGCCGATTTTTAAACTGCACGACCGGGGGCCTGCAGTCCCAGTGAGATGGCGTGGCGTGGCGTGGCATGGCGTCTAGGAAAGCAAAAATAGCCCATCATCCCTGACAGAACTCTTTCTCTCTCTTTCTTTCTTTCTCTCTTCTCCCCCCCTTTTTTCCTCCCTCATATCTTCTGCACGATATCTCCCGCTCTTTACGAAACCGGGACCGCGTCCCCAGTCCCGCGCCGAGATATGCAGGCAGCCTCTTCAGCCCGCGGGCCCTCCCCCTCGTGACAGCACCTCCTTCTGGGAAAGGAAGCCTTTTTTTTTTTTTCAGGGAGTGACAAATGCAACGCCGTGGGGACTATTGGATGGAGGCGCGCTTACACAGAGGCGGTGAAATGCAGAGACAGTGCGTGCATAGTGGCGGCGGCGTGGGACACGGAAGCCCAATATGTGTGCATTTTAGGACTTTTGGGACTCCCTAACCCGTCCATATCAGGTTTCCCCCCCCGCCGCGGGAGAGACGACGGTGTCAGCCTTGGGCGGAATCGATATTGTGACTCTGCGGGTGCTAGATCAGTTGAGTGCCGACGGGGCCGGGAAGATTATATACAAAAACGGCGTTTCCTCGCGAGCCAGCCTTTGGATCTCACTAGACAGATAAACCTGTGGCTTGTCTCAAGTCGGCAGGGCCAAGAGAGCGATAGCGGCGGCCCCGTCTTGTTGGTATCCAGTAAGTGCTTCGCTCGGCTCGCCGAAGGGGGGAGAGCTTGGACGAGAAGAAGCGAGAAGCGTGGCATGGTCTGTCTGTCTGTCCGTAAGCGTGGCACACCCCAGCCTGTCGCTTTTTTTTGCCTGCTGCTTCGATCCTGTCCGCCCCCTCACGGGCCCCGATAGGCCAAAGGGGGGGGGGGGGGGGGGCTTTAGCCTTATTCGGGGTTCATGCTTGTGCATATGTCTCTCTCTGTGCGTGTGGGATGGAGTTCTTCCCTTAGCTTTCTTTTTGGTTGAGTGGCATGCCGTTCCTTGCACACTTGCAGAGTGGGAATGCGGCCGGGGTCCGGGGAGGAAGCCATCGTGGTGGCTGTTCACGAACGAGGTGGGGGTGGGAGATTGTCGGAGGCGTTTCTCACGCGCCAGCGTCTGTACCATGCGCATGGGACGGAATCCCCAATGTTTTTTTTGTCTCGTCCGAAATGCCACGTCCTGTCTACATGTGCTTACACAGGACTCCCCTGGCCTCGGGCAACGGTGCCGTCCACGAAGGAGGTATATGCCCCCCCCTCCCCTCCTACCCGGGTCGAGGTAGAGCTCCGAGCCACCGGGGTATGTGTCTCGCCGACTTGCAGCTTAGTTTTGCTCAGCTCGACAGCTCCAGGGAATGAATTTGTTCCAAAACAAAAAAAAGTTTTGGCTGGCTGGCCTGCGTCCGTCAAGGCCGCATGGATCGTCGACGCAAAGGCAACTAGCCTGCCCTCTAGAGACGTAGTGCTTCCCCAGATTCGGCTCACACCCGCAGGCCGTGCTTGCAGAGAAAGGATAACGCCCTCGCCTTTCTCTCCGTTCGAGTCCAGGTCCGTTCCCGAGGGGGGCGGAGAGATAGATGCCTCGCCGTCTAGAGATGCAGGGAAAAAAACATACATCTTGGGCCGCCCTCCCTGCGTCTCGGAGCTGTCTGATCCGATCGCAGCCGTGACCGGCGGCGGCGGCCTGCTGTCGGCGGTGACGCCTCTCGCCCTACCCCCCTTTCGGTGCTGTCTGTGAGACCTCATCTGCTGTGCTACGACGCCATAACCTGTTTCCCCCCCCCCCCCCCCCCCCTTCCTCGGCCGTCGCGCACTGGCGGAAGAGGTCACAGGTGCACGGAGGCGTGTTTGCTTCAGCTCGCCTTGTCTGACGGTCTGATCTGCCACGGATGAACCGTTGCGGGGGGTTGGGATGGGCGTCTGTGGACGTTCCCGTTCCTCGACCTCTTGAGGGGAAAGGGGGGTTTGGTGGTATGCGAGTATCAGTCAGGCGTAACGTGATGCAAAAAAAAAAAAGGATGTGGAAGCACCAGGTCCCGCCGCATATCACGGGTCCAGAGTTTGGTACGATGGCGGTTCAGTCCCGGGTCTGAGCTGGCAGCGTCATGCAATACTGGAGATCTTGGAGTTTCGTCTTTGTACGTGACCTCAGTGCTCGGAGGGTTGGACGTGGGGAGGATCAATATCGGGGGACGCATTATCACTCGGTTGCTGTCCTTGTCTTGACCTCATCACACTCCATTCCAAGGCTAGAATGCTGGCCGTCACGCGCCGAGAGCAAGAGATATGGCGTTTCGGAACCCCGTCGCTACCGCCAGCGTCAATGCTTCCTCCCCTCCCGCCATACATACCCCTCCATGTGTGTTGGGCGACATGACGGGCCTGGTTGGGATTGCGCAACCAATGGGCCTGCGAGAAAGGCACAGCTGCATCCCTACAGATGGATGGGGCACGCACCCCTGGGAAACGGCGTTGATGTGTTTTCCTTGGATGAACCGTCGCCTCCGCGGTCCTATCCCATTTTTTACCGTCTCCCCCATGTCTGCAATGTCTGGCCGCAACGTTGTCGAACCGACCGAACGCGCCGTTTGGTACGGTCCCGGGGGCCCCGTCATCCATCCATCCATCCATCCATCCTCAGGCGAGCCGCCACGTTGGACTTGTTGGGTGGCAGACCTTGGAACGGGGGCGAATGCAAGCTCTGCAGGAGCGGGATGACGAAAGACGGGCTTAATTAACGTGTGATATTGATCCGGTTACTTGGAAGGAGAAACGGCGGCGAGGCTCTCAAGACGTCAGACCTCCTCCATGCCCCCTTTCGAAGTGTATGTGGCCACCAAATGGAAGCCGCCGAGAAGGCAAATAGGACGGAAGATGGGGTGGAAGGATTCCTTTTGCGGAAACGGATTGCCGTCGGCCCTGATAGATGGACATTTGCTCTCGGAGGACGGCCGGGGTGGTGGCTGCTTGGTGGGCTTGGGATGGACGGACGGAAGCCAAATCAACATCCATCTCTTCCAAGCCAGACACAACGGCTCGCAAAGCCTACCATATCGCCTTCGTCTCCATACCTAGTAGGCTATCATGTAGCCCCATGCGGACTCGGCACCGAACGCTCACCGGAATCTGCAAGGCATAACTCCACACACACACACACACACACACACACACATATGCACGTTTCCCACTCATCGGAGTGCTTGCTTATGGTATGGGCATGGAGAAGGAAGGTAGTTGGAGATATCCATAGGAGGCGGCGGGTTCTCAGTCCAACATCGTTCCACCCTCTTGCCCGTGACTGTGGAGTGCATGCACGTAATGCGAGGCGCGTTACCGGTCGAGATGGGCTGAGCAGGCTTGTGGCGTGGTATTCGCCATCTCTATCTGTGCCGACTACTCCGTACCTCCAGACTATTGAGCTTGACATGGGAGGAGATCGCTTGATGTGTCCGTAGATACGCCAGCTTTCTCTCGTGGGGGGCGGCTGCTTTACAGCCGCGTAGGAAGCCCATGTTTCATTGCTACCCTTGTACGGGAACTAGCGATAGAGCAGGCGTGCCGTTGCAGGGACGACTAGACGGCATTCGGGAGCTGGGGGGATGAAAGCCGTGACTGCGATTGCGATGCTGAGTCTTGACTTGCACTGACCGGCTCTCTGCATTACGCATTACGGCCACATGTTGGGTCTCTTTTTGGCTGCAGGCAAGGGTTTTGTGGCTTTCTCTCTCTTTCTCTCTCTCTCTCTCTCCGCATTGTCATGCAAAACACAGGCCCCCGGGGGGGCGGCATGAAGGACTGTCGTCTGGCATTACCCCCCGTGTCATTCGATGCTTGGTTAAACCCAAACACAGGCCTGACGTATGGCATCAGATCATTTGCTCGTCAACACGTCCCCCAATGATGAACCCTAGGGGGGGGGGAGAGAAGTATCAGGATGAGGACATGTCGGCGGTTTATCGTTTGTCACATTACTGTCATGGACGCCGCGGGCACGCATGTCTGGCCTTCCTCCACCACCCGGATCCCCAGGCGGGCGATTGCCGCATCTTACATCACCGTCGCCGACGAACGCGCACCCGGGCAGCTCGCTGCTCTACACACCCTGCGAGGTGAGCTGGCGGGCTCCGAGTTGGTTACACTCGGTGTACACTCGGCCCGCCGGTCGCCCCTCCGATCGTCCTCGTCGGGCAGTCGATAGAGCTTTCCCGGCCCGCGAAATGGAGCTTCGGCGAGACAAGGGGGAGGCCAAAGGGGAGCGAGAAGTGGTTACCTGTGCGTTGGTGTGTGTGTGTGTGTGTGTGTCATTGAAGGATTATCATGGGGGCAAAAAAAGAAAAAGAAAAAAAAGATCAAGCATAAAAAAACCCCCCCAAATCAAGGTGTCAGGGGCTTGAAGCGTAAGAGGCAAATGTAAAGAACAGGTACCGAATATAATAAGCACACCGATCCGATCTCACGGAACACCCCCCTCTTCACCCCCCCCCCCCCCCCCCCCCCCCCCTAAAGAAAACAGGGAAACGCAGAGGAGGGTATGAGCAAAGACCATCGAGCAGTTAGTTACCACGGGGTTGGACGTAAACTACACTACATTACACTACACTACACTACACTACACTACACTACACTACTGGGTAGTTTACACCACAAGGCAAGGGAAAAGCAGGCAGCGGCGGTCCATTAGCACAAGGGACGAGCGGACGGCAGCGGAAGCGAAGGGGGGGAGAAGGGAGCGAGTGGGAGAGCAAGGACGAGCAAGAAGGGGGCCCTGGAGATCATCACATATTCCGGTATTTGTGCATGCATTTTCAAGGCGATGGCCCGTACGTGCGTCGGAGATCGATCGAGGCCGTCATCGTTCTTCCCCAAGCCGCTTGGAAACCTGGAAAAAACGGAAAGGAAAAAGAAAGAAAATGAAGACAAGAAACCTGCAAAGCTGGTGACACAGCAGCGGACCATTTTGGGCCCGCTGGGGCTCTCTCTCTCTCTCTCTCTCTCTCGCTCTCTCTCTCATGCCAGTGGCAGGCATACATACTTTACTTACTACATGCTGATTAGCTCTGAGAGGCCGTTTGATCGTCTGCTCCGGATTCCTGGTAACGACGTCTGTGGGCCGGCCGCCGCTTGTGGACTGCTTGACGGGTTTGTGCACCGTCGGTGCCTCTTCGAACTGGAGACCGAGGAGGGGGTTACATAGGAGAGAGAGAGAGAGAGAGAGAGAGAGAGAGAGAGAGAGAGAGAGAGAGAGAGTTACATCAATAGCCGCCGGTGGTGATTGGGCGACGATTATCCCGCGCGTGCTGGAGAGAGAGCCCACGCCAATACTACCGTACCCGAGCCTGTTCCGGGGACGGAGGCTGCATATGCTATGGGGATAGTACACCGCGAGAGGTAGCACGTCGGTGGGATTTCCTCGGTGAAATACATGGTGGGAGGGATCGATCGAGATTTGGGGGTGAACATACAGAGCGTCTCTCTCCCTCTCCCTCTCTCTCTCTCTCTCTCTCTCTCTCGCTACCGACACCGATATGGTACACTAACCTAGTAACGGCAGCATTAACGGCGTTGTTAATGGCGTCGAGACGGCGGCGCTTGGGACGGGAACGGTCTCCACGTAAGAAAACAGACTTGCAACCTGCATGGAAGCCTGGGGAGACGGCGCCTGCAGGGTGTTTTGTTCATGACGGCGACATGTTTCTTCTCCCGGCGCACACGCAGCTCGGAAGCTCGGGCCAGGACAGGGGGGGAGGAGGAACGCATCTTTTTTGCGTGCAGCATTGTGTCAAGTCCGTCCGTCCGCGGGTTCAGAGAGCAGCAATCGGGGTGGGGGAGGGAGAGGTGAGGAAGGTTTCTTAGTAGTATGGTTGTGAGAAAGTGAGGATGCCTTCCTCCACCCCCCGATGGCAAGGCTGGCTGGCGGTGAGAGTACGGGTCAAGTAAGCGTGGTGTTAATCGTGCGATACTCTGTCCAGGGCACGACGCTCCAAGACGAGAGAGAGTGAGGAAGAGAGGGAAGAGGCGAGCCAATGGAGGAGCAGAGGGCGAGCACACACACACAGACACATACACGCCCATGTGTCTGTCTGTCTGTCCATGTGTGCGCCCATGTGGAGTGAGTGAGAGGAGCTGGGAGTGAGTGGATGAGAGAGGCGCCGAAGGAGGACGGAGACAGGAAGAGTAGCCACTCAGAGAGCATTCAGCATGAGCCAGGGCAGAGGCGGAAGAGAGCTGAGGTGCACCTGGGGCGCATGCAACGTTGGACCGGGTCCCTTGTTACCTACAGTACGCTTGTCACCCCGGCCCTGTCTGCCCAAGTGCGTAATGTAGGACGATGGCAACATGAATGGGATAGCAAGTATGGCCCTGGTACCGGTGCTCTTCCTATTGTTTCTGTCTCTCTCCCTCTCTCACTCTTTCACTCTCTCACTCTCTCACTCTATCTCTTCCATCTGCGTCTGTCTCTCATACAGAAACGGAAACAGAAACAGAAACAGAACAGACACACAGTTGCAGCGGTTCGGTGGGGGGAGAGGGAGGGACTTTTGGAGGTAGCGTAGCGTCAGAGATGGGTTCGGTGACGAAAGTATACTGGCGCCGTGATATACTATGCCTACCTCCGCCCTCCGCCCTCCTCCCCTCTCCCCTCTCCCCTGCTGCTTGGCGAGCGTGCCGTCGTCACAATTCGGTCTTGTTCTCTGCGCGTTATCCATGAACCTGTTGATGCCATTTTAAATCTGGACCGGGGAGGGGCTCGTTCGGTCTGTCGTCTTGTTATCTGGCCGTGCCCCCCGGGCAGGTTGATGATGCTCTCTGCGTCTGCTGGCATGCCATCTCTCGCCCAACACCTTTCCTGGACTCAGTTATCGTCGTCGTGCTCGTTGCTTGTTTGCTTCCAGCTTGGCTTGCATGCCCTCCTTGCTTCCCCCACCTCTTGTTCCTCTCCACCCCAATTCCACCACCTTGGCGACCGTCGGCCCCTCACTGAGGGCCGGAACAAGTGAGGCTAGGTACCGGTAGTCACCTCAATCAGTCTACTTTGTTGCACGCTATCTCAGTCTCTCTTATCTCAGACCCGCAGCACTAGCAGCAGCAGCAGCAGCAGCAGCAGACACAACAACAATATTCAAGACGCCCAGGCAGGTAAAGGAAGGTGTCATGTTGTTTTGTTTCTTCCCCTCTGGCGCGCGCGTCTCTCTGCGTCTCTAGCTCCCTTTCCCTCGGCGGAGACTCAAGTAGATAGACTCGGTAGGGATACAGATACGGACTCCCGCCCCCAGGGTCCTCACCGGTCCTTGCACTATCGACGAAACGTGCCTCATCCAGCATCATCCTTCGAGAGGGGGGGATTTACAGGTAGAACTATCACAGTAGCATACCGCACCCAGGGCCAAGGGGGAGACGAAGGATAGATACTACGTAGTGTAAGTATAGTACTCCGTACCTAGTGCAGGTAATGAACAAGAGGCGCACAGATTATGGACCGTGTCCCTGGCCCGAGAGTTGGAGAGACTCATCAAGGTATATCTATCTATCTACACGCCAGGTTGCCGGCTCTTCCATCATCTGAGCTCCACAGGCGAGGGAGGAGGGGAGTCTGTCTGGTCAGTGATGGGCCTGCTCGTTCATCGTCCTCTCAGCCCTGGCTCATAGCCCCGTCATTTGCCGACCTTTGGTTTTGCTTTACTTTAGAGTGCTCATCGACCGGTCAATTGAACAATGATTGCGTGTCTGGTGAGGGCCTGGAAGAGTGAGAGTGAGAGTAAGATGGATGTCTGAATCAGGAGTAACCCGGTCTGAGAAAGAAAATGAAGAGGGGACAAAACAAAAGTTGAGGGAGATCAGAAACAGAAACAAAACGAGCGACAGGACCATGACTATCGTCGGGCGCTGTCGCTTAAACGTTTTAGCTTCGCTCTCACCTGTTGTTGCTGTCATTCTTACCATCATACTCACCTTCACTTTCATTTTCACTTTCACTCTCACTCTCACTCTCACCCTTACTCCGCTCTCACACTCTGGACTGGATCCTCAAGGTTCCGCCAGCTGTGTACGTATCTTATGTACGTACCCCTGCCCTGCACTGTCGTATCCTCGCACCCCTGTGTACCCCTGTACCTTTTGGTACCATTGTATCCTTGCGCTCTTGTACCCTCGTACCTCTGCGTGGGAAACTTTGGCCCCTCTCTCTCGGCCTTCCCGACCCTGCCTTTTCTCTCTCTCTCATACTCTCTCTCATTCTCTCTCACTCTCTCTCACTCTCTCACTCTCTCTCTTCGCTCACCCCTTCTTACCGTCATACACCCCCCTCTCCGCTGCTCAGCACTCCCTTCAGCATCACTGCAGCACACAGAGCGCTAAAAAGGTCCCCGGGAGCTCTCAACAATTCGCCTACCGGAAACTTACTCGCCCGCCCGGGGACCCGATTTGACTTGACAGACACCCCAGCCTTGTCTGGCATGGCCTGACCAGATAATATCCTCTCTGTGCCCAACTTCCAATCTCCTACTTTCCGTCTTCCTCTCTCTCCCCCATATAATATACATCAACCTCGGACCTCACGACAACTTCTTCCTCCTCCCCTCCTCTCCCCTTCCCTCCTCCCTCCGTCATATTCTCTATCCTTTCTCTTCCTTCTCATGCACCGCGGGCGACATTGAACCCCCCCTCCCATCATCTCTGCATTGGCTCGCCCAGGAAGGAAAGCAGAGCACAATCCAAGGCTACCGCCATCCACGACGAATTACGCCAGACGAAGTTATACCCGACGGTCACGACCACAACCACCGCCACCACGGCGACGACTACGGTTCTATCGACGTCGACGTCGACGTCGACATCGCCAGTAGCAGCAGCACCGCCACCATATCGCTTGTCTGCCTGGTCGAAGCGTTCCTCACCCCTCGTCACAGACGATAAACGCCTACGGCAACAACCACCTCTACACCCACCGCCCACACGTCGTACGCCCACACATACGCCCGTACATTATAATACCCCCGCCATGCTGGACCCGTCGGCAAGCCGGCGGCAGCAGCCCATGGACTCGTCCGCCGTCTACTCCCACTCCCGCACACGCACGACATCCTCCAGCGTCTTCCCCACCGCCATCCAGAGCCCGATGCCGACCCACCTCTCCCATTTCAGCGCCAGCTCCCAGCAGCACAGCCGCCGTTCCCCCTCGGTCAACACCTTCAGCACCACCTCGAGCGTGCCACCTCCCGCCGCCTACCGCACATCCCCCACTAACGACCTGCGCCGCTCCTCCTCGTCCCGCTCCGGCGGCAGCCCCCAGCCCACAGGCTACGTCGCCCTCCTCCGCAAGCAAAAGGCCACCGTATGGTGCGACCGCGCCCAGTACGAGGACCCCCGTCTTGTCGCCCAGCAGCGCGCCGCCAAGATGCGCGCCACCCTCGAGGTCATCGGCGGCCAGCAGCGCACCTCTTCCGGCCTCTCCGCCTCCGCCGCCCGCACGAGCACCGGCATCAGCGCCACCGGAAAGGTCGCCGCCAAGATCCGCCACCACGGCAAGCCCGCCGTCGTCGGCTACGCCCCCGGCGACCACCACGTCGGCGTCGGCGGCGTCCCCATGCGCCTGAGCGCCACCGAGGTCGAGGCCGAGAGCAGCGAAGACGACGACCCCCGCCTGCACCACCGCCGCACAGGCAGCAGTGGCCGCAGCAGCACCGCCAGCCGCCGCGGCCCGGGCTACCGCTCCTCGGGCGGCGGCCCCGGCCGCCGCTGGAGCCCCAGCGACACCCCCGAGAGGAGCGGCAGCCTCGTCGAGGAGACGGCCGGCGACGCAACCCTCGGCGACGCCGCCAGTGGCAGGGCCATGACGGCCGGCTCCGGCAGCAGCGGCGAGCGTGCCGATAACCTGGGCGAGCTGGGCAACAGCGCCGCCTCGAGACTGGCGAGCAACTCGCTCATGCACTCCACCGTCACCCGCGAGAAGAGCGTCAAGGGCGCCGACGACCTCCGTAGGAGGGGCAGCGTCGACGAGCGCACCACGACCCTCACCGGTGGCCGTCTCTACATTGCCAACCCCGACTAATGCGGCGTGGGAAACCTGCACGGAGAGAACGAGAAAGAAAGACAACGACAGAGTGAGAGAGAGAGAGGCCCCGGCCGGTCTCAACAATCGCATTGGCTCAGCTCGAACTTGATATCCCTTTTTCCTTATCGCGTTTCATTGTTGTCGTCATTATCTGTACGACACGCCTTTCTTTTCGAGGCATACACGGTCGTTAGGGGAAGGCGTTTGGGTTTTACTCCATTGTTTTCCCACAAACTTGCATCATTATGGCGTTTTATTTTTCTTCATCTTACTGGGCGGCGGGATGATACCACAACAGAAGGCTAGCCCGACGATCACATCACACATACACACATGAAGGGTGTGTTCTTCTCCGGAAGTTGCCAAGGGGGGAAAGGTGTTTCGGGTGTTTCTTTCTTTCCTTGATTTATGCCTGGCACAAAGATTTCCACTCTACCTATTCGCTCTACGATCGCTACCTTTGGGGGTTCTCTTCCCCCCCTTCCCCTGTCTCTTCTTTCTGTTCCGTTTTCCCCTATAGTGTTCTTTTTCCTCTCCGCGTCGTATGCGGGTTTGTGATACTCCACACACCACCGGGACCGTTTTCTCAGGCCCGTGTTTTTTTAATTTGCGGGCAAGACAAAAATACTTGAAAAGGGGATGGACGAGAGAGTGTGTGGCATGGCTGAAGACGGCATTCCGCTGGTTGGTGGGAAGACCGGAAAAAGAGAACCGACTAGGGAAAGGGGAGGATGATACCACGGTTGAGCGAGGCCCCTTGAAGGCCTGTGAAGAGCGAGAGAGAGAGAGAGAGAGAGACAGTGCTAGGAATTGAGACAGGAAGAGCTCGAAATGCTCGAATGTGAAAAGCCCATTCCTAGGCATCGTGCGGTTCCAAAAGTGTCTGATCCTCTGATCCCCAACATTGACTCTCGCCGAGAACGTCATCGTTGGAGCATATTTTGCGTGGTTGTAATATCCCTCGAGGCCTTTCGGCCATGCTTACTTTGGCCAGAGGCATGCTGCCCTGTCTTACACGGGGCGAGAGGTGAGATTACCTTGTTGCTTCACCCCCCCTTTCAGCCGCACGCTGTTCCCGATGGCCGCGGGGTTGGAATTTGGAGCAAGATTTGGAGGATTGGGGTGGGGGTTCTCCCATTCCCGCGAATGTCTCACATGCTTTCCGTCATGGGAAACTTGTCAGATGGGCAAAACGAGAAGGAAAAAAATGGGAGTGAGAGAGAGACAGAAGCTCGATTCCCGCCGGACTTGGTGGGATTGCGGGGAGGCATGTGCTGAGGACCGCTTGCGGCGCCTACTTTGGCGCGCGAACTCACACGAGCGTTTTTGTGTAGCAAAACTAAACCAGTAACAGGGTAGCGGATTGGAAATTCGCTTGGCTGGTATCCGTACGTACTGCTGCTATCTTTGGAAACACGAGATTTCATCGTTCCAAGAGGGTTTAATCTCGCTCCCCTCCTCCATCTCCGGGTCAGGGACTTTTCAAGGTGTCAGTCAGTCAGTCAGACAGTCAGTCATCAGTCATGATTCGGCAGGTATCGAATTGTTCCAAACGCTCGCCGTGTGGGGGGGCTGTGTTTGTGTTTGTCGTTGACACATGCCACGACGACCATGTGTCTGGCCTTCCCGGGATAGACTCGACCCCTAGAAAGAGAGAGAGAGCCCTTGCTCATATTTCTCGTAAGGGTAGTGAGTGTACAGGTATATTTGATTTCGGGTTGGCCCCGTTCCGTAAAACTCTCTTTCGCTAAAGACATGATCTTGGTCCGTCTTCGGCACCGACGCCCCAGGGGGGGTGTCTCCGTCATCAAGCATCATCCAGACTCGAATTGACTTTTGTCTCCGAGGTCTGACACGGAAAAGACGCACGAGCTGAGACGGAAGCGCGGGTTGGGACCGGAGATTGGCGCGATTCCGCTTTCTCTCTCTCTCTCTCTCTCTCTCTCTCTCTCTCTCTGAACGGGGTCCATGTGTCATGTCTGCTATTCAGAGAGGACAAGGCGATGCGAGATGAACAACCGGTTCGGGAAAGTGAGCGACTCTGCGAGCCCCCCCGGGGGTGGATTGTCCCTGGCATTAAATTCCGTTGCTTCCGCATCTCTTGCTTGCCTCTCGCCTGTCTTCTTTGCCGTGCCAACTGCTGCACGTCGTTGGGTGGGAACGGGGGTGAGACGAACATCACTGCCCCAAGGAGACAGACAGCCAGGGTGGCTTGTCATGTCTGCAAGGATTCTCGTCGTCCCCTCTTTTAACTCTTCTCTCTCTCTGTCTTGGCCGATAACGCCATTGAAAAGGCAGGCCGGAAAATGGGCGATTGGACGGATAGGGTCTTTTCCTAGCCTGGTGTCGTCGATCACTTCGTGTTCAGGCAAAAAGAAAAAGGGACCCCTTCCAAGACCCCTAGATTTTTCAACCTTGGTACACTAGTAGTGTTGATGATGATCTTTCTATCTGTCGCCCGCCCCGAGAGCGAGAGAAGGAGTGGTAGGCGGGGACCGCTAACCTTGATGGCATCATGACGCAAAGTTGGGCCAAAGACCCGGTTGAACCCCCGACCCAGCGGAGGGTGCACGCCTCACTACCACATTGTTTGTCAAGGAAATGGCGAGATGAGCCAGGTGAGGCTGGTGAGGCGTATGATGTCACGTGGGAGCGTGTCTCTAGAGACAGTCGATGAACCCCACATTCATTCCTCAGCCACGAAAACACTAGCCACTCTTAGATCCCCGCACGCTTCAGCCACGGCAGGAGACACAGGTACTACCTTATCCAACCAGCTTAGCTAATATTCAATCTAGATAGTCAGCTTAGCTAATTCACGCCACGCCATGCCACTTAATCTTATCGGCGACGCTCAACGCGTCCCTCCTGGTGGAGGTCGCGTCGTTCCGGCCATATAGGCTTTGTTAGACATGGGCATGTCGACTTTGAACAGCACGCTTAGTGTGCCCGATAGTAGATGGACTGAAGGCGCAGACTCTTTCTTCTCTCTTAATTTTCTTGATAGATCAAATGTGTTGTTTTATATCTCGACGGGAAACCAACTATTGGTACGGCTGTGTTATAAAAGCCTGCGGATGTCGAAGAGGAAGCCCAAGCAAAGTATCTAGGGACCCACGCAGTTGACCAATTTAGCGAGTCTACCCCCTAATCTCCTTCCGCACCTCCCCCCGGAGGCCCCGGCCCACACGACCCCGACGCCAAATTTACGCGTGCCGTCGCGTCTTGCTCCAACCTTTCAACCTCGACTTTCCACTTTACCCATCCACACCACACACCACATCCGGCCAATTCACCTCCGAGAGCCCTAACGGCTTGCTGAATTCATCTCGCGACCAGAGGAGCCCCTTGTCCCGAAGCCGACGGGCCGTTACTCTCTTTGTTTTGTCCCGTGCCTTCCTTTGAGACTGCCTGATCCAGGTTCAACGTCTCTTCACTCAATACCCGACGTCCACCTCGATTGCAACCAGACCCCAAATCACACCGGGGCCACCTTCGTACACGGTCGCGAGGAGGGCGACAATTTGGCATCCGATGCCTCTATTCGAGATGTCCACCAACGTACAGCGAGAGTCCGACATGGAGCCCAACGGTCTGAAGAGAAGCCACGACGACTTCTCGACCGATCAAGTCACGATGGACCACCGCGGCCTTGCCGCCGGCGTCAAGCAGCAGGCCATAGAAGCTGTCGTCCAGCCCGCCAGAGGTACAGCCTGTCTATTCTGCCCATCGTGTGGCTACCCATTCCTGAACACACCGTCACTGACACTCTCCTCAGCTGTCTCCCCCGCCCCTCAGATGCGCGACCGCGACTCCATGTCACCGCTCAGTAGTCCAGGCTCCCTGTCCGACCTGAGCACCATCACGCCACCTCGCAACTCGCCATCCCCCAATCCCACACCCACCAAAATCCCATTCTCCCTGAAGCCGACACCCGACGCCAACATCTCCTCATCAAATCCTTCCGCCTCTAATCCCACGCCTTCCGCTAATCAATCCGCCAAACGGAAGCGCCGCACCGCTGCCGAGAAGGAGGCCGAAGAAAAGGAAAAGGCCCAGAAGAAGAAGGAGCGTGAGGAGAAGAAGGAGGCCAAGCAAGCCGAAAAGGCCAAGGCGGACGCCGAGAAGCAGGCCAAGCTGAATGAAAAGCGCCGCAAGAAGGAGGAGGAGGAACGCAAGATCCAGGAAGACAAGGAGAAGAAGGAGCGTGCTCAGCCGAAGCTCCTGTCCTTTTTCAAGCCACCTGCCACGCCCAAGAAGGAAACGGCAGCAGCCAACGTCAAACCAAAGAGCCCTGGCAGAGCCGCTGCCACGTCAGACTCAGCAGCACCGGTGGTCAAGAAAGAGGAAAAGTCCCAGTACGAGAAGTTGTTCAAGCCATTCTACGTCCACAGCACCGTCCGTCTGGCCAAAAACCCCTTCGAGATGGACCAGGAGACGCACGAGGCCAAGACCAAAATCTTGGAAGAGTACTTCAACGGCAAGCGGGAGCCGCCGGCCCAAGTGGGCAAGTTCGACCCCGTCGGCATTTTCCAGCTTCCCTGCCGCCCCGCAGCGCGTGGCAGGATTTACCCACCCGTTCGTTATACCATGGAGAAGATGATGAAGCTCACACAGCATGCCCAGGGCGTCAGCGAGGAGGACAAGAAGGCGGCCATGAAGGAGGCCACGGATGCGCTGAGACACATTCCCATCAAGCACCTCAAATTCTACCAGGACGTGCGTCCTGCCTACAGGGGCACCGTCACTTTAAAACCTTACCAAGCAGGCAAATCCGGCATGCGACGGCTCGCCCGGAAGCCGACACTCCGCGACCAGCTGCCCCTCAACTACGAACACGACTCGGAAGCCGAATGGGAGAGCGAAGGCGAAGACGTCGACATGGACGACGAAGACGACGAGGACCTCGACGATGGCGATGGTGACATGGACGGATTCCTCGACGACTCGGACGACAACGGCCCCGCCCGGTTCGTGAGCGCCAACGGCCTCGAACCCGAAAGTACAGGACTCTGCTGGGAGGACCGGAAACGCATAGGCCCCAATCGCACCGTGTACGAACACAGGATGGAGTTCATTCTGGGTAAGCCCAATCCCATTTCCCGCTCTTACAGCCGCGTTAACTCATGCTTGAAAGAAACCCTCGACCACCATTCCGGAATCGACCCCTTCTCCACCAAGTACTGGGAGCCCGAACCCAAGCCCAAGCCCAAGCCCAAGCCTGCCGGCCAGCCGCCCAAGGACAAAGCTGCAACAGAGTCGCTGAAGCCGTCTGACGCTTTCAAAGCCATTAGCAGCGCCAAGGTCGGCGGCGGCGGTGTGCAGTCACTGCCGAAGAAGATGCTGGAGAACAACAACCTCGAGGAGCTCAAGAAGGTCATTGAGGCGAATCCAAAGATCGCCAAGGGCGGCCTGATTGATCTCTCGTACGTCGCGCTCGCCCACGCCAAGATCTCGCGCAACGAAATCAAGGAGGCCATCGCAGCGGTCGCGGAGAAGGTCGGCGGTAAAGGGCATGCCGGCTCCTGGACGATCAAGCCCGGCTTCGATACCTGAGAGGGTGGTTGTACACACCGCGCGGACGGTCTGGCGTATAAACGGCGTACTGTTTTGACTTTGATGAAAGATACCTCGGCGGATGTGCCTCCACCCGCCGGCTCATTGTTGTTCGCCTTTGTTGCAGTTCTTTGGAAGTGCATGGAGTATATTTCGAAACCTTATTATTACAACGGGCCGGGGAGGGATGACCCAGATAAATGGATGGAGGGGAACACAGGGAGTGAGTCTGAGGAAAGGGCTCGACTTGTTGGCATTATTTCTTTACAAGCTGGCCAGTGAGGATGGTTCTTGAGGACTTGTTGCGTCGCAAGTCTCTCCCTCCCCTGCAACTACCGGTTACGATATGACGGCATGAGGGCGGCGTATGATGGATTTTACTTTTATTTCTCGGTCGACATATTTGCACGAGTGCGTACTCACTTTCTGGCCCGGGATGGTAGCGGCGTTTGACGGGCACTGTAGATGAGCAGCGGGACAAAGAGATTATTGAAGTTATTTGCTCCGTGTCCACCCACGGTGATTGATGTGACTTTGCTTGTATGACGGGCCGGCCTGATGGCGTCTGACAAGAACTTACGCCCATCACGACGTGAATGTACGACGGGCTTTAGGGGTTGGGACAGGTGCACCGCTCGCCCCGGGTTCCGAATCCGTCACACTGCATCTCGACCTCCTTAGCCGCAGTTTTTGCGCAAAGGATGGAGTGGAGAGTGATCTAGGTAAAGGGGGGGAAGCGATTCAGACGCCGGTCCGGAAACCCCGTGGGTGCCGGCGGTAGCGGTGGTATCTCCGGACTCCGGAGAAAGGGCAAGGCAAGGGATCCACGTGGGGCGGAGGATTCGGGCAGGCTGAGGGGGTGAGGGAGGTTTCCGAATCCCGGTACAACAAACGCGCGAGACGCACTCGGAGTTTGGGGATATAACCACTAGGTGGAAGGTTGTGTAGGACGACATTCTTCGGAGTTTACGGAGGAACGACGACGATGACGGCAACGATAGCGACGATAGAGACTAGCTAGACTATGCCGGATGTAGGCAACATGCGGCAGGCAACTGATGGCTGCTGCATCCGCCCCCTTTTTTTGGTAAGTCAGACGAGCATCCAATGATGGATCGAATCCCTGGGCTTATGACCGCGATAGCACTTACATTAGACGCGGGCGGCATTGGATTTGTCGCGTCCGATCATCCCGAGGCGAGTGGTGCGCCGGACGAAGGAAGCGCCAGCTACACACCCCCAAGGGAAGTTGGGTTTCCTATTCTGGTAGACGCCGGTCTCTTTCCATAGCTGTAATGGTGTATGGTGTCTGTGTGTGTATGAGGACGGAATAAAACGAACGAGTCTGGCGTCGACGAACGTGGCAGAGGAGGGGGCATAGAATGGCGCAAAGCTATGATGGACATTTAAAAGGGGTTTGGCGGCCGCCCTCCGACTATCAAGTCCGGGAACAAGCCAGCAACTCTCTTCTCTATCGTAGTTCCAAGATACACATTCCCTAACACACTCACACACACACACTCTCTCTCTCTCTCATACACCCATCTCCCAGCCATCATGACGGTGAAACCAGCGCGCGGCGACCGCGTCCGCGTCCCGGTCCGCGACCTGCCCTCCTGGATCCCCTCGGTCCCGCCCTTCGATAGCGAGGAAACGCTCGACGCCGCGGCCGTCGCCGCCGACTTCCTCGCGCGCCTCGCCGCGGCCGTCCGCGACGGCGACTGGGACGCCTTCGGGGCGCTCTTCGCCGACCGGTGCTTCTGGCGCGACAACCTCACGCTCACCTTTGACAAGCGCACGCTGCACACGCGCGCGGCCGTCGTCGACGCCTGGCGCGCGCTGGCCCCCCGCCGCCGGCCGTCCGGGCTCTCGGCGGACAAGGACGGGCGCCGCATGACCATGGACGCGGCGTGGGTGCGCGCGAGCCCCGCGCTGGGCACCCTCGACGTGCCGTTCTCGTTCCGCACCGAGGCGCCGGCGTGCCGGTGCATCGGGCAGGCGAAGCTCGTGCCGGACCCCGAGGGGCCGGGCGGGTGGCGCGTGTACGTGCTCGCGACGGCGGCGGTGGAGCTCGAGGCGAGGCCGTTCGGCCCGCTGCCGCGCACCTCGCCGTCCATCATCGGCGCGGACCAGCGCGGGCGGCCCGAGGCGCAGGGCCTGCCGCGGGTCGAGGACGGCAAGGTGCTGGACGCGGTGGTCGTGGGCGGCAGCTGCAACGGCATCGCCAACGCGATCCGGCTCGACGCGGCGGGGGTCGAGGTCGCCGTGTTCGACACGGAGGCGCGCGCGGGCGGGAACTGGTCGACAAAGAGGTACGAGGGCGTCGTGCTGCACCACCCGGCCTTCATGATCCAGCTGCCGCTGTTCCCCGTGCCCGAGGGCGAGGGGTACCCGAACTACCTGACGGGGCAGGACCTGACGCGGTACTACTCCTCGGCGGTGGAGCGGCTGCGGCTGCCGTTCTTCGGCGGGGTCGAGGTCGTCGGCAACGCGTGGGACGAAGGGGCGGGGCTGTGGACGGTGACGGTGAAGGACGTCGCGACGGGGGCGGTGGCGCGGCTGCGGGCGAGGAACGTGGTGGTCTCGACGGGGCTCGTGGTGTCGGACCAGAACTCCCGGATGCCGGCGCTTGCGGGGCGGGAGGCGTTCGCGGGGCCGGTGCAGCACACGGCGGCGTACCGCAACCCGGAGGCGTACCGGGGCCGGCGGGTGGTGGTGGTGGGGTCGGGGAACTCGGCGCACGACGTGGCGGCGACGCTGGCGCGGGACGGCGGGGTGGCGAGCGTGACGCTGCTGCAGCGCAGCCCGACGGTGCTGCTCGACTTCGACGGCGTGGCGCCGCTCCTCGCGCGGCGGTACGGTGGGCAGACGCCGATCGACACGGCGGACTTTTTGGAGGGAGCCCTGCCGCTCGGGGTGCTGCGGGACGTGTCGCGGGCGGGGTTCCGGGCGCTCATCGCGGCGGCGGAGGAGCGGAACCGCGCGCTCGAGGGGGTCGGGTACATGCTCGACCGGGAGCCGTGCCTGATGACGCGGCTGTTCGAGGAGAAGGGGCGGGCGTTCTACGCCGACCACCCCGGGACGTTCAAGCTGGTGCTCGACGGCCGGATCAAGGTGGCGCGCGGGGAGGCGAGGGGGTTCGTGGAGCGGGGGCTCGTCGTCGTCGACCGGCAGACGGGGCAGGAGAGGGTCGTGGAGGCGGACGGGGTGGTGCTGGCGACGGGGTACGAGGTCATGGACCTGCCGCGGCGGTACAAGGAGAAGGGCTTCGTGGACGCGGACACGGCCGACAGGCTGGTCAACGTCAACCAGAACGGGGTGGACGCCGAGGGCGAGCAGCCCGGGCTGACGACGTTTTCTGGACGTGGGTCTTCTTCCCCCTTTGTCTATCGTGCAACGGATGACATTTTGACTGACGGCCGTGGCAGATCCGAACTTCTACTTCTCTGGCTCGGGACTCATAAATTGCCGCGCGAGCGTGAGTTGTCACCCCCCCCCCCTTACCCCATTCTTCGCTGGAGGAGACTTTGTTTCTCGTCTGACTTTCCCTCGCTAACTCGTTATCGATAGGCGAGGCTCACCGCCATTCAGGTGTTGGCTGATATCGAAGGACAATTTCCCGAGAGGTACGCCCGGTCCTGATGAGGTATGAAGGCAACCGGTATGAGCGCTGTCGAGTAGTCGCTTGAATGTCTGATGAAGGATGAGAGGTCAGGTAAATAGTCTCTTTATTTATAGAATATCGTAATTGCATGAAGCTCGTGAGGTGTCCCTGCGATCCCTCGTGGGAGACTGGCTCGTCCATTGCTGCGGGTAAGTAATGCTGTGCGTCGCTTCCAAAACGTGGGACGAAGTATGGCTATTGCCGAGGTCGGGTTAGTAATTGTTAAGCCGACTGAGGTATATAGACTTGCTGTTGCGTCAAGATTCCGGATAGAACCATTTCATCCCTTCACAACACACCATATCTCTGTTCCGGGAGAGAAAAAGTGCGCACACTCGCGTATCGTCATCGGATTTGCCCCCAAAACAGAACCACCATGGCCTCGACACTCCCACCCAAGGTCGAGCGCACGACCATCGCGGGGTCGATCGAGATACCCCGCATGCTCCACGGCCTCTGGCAGCTCGCCGGCGGACACGATCAGGACGTCGACGTCGCAGCCGCCGCGGAGGCGATGGGCCCGCTGTGAGATGTCCCGCCGCGTCCCCCCAGAAAGACATGTAATTTTGTTCTTTCTTTTTTTGCTGACTCGGCCACCCAGAATCGACGTCGGCCTCGACGGCTTCGACATGGCGGACCACTACGGCCCCGCAGAGCTCGTCGTCGGGCGCCACAACCGCACGTGCTCGGGGCGGCCCATCACAGCCTTCACCAAGTGGTGCCCGCCCGAGAGCGGTGACAGGTCCTTCGCGACGGCGGAGGCGGCCGTGGACCTCGCCTTGCGGAGGATGGCACAGGAACGGGTCGCCCTCATGCAGTACCACGTCTGGGACTACAGCGACGACACGTACCTCTGCAACCTCGCGCACCTGGGCGCCCTCCAGCGGCAGGGCAAGATCTCGCACGTGGGCGTGACCAACGTGGACGCGGCGCACCTAGAGCTGCTGCTGGACTCGGGCTACGCCATCGCGACGAACCAGGTGTCCTGCTCCGTGGTTGACCGCCGGCTGGTCAGGGGCCGCATGGCGGGGGTGTGTGCCCGGCGCGGCGTCGGCGTGCTGGCGTACGGGACGCTGCTGGGCGGCTTCCTCAGCGAGAAATGGGTCGGCGCGCCGGAGCCGACGAGCGTCGAGGGGCTGAACTGGAGCCTGAGGAAATACCTGCGCTTCATCCGCGCCGCCGGCGGGTGGGCGGCCTTCCAGGGCGTGCTGAAGGCCGTCGCGGCCGTCGCGCAGAAACACGGGGTGCGGGTCGCGGCGGTGGCGATGAGGTGGGTGCTGGACATCCCCGTGGTGAAGGCCGTCATTGTCGGGGCGAGGCTGTCGGAGGAGAGCGGCAAGCACACGGCCGGCAACCTGGCGGTGTTTGGGCTCTCGCTGGACGACGAGGACAGGACGGCGATCGCCAAGGCGCAGGAGGCGCTGGCGGACATACCGGGGGACTGCGGCGACGAGTACCGGCGGGCGCCTTTCCTGACGGCGGCGGGCGACTTGAGCGACCACGTCAAGGGAGGGGACGGGGGGCGACGACGGCGCGAGGTCGAGGAGGCGGTCGCGGCCGGGGGGAGGGTGGAGTACCGCACAGGCAGCAAGTGGGAGCCGGTGGCCGGATACTCACGCGCGGTGCGGGTGGGCTCCGTCATCCGGGTGTCGGGGACGACGGCGAACCCGCCGGCGGAGCTGATGGAGCAGCTCGCGGCGGTGGGCGGGGCGTCTGCACGGTCGCAGACGGTGGCGGTGCTCGACGTTATCGAGCGGGCGATCAGGCGGCTGGGCGGGAGCATGTCTGACGTGGTCCGGACGAGGGTGATGATCCGGCGGGAGGAGGACGTGGCGGAGGTGTCGGAGGCGCATGGCTGGGTGTTCCAGTGTCACGGGGTGCGACCGGCCAACACGCTGACGACGGCCGGGCTGATTGGGGACGAGATGCTGGTCGAGATCGAGGCAGAGGCGGTGGTCGGGAGCAGCGAGTCGGTGTTAGTGGTTGAGTGAGGTGAAGGATGGGAGGTGTGAGTAGCAAGTCTCGGGGCGACGTCCAGCTCTGTTTCAATATAACAAACAACATTAATGGATGTACTCCGTCATCATGTTTGGAATACTATTCGACTGAAGAATATCCGTGTATACACTATTTTCATCCTAGTAGGCAGTCAGTCCAGAGTAAAGGTGTAAAAAACAAAAACAAAAAAATGAAAGGGACGAGACTCGAACTCGCGCGGGTTGCCCCACCAGGAAACAGATGTTAAGCTGACCTTAACCTGGCGCCATAACCAACTCGGCCACCCTTCCGTAGCATGATCAGGTGATCTTCTGTGCAGTTGCGCTCGGATTTGCAGAATAACAATGGAGCAGAATTTGGCTTGAGCCAACGCACAGGAAATGTGTGCAATTGGCAGTGGGGAGATGGAGGGGCAAGATGCATGAATCCCGAAAAGTCTGCGTGACTAGTCAGTGGGTCCGGCCCGAAGCGAGTGACTAATGATCAAAGCCCTCGCTTAGCTTAGCCCAAGTGGGGCGAAAAGGATGGGGACCGGGGCCCGCATATCCGATGATGACATAAGCGTCCTGCATAAGGTACCTAGGTATCCGTACTCTACAATTAATGGGCGACATGTATCCGTATCCGCAGAGCACTTACACTTACAACGGGGCGACGCGCGACGCATCATAAATCAAAGGCCTTGTTGCGTAAAAGTTATCGCAGGCCTCTAGAGAGGTTCATCACGCGTGAATGGGCCATATCTTGGCTTGAGCGTGCACGGGGGGGAGGGGGGGGTGAGGATGTCCTACGGCCACTGGGACGGAACTGGCTGACGCGGGCGCCAATATGGTTTCTACTACTTGCTGACTATGGGCTCACGATGATTGGCGTCGTTGAATTAATGCCAGCTGCTGATGGTCATGACATCTAACACCTGCACAGAACTAGTGTTAACTAGGCGGTCTAGACGTCTCCGGAGGTTTCGCCCGACATGCGTTTTATTAGACTTCATCCAGCTCGTTTACTTGCATCCTGGATGGTTACATCATAAACCAGAAATAAGAACTATTCTCGGTATTTGCATGCGGATCCCATACGAATAACTGATAGACGTCAACTACATTTTAAAGACAGCCCACAATGATATTCCGGCCATTACTGAACTGCACATGACGCTCAAATGTAAGCAAAGATATGTCGAGAAAAAGTAAGGAGGACATAGTAGTGATTTTTTTTAAAGCCGGGCTTAAGCGCAGACGGGAACACCTTGCTACATAGTTATAATAAGGAGGCTTTGAAGTAGAGACCTGGCTGGGATGGCCTTACTGGAAACGGCTTTTGCCGAAAAAGAAGGACAACGTCACCTTGATCAAAATGACGATGACATGGGTCAACGGTATCCTGAATGCCTTTCCAACCACCGCGTTGATTGGGCAAGGTGCAAGAGTTCTCGCGGCCAACATCCAAGGATACTAGGCTCTCTGGTCAACGAATACAGGAAAGCTATAGCAGTCTATGCCAAAAAGTGATTGACGCCCCCATCGCCGACCCGCAATGGGGCATCTGAGTGTTTCGATTCGAACGACTATGTGGAGCTGATAAGTCCTTGGGACACTGCGACGGAAAAGGGGATCAACCTAGACCCATGGCTGTTGTGCAACTTCAATGTCAATATCTGCAATTCTGATGCGGCCGAGGACAACAAGGGCATGGGAGATGTCGAAAGATATGTCCCCTCTCACACAGACAGAATGTGTGAGCAGCAAGGGATCATGTGGAATTAATAGGCTTTTGGGACTGCCCCGTGTTGGTATAGCAGACAATTATGTAAACAACAAGAGGAACAAGGGTACGTACAAATGGAAAGAAACAGGAGCTTTCGGATCCTATCGCGTATCACGTGCTGCGTCACGTGCACATTCTCTCTTACAACAGTAATTTCTACTCTCGCCGACCGGATACCGTTTCTCAAATACAAGCACAATTTACACACCACTTTCCCATGTCTTGCTGTGCGCTCCAACTCGTGATACGTTTTCACGTTGCCATCCTGTTACTGCAGATCCTTCTTACTAGGTTGGGCCGGGCTGCCTCGCTGCCGGTCCCTCTTCGACCTCGCACCTGGGCCCAGGAGCATCCTTGTCTGTCGTCATCTCCATTATTTCCTTTGTGGGCTCGGTGGGCCAGATCAGAACCGATCAAGATCGAGATAACGATAAGACATCGACGACGCGGCGAAGACTAATGCGATGTAAAGCAGGGCGAGTCTATGCGCGACAGGACCATCGTGTCAAAAGTAATAATGCGCGAATTCATGCAACAGCGCAGAGGCCGCCGCAGGATGAGGGGCTGCAGCTCAACCGAACTCTTCTTCGTCGTACGTCGTACATATGTTGATTGTACAGCACATTGTCTGCCATGAGATAACGTCTACAGTAACGAGTAGAAGCAAAGTAACCAAGCAATGCCGACCCTTGCGGCTGCGAATGTTCGCTCGGAGCAGCCGCGTGGCCCACGTCCCACTGGTTCCTCCAACCTCTCGGGATGCCCGGGAATTCCAGGGCACCCCCCACCCGAAGCATATTTGGTTCTATTTTTTTTCTTTCTTTTTCCCTTTCTTTTATCTTCTTTCCCTCTCCCGAACCTCGGCCTAAACCGCTTTTGGTAGACCGAGGCATGGAGACCAAAGGCCAAGCAGACGAGGCTCGGTGTAAACAAGCGGCACCGCATGCAGTTCAGTGACAGTGACACTACTCCGTACTCACGATTAATACGCATGGATGACGTTTTTCCCGCTTGGGCAAATGGCCACAAGATCATCTCCGATGAGGGGCCCTGATTGGCCCTTGACGGTCCAAAGCCGTCGGGTTTTTTTCTTTTAGTGTCTTTTTTTTAGTGTCTTTTTTTTTCGACTTTTGACTTTTTGTCTACTTTTCCTGTCGTTCTTATGCTTTTCCTTCAGGGCAAAGGCGAGAAGGGGGTGTTCGTGCCGTCCTGCAACGTCAGCAGAAGGTCTGTTCACTGTCTGCGCCCAAGGCTGGCTGACAACCTAGCTCAGAAAAAGAGAAAGAAAAAAAAAAAAGAGAGAGAGAGAGAGAGAGAGAGAGAGAGAGAGAGAGAGAGAGAGAGAGAGAGAGAGAGGCCCCTCCAGCTCTTGCAAGGAACATAACCATTACGCCATTGGAATGAGGCTGCCTGCAGGGAAACACTGGCTTCGGTTTAATTTCATCGGGTTTCGAAATCCCACTGGGCCCTGTCCAGTCTCGATCGACTCTGCATATACTCAGCCAGCACGCATATACTCGGCACACGCAGATGTATCCGTATACATTATACATACATCCACACGTCGTCATCATCATCGCCCCGTCCGTTGGTTCCATGCTCTGGCCGGTCTAATTCGTCCCACTTGGTCCGCGCGAGACACAACCCAGCGCCGTCCTCTTAGTACCCCTTGGTGGCCTCCCTTGCAACGACTCTTACCTCTGGATATAGACGTCTCATCTCTTCCGTCCAAATTGCACACTTGACTGGCTGCTGCCCTACCGTCCGAGCCCAGCTACATTACGTCTTCCTTTTGCTGCATTGTTCGCGCATAAAAAAAAGAAAAAGATAACAAAACAGGACAGACCAACCTGCATCGACGGAAACATTGGCCTAAAACACCATCGCGACAAACCAACATCCGAATCCCAAACGCTGCTGCCAGAACAGGACTCATAGAGGATAGAGAAAATCAGCCCGGATTGGAACTTTCTTTGCCCCCCTTTCTGCAACCCTTGAACCACCAGAAGCCCTATCGGCGCATTCCATTCCATTCACGTGGTGGACTCGGCTCGATCCCTTCTTTTTCCCTTCCCTTCCTCCCTCCTTCCCCCTCCAACGTCTACGGCGTCGACTTGCGCTCCGACTTCCATTTCCTTGTAGCAATTGAACCCCCCCCTACAGATTCCAATCCATCGACACCACCCAAAGTGCCAAGCATATCCTTCTGCGACGCAAACCGCACCTCGAATCGCTCCACCGCACGCGGAACCGGACTGCGAACAGTCACAGACATGCCAGCCGCGAAAGCGCCGCCGACGGCCGCCGAAAAGGTCGCCTCCTTCTTCTCCCGCCTGAGCCCCGTGCCGGCCTTCCCCGACTACACCGGCCCCCACAAGGTCGGCACCGTCGACATCGAGGTGCCCGTCGCCGAGCTCGAGTCGCCCAGCCCGACACCCTACAGCGCCTCCGAGATCCTCACCGTCCAGTGCCGCGTCTTCTACCCTGCCACACCCGAGTCCGACGGCAAGAGAATCAACTGGCTGCCCTCGCCCCAGAGGCAGCATGTCTCGGCCTACACCCAGTTCATTGGCATCCGTCCAATGCTTGCCGAGATCGTCTCGTACGTCCATCCCGTTGCATACAACCCAACCCATGCCATGTCGGCATTGACCTTTCGCCGTGCTAACTCCTCGTTCCTATAGGTTCCTTCCGCGGCATCTGCACTACACCACGATCCCCGTCCACAAGAACGCCGAGATCCTCGACCCCGATACCCCGAACCGACGATGGCCGACCATGATCTTCTCCCACGGCCTCGGCGGCAACCGAAACACATATTCCCACCTGGCCGGCTCCCTCGCCTCGCACGGCGTCGTCGTCATCTGCCCCGAGCACCGTGACGGCAGCGCTGTGGCGTCCTTTGTGCGCATCCCCGGCAAGCAGGACCAATACTTCATGCGCGACACCCGCCGCACGATTCCCTACGTCCGCCTCGACCACGAGCCGCGCCCCGAGATCTACGAAGCCCGTGAGGACCAGCTGCGCATCCGCCTGTGGGAGCTGGGGCTGATCCACGTCGTCGCCTTGAACATGGACCTAGGCCTGGCCATGTCGAACCTGAACAAGTCCACCCCCAGCCTGACCCAGTTCAAGAACAAGCTTCACGTCCACGAGCCCGGCTCCATCATCTTTGGCGGCCACAGCTTCGGCTCTGCCTCCATTGTGCAGTTCCTCAAGTCCACCTACTACGCCGAGTCCTCCGCCCTCGCCCACGTGGCCAAGCCCCTCTTCACCCCGCGCAGGGACTCGGCCCTGTGCCAGCAGATCACCGAGAAGAACGTCACCATGCTCCTCGACATGTGGTGCTTCCCGCTGCTCGCCCCGGGCTCCTCGGACCTCTTCGATCTGCCCCTGCCCGCCTACGCCAACAGCCCCTCGGCGCCGGGCGGCACTGCTCTCCTGGCCGTCGAGTCCGACGCCTTCTTCAAGTGGACCGACCATCTCCACGTCACCGCCCGCGTGCTCTCGCCGCAGCCTTCGGCCAACGTCATCACGCCGCAGCTCTTCAGCCGCAGCGGCGTGCGTCTCGCCGAGCCCAATTTCTTCTACGTCTCCACCTCGGCGCACCTGAGCCAGTCCGACTTCGGCATCCTCTTCCCCTGGCTGACCAAGAAGATCTTCAACTCGGAGGAGCCCGAGCGCGCGCTGCGGCTCAATCTGCGGGCGCAGCTGCAGATCCTGCGGTCCAACGGCGTACCCGTCGCGAGGACGTGGATTGGCGACCTCGTCGACGGCACGGGGTCCGGTAAGATGGGCATCCCGGGCGACGAGGACGCCGACAACGGGCCCGACGACGGGCTGATGGACGACAAGGCCATCTTCGACCGCTCCGAGGGCAAGGTGCGCTTTTGGAAGTGGATCGACATCATCGGCATGGGCGAGCCCAGGGAGGCGCCCAGCGCCGGCGGGTCAGCCAACGTCAATGCGCAGGTGGCCGGCGTCGAGCGGACGGACCAGGATATGGAGGAAGAGCTGGAGCCGCTGCAGGCAGTCGCGAGCGCGGCGCAGGCCAGGGCGGTACGGTCATGACGGGAGGGGGGCCGCGAAAGCGTAGCGTAGCGTAGCCGCGCGCGTTCTGTAATAAGGGCAACCAAGTAGCGTTGACCACCTGTATCATGATTTTGGCCGGAGTTTTCTTTTGGTTGGAAGAAGCGTCGATAGCATTGTCCCGTCCCGTATTTGGATGGCTACGTAGCAGATACCTTAGTCGATATAGCGTATAAACCATTCTCTGAGATGAACCACTAAAGCCCGATGCACGTGTTCGTGAAACAGATCAGATCGACCTGGAGAGCCTGGATGGGGGCCGCCAAAACGGGGTGCGAATCGACCTAGATCGATCCATCCATCCATCCATCCGGGCTAGCTCGAGTCTCACATGTCTACAGATGGTATTTCTCCGCATCGGTATGATGATCCGTTTTTTCGACGGCCTGCCTATGACCGGGACCATCCGAACCAGAGGAGGGGGATGGGGTTCGCGCTGTGGCCCTCGGCTGCGCGCAAGTCATACACGTCATTGAGATTGAACGGCGTCAAAGGGCGCAACAAACGCGTGCGCGCGCATGCCATGAGATCACTGCGGGAGCTTTGCGGAAGCGACTTATAACAGGGACGTCCCCCCCCCGTTCGACGAAGCATGTTCATCCGTCACCGATAACCATAATTGACGAGACTGATATCACAATGGCTCCTGTAAGTCCCTCCCAAGGGGGAATCTGTCATCACGTCCGTCAGGGACGGCGACTGACCCGCTCTCCGGCAGAAGCAGCCCGAACGCCTCAAGCACGTCGCCGAGAAGGCGACGTCCAAGAACCCCTCGCAGCTCGGCGACCCGGTCTCCCTCAAGGCCGAGGTGTCGCAGCTGTCGCCGACGGAGCACGACCTGGGCGCCAACTCGAAGCAGGCGTCGTCGTCGTCGTCGTCGTCGAAGCCGCCGTCCGGCAAAGGCGGCGCCGCGGGGGCCAAGAACTCGGACGGGTCGCCGGTGCAGGGGCCGGAGAAGAAGCGGTTGAAGAAGGTGGCCGAGGAGAACCTCGAGGCCGGCAACCCGTCGCAGCTCGGGGACCCGGTGAGCCTCAAGGCGGAGACGAGCGAGACGGAGCCCCGGGGGGACGCCGACGGGCAGAGGAGGGCGTCGAAGCTCTGAGGGCGCGCGCTGTCTACCGGTTAGGGTGTGATTGATGCCTAATAACATGTTCTTTTCTTCCGTCTTTCAGCGTGGTCGCATAGAAGTGACCGTTTTCATGCCATGTTGCTTGCTTACGCAGTGGAAGTTATATCTGCCATTCCCTAGCACGAGCTCCGCCAGCTGACCGAAGTATTCTGCTTGATCCACGAATAGCTGAGGTCCTTGGTGTACCCATATGCAGCCTTGCAGCTCTTCCGTTGGCCTCAATCTCCAGAGTGTGCTCGAATGAGGGCCGACAAGGGAATCTCTAATGTCACACGGTAATGCTAAGGTTGGAACAAATTTCACTAGTGACTAGGTCAAATCGTTGGCAATGGTCAACCACGCCTTTGATCACGAACCTTGCCCGATCTCAGCCGCAGTTGAGACCCTTACACCCTCGTCCCCCCAATGGCACCATGGCGTTTGGTATTTCTTGGAATCTAGGGTCGTCCAACAAGCGTCCGAGACCTTGTGCTTACAGTGGCGTCCAGGGAGCACTTCGTACTACGGTGAACGTTTCCATCTCTCTCAAGTGCCATTGTGAATTCCTATGGAAGGGCTGAATGATAGCTAGGAATTCATAAGAAAACCTTGGCGACGACAATGTGAGACATCAACAGCAGCCAGCGGAGCATCTATACTCGTACGAACCCCCCCTCTGCCCACCGAGTGCAAGTCCACGATCCAACTGTCATCTCGCAAACACCAGCACACTCAGAAGAGATGCCATCTCGTACCGCTGTAGCGTTGTTGCTGTCCCTCGGAGCGTCGTTGGCGCTGGCCAGGGTCCGGTGCGTCAACGACGAAGTAATAATCGCCGCCGAGGCGCCCGCCGTTGCCCTCCCGGCCTTCGTCAAGCGCCAGGACCCCAAGCCGGTCGAGGTGTACTTCCACGTTGCCAGTACCGTAGACCACGAGAACCGCATAACCGAAGAAATCGTCACTGCCCAGGTACACGTCTCCAACGTTTCTCTTTGAGGTTTATGGGGGGGGTGGAGCTCGACCGCTGACGTGGACTCCAGTTCAACGTCCTGGAATCGGCCTTCTCCAACCACGGCTTCGCGCTCTTTCTCGCCGACGACGTCTCGCGCGTCGTCGACGACGTGCTGGGAAGGGGGTTCTACGACGAGGACCTCGGCATCGCCGACTACGACGGCTACATTGCCTGGCGCGCCGCCACGCGCCGCGGCGGCTACGACGCGCTCAACGTCTACTTCTTCACGGACCTGCCCGTGGCCCTCGGGGGCGTCTGCAACTTCCTCGGCCCGGCCGAGGCGGGCAGCGATAGCTTCTGGCTGGACGGGTGCTGGATCAACGGCGACACGATGCCGGACATGCCGCCCCGCGGCGCCGCCGCCGAGGGCGAGGAGCCCCCCGTGCCCAAGGGCCACACCGCGGTGCACGAGGTCGGCCACTGGTTCGGGCTGTACCACACGTTCCGCGGGGGCGAGTGCGATAGCGTCAACGACTTTGTCGACGACACGCCCGCCCGGGCTGGATCCCATCCACAACTATATGGACTACTCTGACGATTCTTGGTGAGCTTTTGCTTAGAGGCCCTCCCACGCGCGAAAGCGTCGAAGCCTTGTCGGCTGACCGAGTGTTGCAGCACGAGCGAGTTCACCCCCGGGCAGGAGGAGCGTATGCACCGGGTGTTCGATTTCTACAGGAGACTGCCAGGCTAAATGCGGGCACAAAGGGGGCCGAACCACCAGCGTCCGGCTTGGCGACGGCGTGGTCCGGGTGGCGCGATTCGCGACTGCGGAACCGGACTATGAATGTATTGCAGAGTACACGTTCTTGGTGAGAATGTGCAAAGACAACTATCTACCTCTTGTAGCGGTAGATTCTAACCCTCTACCTCATATCGTCTTATGGTGCGCTCAAGTATGCATCCCGGCCGTGGTTGAAGTGAAGCCAGATTCGGCAGTTGCTCTGCGTTATCCGGTATCCTATATTATATTAAGATGTTCAGATCTCGCACAGGTCAGAGACTCAGAGGTGCCCCGTATCGGGTTCTACGTACCGTGATGTTACATATGTATCGGGTGAACTGCACTAGACCAATATGGGGATTTAGAGCGACTATATCCACAAGTCTTATGGTGAGTTCTCATGAGTTGCTAGAAATGCCGCTTATAATAACAACACCAGGACTATGCTAAAGGATGAAGGTTGCCCCCTATCAATAGTTACATCTGCCATGCATACATTTAGAAAAACCTCGAGTTCAACCCCCGTCTGGGGCTGATTTATCTTGCGAGGATTCTCAACTGTTCACTGCCCGCCTCGATCTTTTCCAACAGTGGCACCTCTGTTGCGTCTGTTGTGGTTTCAACAGATAGACCTGGTCATCTGCATTTCAGAACGGCCCAATCGAATATTAGTTCTCTAATAGCCCAATCAAATGATATACGTGAAATGACTATGGAAGGCAAATGACAAGAGTCACCTTGCGAAACGGTTACATTGCTCGTTTTTACCGTTCTCACCTAGCTTTTGAGTGTTAGGATACAGCCTAGCCTGCGGCGTCTCGCCCAAGTTGCATCATGCGCAAGCAACATGATGTAGAACACACCACCCTTGTGGCATAATAATCGAATCTCGATTTCCAGCTATCCAACACAAGAAAATCAAGGTTACCTAATACCGAAACCGGGCATGGGGGAAGGCATTCCAGCTGTGAGCGTCAAGGGTTTATCCCAAAGTGCGGTTTTGTTATAGTCCGTACACATGATTCCCAAGTCCGGCTCGCCTCTCAGAGATCGAACTCATGAGCCAAGCAAACGCTCCAGATGTCCGACTTGAAACAGGCAAGTCGAGCCATGGCCAGGAACATCATATTCCAGCCGTTGCAGGTGGCTTGACGTGTCCAGCCAACAGCGAATAGCCGTTGGTTCCCGGCCATGTTTAGTGCCCAGGGTTGGTAAATGGCCGCAATGGGGGGCGCTTACAGAGGACATCACGGGCTCACTGGACCAGCATTCTTGAATTATTGGACGGCCTCCCACAGGCGCTGACGCAGGCGACTGCACCACACCGTCACATTCTGGTGGAGTGACATGGGCCTGGGCCTCTTACGCAGCAGGACTTTGCGGCGGGGTAGTCGGCCTAACATTGGACCGTCTATCCGGTCCAGTGCGAAAGAACGCAATTTGGAGGCCTTCTGTGACCCATATCAACTCAGAGCCTCAACGTTAATTAATAAACACCAAACTCTCGCATCCTCTCACATCATTCTTTTCTCTCTTGATCAAATCCAATCCAAAACTTCCCTTAAAAGCCTCGCAATGAGCGAACCGAGCGACTCCCCCCCGAGCGATGCATCTCCGGTTTGTTGACATGTACTTCCAGCCTTGTGGCTCGCGTAGTGATAACATCCCACAGCACCTCCGGCCAACCCATCAACTCGAACAGTTGAAAGTCGGAGAGAACGGCGTTCAGCTCTTGATTTCCACGAAAGACCACTTGTACAATGCCAAAGATGTAGAGGCTGGGAGATGCGGGTTTCAGTGTGTCGGGGCATGGAGTGATGACTCGGTACGAGAACTTGGTCAAATGCTCATCTCCCATAGAAACCACATGAGCCAGTCCCAGACGCCCGAGACAGAGGAGCCGCGTTCATTCAGGGGGCCAGGCTATACAATGAGAGGCGTCGTGCATGGTTCGAAGTCGTCCCCGTAATTATGGCACTTACACGATGCAAAGAAGTTATCCAGTTTCATTTCACTCTACCATTTCATTTGACTCCTGAAAAACTCCTGAAGTGATTCTTCTCCCACTGACCCCACAAACTGGATCCCTCTATCGCCCGTCGTCGCGCCCTTGACATTGAACAGATCCCCCAAGGTAGACACGAACAACTGCTGCCCGTCGTGACCCGTAGTCATGTCTTCCAGAACATGAACTCGCTTCATAGCATGCTCGGAGGCGTCATTGCAGATCGTCAGACACGTTTTTGTACTGTTGGCTTCTTCTTGTAACCTTCTATTTCCAGCCTCCAATTGCCCAGATGAGCTGGTTACGTCCGATCCCAGTTGTTGTCTGCTAACCTCTTCTTTTTGCCTACGCAACTGAGAAACATTGTCTGTGATAATGTCTCTGCACTGGCTAAGTGTTGACATCGTCATGACCATGGCCCGTGTCAGGTTTCGGCAAGATATTTCATTCGAGGATGAGCTGGGTGAAATGGGCCGGAATTGCATCTCGTCGATACGAGCTTGGACTTGGGCACAAATCTCAAGGCAAATCTCAGTGCTGTCCTTCTCGTTTTGAATACGATCGATGTTGCTTGAGAGAGCTTGAAAAGACTCTTGTTGGTGCAATATGAGGTGTTCCAGCTTCGCGTTTATGTCTTCAAGGTGGTCTTCAAGCTCTCCAGCTGTCTTCTGAATCATATCCTTATACTCGTTGAGTGTTTGGAGGGTAACAGTGGCGGATTCTCTTTGTGCAACTGTCAGCACATGAACCGATCTATAAAGATTTCAAAACAGACCACATACAGATTTGCACTGCCCAGAGCAATGGAAATGGTGGATTTATACCCAGCCAGCATGGTGACAAAACCGCCGATGTCGCTCTCCATGTATCGTACTTTGAACCAGTCTCTAAAGCTCGTCCTGGGCCGACCAGAATTCTTGCTACACTCAATGATCAATCCGTTGAAATCGTCACAAGCTTGTCGGCATTGCAACAGAGGGACTTTCAGCGATCTCAAAGAGCCTCGGTCTTCTCCTTTTTGGACAAGCGTATTCAGGCTTAGCAGCACTTCGTTGAGGGCCGCAAGCTCTTCCACGAGCTCCCGGATGACTTTCCGATGGTTTTTGAAACTCTGGATGGTGTCATATAGAATTTTGCCGGACTGCATAGTGGCTGTGACGATGGCCACGAGAGCCGACGCTACGCTCAACGGATCACTCATAGTTGGCAAGTCTGACAGTAGTCTCCAAACACACAAATTGCGCAGTTACATGCATCAGGCTCAGAAATCTTCCACGACAAATATATTTCCTGCCCAACCCCACTCGGAGTCCTGTAAGCGCCCACTCCACCTGAGAGGCTTGTACGAGATGCGCTCCACTGTTACAATCTCTTGGCTTACTCCAAAGCGTGCGGGTAACAGCGGATGAGCTTCCGGCCACCCCTCAGATGATCGGGGAGGGGTAGATAATGGGCTTTCTACATACCGGTACTACCTACCTATGCAGAAGAAGGTGCCGCTAACCCAAACATAGATTGAACCAACGTATCCTGACTGAAGTTTCTTCTTTGAACGATTTATCCGTAGATGTACCGAATATTATGTAGTTAGGAGTACCTGTAAGTATGCGTAGATCTCTTATTTGTACTGACGATGCAAGATGCATTTAGTCCATTTAAACAAAGGCCAATATTTAAAGACAAAGAAACGCTGAAGACTGCAGTGACTGGGTTACTTGTCACCTGCTATCTCTCTTGGTAATTCTCAGCCAAAAATCGTGTGTTATCCAGAACCCGGCGCTCCAGAGCCTCAAAGGCTTTTCGGGTTTTGCAATAGCAAAGTCATACCTGCGGAGAAGCTGTGCGGACGTGTTAGGGGCTTCCCGTACGATATGATGAATTTGCCTTACCTCGACGAAAATCTTGTTCAATTCCATCAGTGCAATGCTCCTCCCCATGCAATAAAACTTCCCATATCCAAACACAAGATCCGTGGTCGCCATCATCGCCCTGTACCTCTCTTCGTCGGTTTCCATGGCCGCTTCGATCCACCTCTCGGGTCTGAAAAGGTGTGCGTCGGGCCCAAAGACCTCCTCGGATCTGCCGATGCTACAGATGTTTTCTCCTAGCTGTGTTCCGGCGGGCAACCGGTACCCGTGAACAACGTCCCCACCGACAGGGACCTCTTTGCTCACGATGCCAGTCGATGGCGGGTAAAGACGCAGGCCCTCGCGGATCACGGCTTGTAAATAAGGCATGTATCGTGATTCTGAGTCTTTGATTGACGAGCTGATAATCTTCTTGGCGACGGCGGAATCAATCTCTGCGCGAAGCGCGACGAAAGCCGGCGGGTTAGAGAGGAGGCAGAGAAGAATCATGCGGATGGCAGTTGCGGTAGTGTCAGATCCGGCAATCCTATGGCACATAAGACTTCTTTCAAAGCGTAATAAGATCCTAATGGTTACTCACGTCTCCACGTAAACTTCCTGTGTCAACTCCTTGCGCGTCAGGCCAGCGTTAATAAAAGACTGAATCATATCTCGCCCGGGCTTCGTACCCGGGGCCAGTCTTCCATCCACAAAGGTTTTGGCAAAGCTACACGGCAGTTTCAGCATACAAACTGGGTTTCCGAATCGACCAACCAAGCTTACCCCATGAGAGCCCCGAACCCAACCGAATCACCAGACTTCGGCAAGCCCAGATTCAGGGGCCAGCTATGCATCAGGGTCGCCAGCCAAGGAACGTTTCCCATTGTAATCATCACTGGGAAGAAGGCGTCCTTTGTGCTGACGTACTGATACAAGTCCCGATCTTCCTTGAGGAAACCGTATGGGGTGCCGAACCCAAGTTCGCTGATCGCGTCCAAGGCAAAGTAAGT